AGGACGCCCTATTGGTCGTCCAAGAATCTCGGATGACCCATAGTGCCTATGGCCCAAACTGAGATATGCCCTGTAGCGATGAATTCTACGCGTTACAGTGTTCTACTTGATTTAGGATGATGGAGGTTAGAAACTTGCGGGACAAGTGTTGGTCAATCAGATCATTCGAGCCTACCCCGTTTAGTCGCGAAGGTCGCCAACTTAGGGGCTTCCGCGCCTAGCGTCTTTTCGTGGCACTGTAACCAGTCATCGGTTGGGATTCGCCAACTCTCGGCAGGGACTACCCAAGCTGTATACACTCGACTAGCGAGCGACTTTAATCGTGAAGATTCATCACACGTTCGCTCTGGCAAAATGCGCAAAGGCGGTTACCAGCAAAAGTTCGCCCTAATCTTATTTGACAAATCCGTGCAGGACCACGGCTTCATACAAATTTCGTGCACAGCGTGACTCCCGTCCTCCGCCACCTTTCACGCTTTCACAGGCGTGAGATTCCCCTTCAGCTGGGCCACCAGTCGCGACGCGGTGCATAGCGTGAAGCGTGAACCCCGTCCCCATACTTCCTTGCACGCTTGCACAGGCGTGTGATTCCCCTTCTCGGCCACTAGTGCCTGACGGGAATGGCGTGCGCCGCTTTTCATGCAACCACGTGCATACCTGCTCCCCTCCCGTTTCCTCCTGACACGCGTCGCAAGCCCGACGAACGCGCATTTCGTCGATGCACGCATGCCACCGCCCCACCCTTCCAGTCACAACCGACGGGCCGAATCGCCACGGCAAGCGGCGATTCGGCGATCGGGAATCGGCGATGGCGATCCGGGTGTGCTTCGTTCGCTTGAAGCGAGTCCACCGACGACTGGAAATTGACGATTGGCAATTGGCGATTTGGCCGTCGGGAATGGTCGATTGGCGATCCGGGTGTGCTCCGAGTCTACTTAATCCGGCGCTTGGGGTGATAGGTTTCCACCAGACGCGAGTCCACCGACGAGAACAGACTCTGCAATCAGCTCTAGTAGATCTGAGATTCCTCTCAGCCGGATAATCGCGGAGACTGTTTAGGCGCGTCCGAAGTTCATTCCAACGGTCACATGGCTAACCAGAAGACATTTTTAGACATGTCGGAGAATTCGAGTTTCAAGAAGCAGTGGGAGCAGCGGCCGCACTACGATTCTGGGAATGTTAAGTTCGAGACGAAGAAACTTGGCGACAAGGTGGTGCCTAGTTACGCCCCATGCTCCGCACTGACTGGATACGTCGATATTTGAGTACGCGGATTTTAAGTGTGACTAAACAATCTCCCTCTTCCCAATCTGGTCCGATCTGTTCTTCTGCAGGAATCGTGCACTAACAAGATCGAAATCCCGTTAACTTCCTCCCAGTCTGGCATCACAACACACGTTGGGGTGGAGAAAAAACCCTCTAAGGGCTACGATGTTTATCTCGGTGTTAAAGCCCGAGTCCCAAATTGCGAGGCGCGTGGGTCATGCTTTTAAAACCGGGGTGCACATTCAGCTGAATGTGCATCAAAGGTTATCCCTTGACTGAGTGGGTTACGAGGTGTGCTTTCAACCCCTTCAAGTCGAAATTCGTTTCCCCCCTCCCCCGCAATATCGTTTCCCCACGCTGTTGAATTATATATCTTATAACTGTCTACAGCTTGCTAGTGTATTAGTTAGCTATTAGAATCAACCGTTGGTGGTGCACCCTATCCCTTTGCTCTTGCCTACTTGTACTTCCAACTCTATAGTGAACCCCTCTTCTTTGCTCAACCTTCTCGACATTCATGCAAGCCCCCATACCCTAGTCTCCTAAGTCCTCTCCTAATCTAACATGGTATCAGAGCTACTAAGCTCCTCGTACCTAAATGGGCCCACCCGTTCATTCTCTCATGGCTTCCCCGTCGCGCCTCTCTCGTTTCGCCCCCCGTCGCGCGTCAGTCTCTGAACCTGTCGCGACGGTCGCAACGGTCATGGCGGCGAACTGTGCGTGCCCCCCCGTCACGCTCGCCGCGGACCCCCATCGCGGCTCCCTGCCGCGCCTCTGGTGCGGCATCCCGTCGCGCCCTGCGCGACCTCTGTCGCGGCTCCCCGTTCCCCCCACCCATGCTCCCGCCAGCGCCAGCCGCGCTAGCGACTGCTGCCGTGTTAGCGCGAGGTGGTGGGGGTGGCGGCCAGTGGGGAGACACGGGGGTGGAGGTGGAGGTGGCGGGCTGTGGGGGGGAGGGTAAGGGGGTGGCGAGAAGGATTCTGCAAACTCAACCGCCGCCCCTCTCCCCCCCTCTCTCCCTTCCGCGGATGCAGCCGTGGGGGGGAAGGGTGAGTGGGTGGCGGGAGGGGGAGGGTGAAGGGGTGACGAGCATACCCAGAGCCGCCGCCAATCATCCTCCTCCTCTCCTCTCCTCTCCTCTCCTCCTCTCCTCTCCTCCAGCCGCCTCCTCCTCTCTCCTCTCCTCTCCTCCAGCCGCATCTCCTCCTCCTCTCCTCTCCTCCAGCCGCATCTCCTCCTCCTCTCCTCTCCTCCAGCCGCATCTCCTCCTCCTATCTCCTCTCTTCCAGCCGCCTCTCCTCTGCTCTCCTCCTGTGCACCACCAGCAGCTTCCTCCTCCTCACCAACAGTTGTGTTTGCTCGTAGATGGCGAGCGACCAGCATCCTTCGCCCTCCGGCTATCCCAGCCCTCCTCCGCGCTCTCCGCGCCCTCCTCCGTTCTGGCTTTCACAGGTGCTGCCGGTCAGCCACCGCTGTTTCTGTGCCTATCCCAGCTACAGCAACCACTCTCCAGGCGACCTGGTGCCAGACACCACTAGCTAAAGCCGTAGGCAGTTACGGGGGTGTGTTGAATTATATATCTTATAACTGTCTACAGCTTGCTAGTGTATTAGTTAGCTATTAGAATCAACCGTTGGTGGTGCACCCTATCCCTTTGCTCTTGCCTACTTGTACTTCCAACTCTATAGTGAACCCCTCTTCTTTGCTCAACCTTCTCGACATTCATGCAAGCCCCCATACCCTAGTCTCCTAAGTCCTCTCCTAATCTAACACACGCCCCCGCAATTTCATTTCCCCCTCCCCGTCGAAATTCGTTTCCCCCCTCCCCCGCAATTTTGTTTCCCCCCTCCCCCGCAATTTCGTTTCCCCCCCCTCCCGCCAATCTGTTTCATCCCTCCCGCCATTCGGTTTCACCCACTCCCGCCATTTCATCCCCTCCCGCCACCTACGAAATGCCCGAAGCTCTAGCGGAATCATTTTTTTGTCGCCCCTCGTGAGCCAATCACTGTTTTTCTCCAAACCCCCTTCCCAACATCTCAAGCCGAACCGCGTTGAATGTGCACCCTGGTTTTAAAGCTGAAGTATACATTTGTCAGCAGGGTTCAGGGTTTAGGGAGTGAGCCTCACAGGTTTGGGGCAACTTTTCAAATTTCAAAAGTTTTTGAACTCTTCCTTTCAAATGTATACCGCAGCTTTAAAACTTGACGAAGTGCAGTGTGCAAGCTTTGAAAAGTAGCGCACCTGCAATTTGGGACTTTCGGGTGCTGACACAACCCCCAGGGCGAAATACATGGGCTGGCTGGGTTTGACGAAAAAAACGAAATGCCCGAAATCGGAATCACTCGCCAAAACCCAAACCAGAAAAAACCCCTCGCGTCATCATTTTAAAACTTGTGCAATTTGGGCTTCCGGCTTTAAGCTTCCGCTGTAGTCATGATGCGAGCTCCCATCATTTGCAGTCTTTGTATATAAAGGGAGCTTTGAGCTTTTCTTAACTGTACCAGTAGTTGTTACAGAAGGGAGCTTCTCTTGGTTGTACATAGGGGGGAGTCTTAGGTGTAGGTAGGGGTTCTTGATTGTGGAGGGAAGGCCTGGAACTGTCCTTCGTTGTTCATAGTCGGAATTGTTCTTAGTCGTTGGGAAGTATTTGTACATATACTGGAACTTTGTGCCACAAACAGAGTGTTGAAGTACCAATTTAGTAGCCCTTTGTATGCTTGGTCCAGACGTCTTTCCTGGAGCGAAGTTACCTAAGCAATACGTACCGTACTGTCGTACTGTTCCACTTGCAATATGCAAAAAAGTGCCAGTAAGCTCATATCATACCGTTGCCAAGAATGTGCTGGGCGAATCGAGCCAAGCCCACTGCATCCAGCCGCATCCAACCACATCTAACTGCAACCAACGTCTGCAGCAAGCCTCCATTCAGACAAGTCAAAGCAGATAACCGCGCCTGGCACTGTGCTTGTAGCCAAGCCTCCATGCCCATGTCAGCTTATGAGGCTCAAATCCGACCCCAGCCGGTCCCCCGATACAATCCAATCCATTCCTGACTTGAGAATCAAGTAGGGCTGCCAATGCGATTCACCCTGTTTCTGACCGCGCCTGCCGCCCAGGTACTTGACACTGGCACACTGCCCACCCGGCCTGCATCCCCAGTCCATGTGTCACCTCAGGCCTGCACTCATTCCGAGCCATGTGTCACTCTGCATCTAACCCGAGTGACTCCTGTACCGAATCTCCACTCTGCCCCGCATGCGGTCTGACTACCCCCACGTTGCCTGTACTAATCTGTTCGAATAGCCAATTCAAAGTTATCGCGCTAAACACGCCTACAATTCTGCTCCGAGTCTTCCCTGTGGCTATCTCTCACACCTGCAAACCTTGGTCCCTTAACGGCAGCCTTGGTCGGGCAGGTGAGTCATTGACAGGAGGGAATTAAGAGTCGACTATTAGTGTCTATCTTTCTCTCACGGTCTGAACTGAATGCACCCAGGTTGCCCCAGGAACCGACCCTTTGGGATGGACTCAGGCGCAGGGGCTGCAGCAGAGGAGGCTGCATCTTTGTTGGAGGGACTTCAGAGTCAACTAAAAGTAACTGCCTCACTTTTACCGTCTCAGAGCGCCCAGGTTAACCAGGAACCGTCCCTTAGGAGCAGAATCAGCCGCAGGAGCTGCAGCAGAGGGGTGCGTCACTGCTGGAGGGACTTCAGAGTCAACTAAAAGTGGCTGCCTCACTTTTGCGGTCTGAGCACCCCCAAATTCCCCAGGAAGCGACCCTTGGGAGCAGACTCAGTCACAGGCGCCGCAGCACGAGGGGGGTTGTCAATGCTGGAGGGAGTGGGTGCTTGTGAGGGCGATGGTGCTGCATCAGGTGGCGGGTTCACACTGAAGGGGGGTTGTTGTGTTGGCGGTGTTGACTCATTGAGAGAGGGGTAAGGCGGTTGCGAGATGGATGGATAGAGAGGTTCAGGCGCAGAGGGATAGGGGGGTTGGGGGACGGACGGGTAGAGGGGTTGTGGGACAGAGGGAAAAGAAGGTTGTGGGAGAGTAGGGTAGAGGGGTTGAGAAGGAGAGGGATAGGGAGGTTGGGAGGGAGAGGGATAAGCAGGTTGGGAGGGAGAGGAATAGGAAGTTAAGGGGGCAGAGGGATAGGGCGGTTGGGAGGGAGAGGAATAGGAAGGTTGGGGGGCAGAAGGATAGGCTGGTTGCGAGGAAGAAGGGTAGGGGGGTTGGGAGGGAGAGGGATAGGAAGGTTGGGGGGTGAAGGGAAACGGAGGATGGGAGGGAGAGGGATAAGAAGGTTGCGAGGCAGATGGATAAGAAGGTTGTGGGGCGGAGGGGTAGGGAGGTTGTGGAGCAGAGGGGTAGGCGGGTTGAACAGTTGCTGTGGGTGGCACAGGAGGTGGGGCCCACGCAGGACCAGATGGGTCCCTGACAGAGGGAGAGGGCGCCTGTGGGGAGGTGCCTTGTGAGGTGGAGGGGAAGGCGTTTTGTGAGGCTGAGGGGACGGCAGCAGGCGGGGCTGATGCATAGGGTGCTTGCTGGGTTGACTGGAAGGGTGCTTGTTGGGCTGCTGGTGCAAATGGGGTGTGTGGGACGGCTGGGTTGGGTGCTTGGGGGCGATTGACAGCGGCTAGATTGCCCAAGAAGCGTCCCCCTGGGGCGGACGTGGGTGCAGCAGACCAGGCGGGATTGGCAGGTTGAGCAGGGTTGGGAGTTGTGCCGGGATTGTGCGATGGATGTGTGGATTGTGGTGTGGACGGGAAGGGGGATCTGGCTGGCGGCTGAGATGGTGCTGCTGACGTGGGCAGAACGGATGGGGCAGATGCGCCACGTGGCATCCGCAATATCTCCTGCCACACAAACAGATCGGCGAAGAAGAAACCGTTGATTGCCAGCCGAGCGACTGGTGCCGTGAACTGGCAAGGCCAATTTCAGGAGCTAAAGCAGTCATTCAGGAGCAACACTCAACTTCACCAGCCATAATCATCCGTGCTCGGCCCTCAGCTAGTGTCCCGCACACACCTCTTTCGCCTGCAGTTACTTGCCCCAGTGCCTTGCTGTGGATGCCTTCTCCCATCCGCCAGCCTCCCGCACCCCTGGTATATTGGAGTGACTTTTGAGAATTCTCAAAAGTTTCTCCCATCCGCCGGCCTCCCGCACCCCTGGCCTTTAAGAGGTTCCAAAACTCGACCTTGTGATACGCCCTAAGGCTCGAATTGTGAGTCAATTTTAACCTCCCGCACACACCCCGCCCTCCCCCACGCACCTCTTTCGCCTGCAGGTACTTGCCCCAGTGCCTCGCTGTGGATGGCTTCTCCCATCCGCCCGGCCCGCCGTTGTATGCACGCACTACGTATTCCTCACTGCGCGTGCTGTTACAAGGGGAAGAGGGGGGAGAGAAGGGACATACTGCGTTGGTGCATGCACGTGTGTGTGTGTGTGTGTGTGTGTGTGTGTGTGTGTGTCATGCGTCAGAGTGCATGTGAGTGCGTTAGTACGTACTACAAACACAGAAACGTCGAGCACATGGTTACATGGTGAGCCATGCGCAACAGAACCGTACGAGATGCATGGTTCTATATTTGCAATGCTGTCACTACTCGACCGTGTGACGTGTGGCTAGGACCAGACGTTTGCACTCACGTGCCGCTATAGGTGGTGAGCCATGCGAGGTACGCCATGCCATAGTACATGGCCTCGAACGGGCGGTAGAGCGAAGGGACGGACAACTAGTGAGAACCAAAACCCCGTGAACTCCCGCACTCACGTGCCCTTGTAGGTGGTGAGCCATGTGAGGTATGCCATGCCATAGTACATGGCCTCGAAGGGGCGGTAGAGCATGGAGGACGAGCAGAGACACCTAGAACCATGCAGAAACCCAAACTCACATGCCGCTATACGTAGTGAGCCATGCGAGGTACGCCATGCCATAGTACATGGCCTCGAAGGGGCGGTAGAGCATGGAGGAGGACCAGTCAATGGTGTAGGCGCGGTACCCCATGTCCCTTGCTAGCCACTCCGCTGACGACTGCAGCACCTGCAGTGAGCAGCACGGGAATGGGAAAGGAAAACACATGCAAAGCAAACACAAGGAATGGGAAAGGAGTGATGTGACTGATGTAAACCGCATGTGCAGCACACCTCATCGATCTGACCCCTTCCTTATGAGCCATTTGAATGTTGACTCAGACTGAAGCACCTGCAGTAGCTCACCGGGTAATCGCCAGGCAAGCACGAGCTACGGCATTGACTGACCGGACCAGGGGAATCAGGAGCGCAAGCGGCTCCAGAGCAAGCTTTCTTACCGTTCCTCTCACGTGCTCTACAGTGGTTGCAAGAAGTTTGAGAGCAGGGCAAGCGCTCATATTCCACATGCATAAGTCCAGTGCTGGCCTCCCCAAAGGAACTCCCGTAACAGTAACCCAGGGGCAATTACACGCTCTCCACGTGCGCACCTGCTTCTCACGGTTTCCCTCTGGATAGGAAACAGACGTTCTCATAGCCCTTAACCCGTTTCTCACAACCGTCCCCACCGCACCTGCATGAGTCCAGTGCTGGCCTCCCCAAGGCGACTCTCGAAACGGTACGCCAGGGGCTGCCACGCGCTCTCCACGCGCGGACCTGCTTCTCACAGCCCCCCCGCAGCGCATCTGCTTCTCACACCCGCTTACCTGCATGAGTCCAGTGCTGGCCTCCCCAAGACGGGGCTCGAAGCGGTACGCCAGCGGCTGCCACGCGCTCTCCACGCGCGCTACCGCGCACACCGCCAGCACCGCGTCGCCCTCGCTGCCCGCCATGCCTGTCGGCCACAACCGCTTGCCCCGCCCGCTGAAGTGGCGCCGCAGGAGAATGAGCGTGATTCCCTGGAGCTCTGAGGGGAGGCATGGGGAATTCAAACAAAGAAATGAGCTTCCTCCCGTGTAGCTATGGGGGAACGCATTAAGGGTTTCCGATGAACAACGACCGTCAGTTCGAGCAGCTATGGGGGGTTCAGATAAAGAATGCGCGTCATTTCGTGCACCTTCAAGGCCGATGTAAGGCACGAGCTTGTCGCCGACCCGCTTCATCTCGAACGGAACCTTCCCCGATGCTTCTCGCCTCCGCTCCCACACCGTTCTCACGCCTGGCAAGTCCCACATCGCTCGCATGTCGTCGGGACCCGTCCAGTCGTCCCAATAGTAGGCATGATGCGAATTAGTAGGCGCGCGAACGTCTTCCCTATTGCGACGATCCATGCGACCGGCGAAGTTGAATTTAGATCCTGGACCAAAGTTGAATCCGGATTTTATCCTTGTCAGCGACCGTCGCGCTTCGCTGCAGGTCAGGAGCGGGCAGACGAAGAGGAAGATGAGTTTTCTGCCAAGCACCTCGGATGGGAACACCTGAGTTAGGTGAAAATATCCTCGGCGATGAATCTTGTTGGCGTAAAAGGGATTTCCAGCTGAAATTTGGAGAGCACGGCGCGTTGAATGTCGGGATGGTCGCACGGAGCCGTGAATTCTGGATCTCGTGACAACGGAGTGCAATGGATGTCGGCGCGGTCGTCGTCAGTCGTCCATCGCTGGACACGCCGCTGAGAAATGGAGAAGGGGAAAAGCTAACGGTCCGCATACACGACATCCGCTTTAATAAGGCAATGGTGCGGATGGGGTTCTAAAAATAGCCGAAGCTGTGCAGGAGAACAGCTCCCGACTCGAACCGAGGACGGTACGGTAATGGTAGTGTGATATGACTATGATGTCAGCCGAAAATCACAATGCTGAATGCTGCAAAGCTTGAGATGAGAGTCGGAGTCTCCAAGGAATTCAGACTACGCACATTGAACGGTTTCCGTCTAGTTCCGTCAATTTGCTTTCGCTTCCTTTATCGACCTGGCTGGACCTGGCTGTACTCAGGTGAATGGCACAGGTTTGGTTTTATTGGAAGAGCACCCAGTGCCGGTTTCCCAGTGATTCGATATTGAAATATTTCTCTGCCTAACTCTGTGCGATACTCGCTTGATAAAACGGATAAGATTTTCACGCTCACGTACTTTGTTACGTGTACCGTGTTTTGCTTCTTTCGTGACAATCGTTCAGTTTCGTGACATGTGTGGTCATGATCACGAGCACAACCTCGGCTTAGCTCATTGCTCGACCCTCTTCCTCCTCTTCCCCAGCTCTCACGTAGCTCAAGTGACGACCCTAGTCGTTCTTACATCGAGGTCCCGTCCCTTACAGAATAGGCGCGGATCAGGTTGCCGCAAAGACTTCTAGCGCTCGTCGTGCAAATTCTTCGACTCTTAATTTCAAAGTCCACGGTTCAAAAGCCATGGGTCCGTCGCAGAAGCACGTGTTAAATCTCCTCATGGGATCGGCTCCCGTGTCGGCCACGCTCCACCCGTCCGTACTATTCAGCATCTGCGACTCGTTCATTCGTCGCAACGAGGACACGCAGCGCGTCATCGGGTCGCTCTTAGGAGTCGTTCATCCCGACGGCACTGTAGACATCCGTAACGCATATGCCGTGCCTCATAACGAGATCAGCGACACGGTACGAACCCTTCGATTTAGTCACACGCGCTATTATGGCCAGTCCTTCCCGCACATAGCGGTCCTTCTACCCCTTCCAGATGCTCGAGTCTGCCGTTCGTCTAGGAACCCTACCAAACCCTCACATTTGTCGGGTCGCTCTCGTTCGTTCCCAGGCAAAGGCTGGCAATGAAGCGATAGGTTGGAGTGAAAGTCGCGCCAATGAAACGGCGCCGACAGAGAGAAGTTTGGGGTCCCATCGTCCCGTTCCTAGGGGTCTGAAGGGCTTTCTACACCTGATGTGCACCTGAGTTGTTTCGCTATGGCATTCCTCGCTAACGCAATTTCATTCTCCGCTGCCCCGTGATGCCCCCCGCAGGTGGCGCTGGACATCGAGTACCATCGCACCATGGCGGAGCTGAGCCAGCGCGTCAACCCCAAGGAGACCATCGTCGGATGGTGAGTGTAACGAAGGTGCTTATAATGCGAGAGGACCAAGCGAGTCAGCCCCAGGGAGTCGATCGTGGGATGGCGGGGATAACGAAAGTGCTTATAGGTTCCATCACTTGCGAGCCAACGAGGCAACTTCGAGGACAACCATGGGATGCTGAGCTGTCACACCCAAGGGCACTCCTTTGCGACTGATGGGATTGGGCCCATCACGACAGCGACTGTAAGATGATGGTGAGAAGGAACCCCCCCTCTTCCTTTCCCCCCCCCCCCCCCCTTTTTTGTTCCCACTCTCCCCCTCCCTCGTTACCTCCACACTCCCTCCCTCATTGTCCTATGCATCTATTTCCTCACACGCGGCGTCACTCCCTTCGACGTGCGCATTCACGACTTTTGAGGCGGGCTTTAAGACATTCTTAATCTGTTTCTCCTCCCCTCCCCTCCCCACCACTCTTTAGGTACTCCACAGGGAGCGGTGTGAGTCCATTCGACGTGCTCATTCACTACTTGTACACCAAGGAGGCGGGTCATCCCATCCACCTCACTCTCACAACTCACAATTCACCTCTTCACCCACACATTCCCGACCTCTCAGGTACTCTACTGGCTCGGGTGCGAGTCCCTTTGACGTCTTGATTCACGACTTTTACACCAAGGAGGCGGGTCACCCCATCCACCTCACCATCGACAGTGTGGAGTCGACTCAAAGCATACCTTTTTTCCTCCACATGCCGTCTCAGGTACTCCACTGGGAGCGGAGTCAGCCCCTTTGACGTCTTGATTCACGACTTTTACACCAAGGAGGCGGGCCATCCCATCCACCTCACCATCGACACCACCTTCCAGTCTCTCGCTGCCGGCGCGTCCGGCCAACCAGGCGCCGCCACGTCAGCGGTGCGCGCGTACGTGTCGACGCCGCTGTTCATCGGCGAGAAGCAGCTGGCGGCGGCGTTTCAGGAGATTGAAGTGGATATGCGGATGGCTGATGCTGAGAAGATCGGATGTGAGTGAAGGGAGAAGAAGAGAGGGGGGGGGGAGGAAGAGGGGGGGACGGGGAGGGGGGGAAGGGGAGGCGGGGAAGGGGAGGGGGAGAAGAGATTGGGGAGATGTGGGGTTTGAGACGGGGTTGGGGTTGAGGCTACTCGCAGCTGGTGGCGGCGTTTCAGGAGATTGAGGTGGATATGCGCATGGCTGATGCTGAGAAGATCGGATGTGAGTGAAAAGGGTGGATGTGTAAGAGGGTTGGTCGGGGTCGGGGGTCAGGGTCGGGGTTGGTTGGGGTTGGGGTTGGGATTGGGGTTGGGATTGGGGCTGGGATTGGGCTGGGTTGGGTCAGGGGTGGGGTTGCACGTACCTCACGACCTCATCTGCTCCGCCCTTCCCGCCCCTTGCTTGCCTTTGCTTTGACCTCCCTCGCTTGACACTCCCCAGTTGACAACCTGCGCCGCACTTCAGTCGAGAGGCTACCAGCGGACATGGAGGGGCTGGAGGCCACCATGGGGCGACTGCATGACTGACTGCCACTTGCAACCCCTCCCAAACCCCCCTCCAGTCGACAACCTGCGCCGCACATCAGTGGAGCGCCTACCAGCGGACATGGAGGGGCTGGAGGCCACCATGGGGCGACTGCAGGGCATGGTGGATGGCGCCCTGGGTTATGCGACTGATGTGGTGGTGAGTGGTGTTGAGTGGTGTTGAGTGGTGTAGTAGTGTGGTGTGATTGTGTTGCGAAGCATGGTGGGATTGCACTGCAGGGCATGGTGGATGGCGCCTTGGGTTATGCGACTGATGTCGTGGTGAGTGGAGTGGTGTGATTGTATGGGGGGTGTAGTGTGATTGTAAAGAGGGCGTGGTGTGATTGTATAGAGGGCGTTGTGTGATTGTATGGGGGCGGTGCTGGCTGCAGGGCATGGTGGATGGTGCTCTGGCGCATGCAGTGGCAGCAGTGCAGCGGATGAGCTCTGAGGCATTGGCTTGCATGCTTGCATGGCTTTGTGTCGCTGCATGTCGCCTTATTCCTGTACTGTACATGTCGCCTTATTCCTGTACATGTCGCCCTATTCCTGTACATGTCGCCTTATTCCTGTACATGTCGCCTTATTCCTGTACATGTCGCCTTATTCCTGTACATGTCGCCTTATTCCTGTACATGTCGCCTTATTCCTGTACATGTCGCCTTATTCCTGTACATGTCGCCTTATTCCTGTACATGTCGCCTTATCGCCTTATTCCTGTACATGTCGCCTTATTCCTGTACATGTCGCCTTATTCCTGTACATGTCGCCTTATTCCTGTACATGTCGCCCTATTCCTGTACATGTCGCCTTATTCCTGTACATGTCGCCTTATTCCTGTACATGTCGCCTTATTCCTGTACATGTCGCCTTATTCCTGTACATGTCGCCTTATTCCTGTACATGTCGCCTTATTCCTGTACATGTCGCCTTATCGCCGTATTCCTGTACATGTCGCCTTATTCCTGTACATGTCGCCTTATTCCTGTACATGTCGCCTTATTCCTGTACATGTCGCCTTATTCCTGTACATGTCGCCCCTGCGTGTGTGAGCAGGAGGGCAAGAGGGAGGTGGACAACGAGGTGGGCAGGGCGCTGTGGGATGCCGTGGCAGCAGTGCCCCGGATCAGCTCTGAGGCCTTTGACCGGCTCTTCAACAACAGCGTGCAGGTGAGCGTGGGCGGTGAGAGGGGTGCGCAGGTGGGAGGGGTAGGCGGGCGCGAAAGCCAAACAGGTAAGAGTGGCTGCGGTGCCTCGGATCAGCTCTGAGGCCTTTGACCGCCTCTTCAACAACAGCGTGCAGGTGAGAGCAGGGGGGGGGGGAGGACAAGCATATGGAGAGGGATGCAGGTGAGGACGGCAAGCATGTGAGAGTGGCAGTGGCAGTTCCGCGGATCAGCTCTGAGGCCTTCGAATGGGACGGGGAATGGGAGATGGGGATTGGGAGATGGGGAATGGGAGATGGGGATTGGGAGATGGGGAATGGGAGATGGGGAATGGGAGATGGGGATTGGGAGATGGGGAATGGGAGATGGGGAATGGGAGATGGAGAATGGGAGATGGGGAATGGGAGATGGGGAATGGGAGATGGGGAATGGGAGATGGGGAATGGGAGATGGGGAATGGGAGATGGGGGATGGGAGATGGGGGATGGGAGATGGGGAATGGACGTGCTTCTGGTGCTGTACCTGGCCAACCTCACTCTCTATTCTCACCCCGTTATCTGCTCACTCTCCTCTCTCCCAATTGGCCTCTCCCTCACGGCAGGACGTGCTTCTGGTGCTGTACCTGGCCAACCTCACCCGTGCGCAGTTGGCACTAGCAGACAAGCTCAACACAGCCGCCCAACAACTGTAGCACCCCACTCCCTTGCTGGTTGGGTTATTATGTCTCTCCGTCTTGACACTGGCATCTGGCCTAGCAGTCCAGCTCCACACAGGAATGCAGCTTTCAACTGGCCAGTTCTGCCTGTTTTTTAGAGATTTTTTGAAATGTACGAAATCCTGTGCATCGAAAGAAACAGCTGGCACCATATGACAAGCTTATCACAAGCTAGGAGGGGAACAATTGTGTGAATAGTTTGGAATGCAAGACTACCTATTGGATTGGAATACGGTGGCTCTTTTCACTAAGTGGGTAGCATGTTCCAGTCACTGCAGCACCTGAACAGTGTTCATTTCATTCTACCGTATCTTGGGCTGAGTTGGACAACTGTGAACAATGCTGGGAACAAAATTTAGTATACAGATTCAAAACACTAGACACATAAATACCGCACATATCATAATAGTTGATATATATGCTATACATAAGCTATACAGTCCGCAGTGTAGCCTGCATATATGGGCTATTAGATGCCCTAGTAGCCCTTCTGTAAAGAAAAAAACACGGCGGGCGTAGATCTTTCAGCTCATGCTTAGCACGGGCTTTACCTTTTATTCATAATAGAGACAGCTAGCGCTTCTCAGAAGAATATGGAACTCTTATATGGAGCACATGTTACCGCGGAGTGGGGATCAAGGGGTGATCCCTAAGCTGACTCGGTCGGCTGCCTCACGAAGCGAGGGGGGACAGCTTGTAGTGGCGACGGTGACGCGGGTGGTCCGTAGATTGACGATCCGGGGAAGAGGGCGAGCGGAGAGCGGAAGAGGGGGACGAAGGCGAGGGAAGCGGGAAGGTGGCGGATGCTGGAGGAGAGAGCGGAGACGACGGGGAGCCGGGGGAGAGGGGGGAGAGGATGGAGGAGGGGGAGTCGGGAGTGGCGGGGATGGCGGAAGAAGCGGGGGAACCGAGCCAATCAAGAGTTTTTCTCCTGGGGATGGGCTCAGATCTGGGACTTGGACGGCCCTTGGAGTCATGCTGTGCTTGCATGGAGTCCTTTTGCAATTTCTGGACCGGCGACATCAGCCATTGAGCTGCAGGGATGGCAGAAACAGCAGCCTGCTTCGTTTTCGTGATTGGCTGTCTTCTGATGGGTTCGCTTCGCTGTGTTACGACTCGCGTCGGCCTCCGATTCGCTGCTGTCACTCGCCCAGCGACCCAAGGATGCTGCAGAACTTCCTGGATATTTGGCCGTTGGGTTGGATCCACAGTCAGCATCCGACGTATGAGATGTTTCGCCTCCTCAGATATCGACGGCCATGGTGAGACCGAAAAGTCGACCTCCGGAATCAGAACTCTCTTATCGGATGGGAAAGAGGGGAGCTTAGCTGACAGCATGGCGTACAGTAGGACTCCCAGGGACCACACGTCAGCTGTAACGTTGTACGCTTCAGATGCAACGACCTCAGGTGCTTCGTACGGCGCGCTGCCTGCTGCGCCGCGGATCATGAAACCCTCGGGGATCTGTAACGCGAGTCCGAAGTCTCCTAAGCAAGCCTCGATCTGCTTTCTCAAATTATCGGAAGTTCTTGTGACGAGTAGGACATTTTCTGGCTTGATATCCCGGTGAACGATACCGTGCACGTGGCACCATCTCACGGCCTCCGCGATTTGCGAGAAAACCACAGCCGCAGCTTGCTCTGGAAGGCCTTTCGCTTGGCTTACGAGCGCGAACATATCGCCAGCGTCGCATAAGTCGGTTACCATGTACACCGTTTTTTCGTCTTCGAACAGCGAGAGAAGCTGCAGCACGTGACGATGTCCACGTAGCCTCTCCATGGTCGCAACTTCGTTCTTTAACGACTCCAAATCGTGCGTTGACAGCTGGGATTTGCGGATTTTCTTGCACGCGAACCAGCTTCCCGACGCGATGTGCACGCAACGCCAAACGCGGCCGAATTGGCCCTGGCCGATGACCCGGTCGAAAGTGAAGGAGCTCAAAAGCTCCGCCGTGGGACCCGCTGACGGGAAGAGCCTCGCCATTGCCAAATGGTTTCCGCTAACAAAATGTCTGATAACAGAGGAGAGGTAGGGAGCACTGAGACTGCGGAGATCCTAAAAATGTAAGGTGTGGCCGCATGGAGCGAGGACGAGAGACTAGGTTGCTCCAAGGACGGGGCTGATATCAGTGGATGAATGCGGATGATTCCATCAAGGACATCAAAGCTTTTTGAATGAAGGCTCGTGTTGGCTGAAAATCTGTGGTACTGGAAGGACATCGCTTTCTGAAGTACATACTTCCCTGCAGGTGCAATGTGCGGCTCGCGGGAAACGAAAACGCCGCGTGGAACCACAGCTCGAAGAGGGGGGATGTGGGGAGGGGAGGAAGATGGGAGGAGGGAAGAAGAGTTTGGTTGCACCAGGTAGCGGGGGAATGCAATGAATGGGTCGGTGGATTTTCCTCAGGCTGTGCAGTCCGACTTGAGATTTAGGAGGCATTCTACTGTACACCGCCAGAGTGCGCTGGAGACAAGAAAAGAAGGGAACAAGAGGCCATGCATGATTATATATGGAGCGAACTTGTACTAGCCGCTTTTGTATGTACTGTAGTTACTGAACATGCTGCCCTAGATTCCTAAACGACCAATGACAAGATAGCATTCCTTTCCCTCACACAGAAACGTGAGCATGTATGGCGTCACATGAAAAGCTGTTCAAGCTGTTGTGGAAGATTGTGCAAGATTTCCGCTTGCTGTAGTCAGCTGTGGTGAGTCTGAACGAGAGACGTGGAATTGCACGGTTGAGGTCATTTCGGGGGGTTTTACCCTGATTCAAGTCCTGTAAGCTACTTCAAATCTCGGAGAGTTAATCTTTCCCATTACGTTCGGGTAGCGTTTTACAGGTGTGGTGGCGTTTTACAGACTCCTCAATCTCCTGTCCTACTCCAGAGCCGTTGAACTGCCCTCACTGAACAACAAAAATGTAGGATCGTTTAGCGGTAGTCTTTTAATTCGGACTAGTATATTCTAGGTGTATTAGGTTAAACTTTCAAAACCACTCTGTTTTAGTGCAGGTTTCTGTGCTCGTTACCACAGGTGACAGTAGCTTAACAAGGACAAGGACAGTTTGCACTAGGTAACAACAAATCTCGGGATTTTGGGATGTAGATATGGATTCTTGTGCCGTTGGGAGAATCGCTTGAAACAGAGACAACGAGAACGGGGAAGATGACAGCAAAAGCTCACGGAAAGGATGGGCATGGGCTGGGATGAGATGGGATGGGATTGGTTTGGATGGGTTTGGATGGGATGGGATGGGATGGGATGGGATGGGATGGGATGGGATGGGATAGGACGGGGTGGGATGGGATGAGATTGGATGAGACGGGCTGGGATGGGATGATGGGATGGGATGGGATGGGATGCTATGTGCGCACGAAAAGTGTGTGGGGGTGGGGTCTCCAGAGAACGGGATTCAGCGGAGGTTTGCCATTGCCTTGCCAGTCGTTGGCGGACCTGTGTGGGGAGCACGTACGGAACTATGGAAGACGGCGTGCAGCAATTGGCGCTCAATCAGAACTGCAGCTTGCCTCGCTGGCATGAAACGACCTCCAGACCAGAGTACACCTACACTTGACAAAAGCGAGCCACAGCACCAGCTCACCCCGAGGCCGTTACAGCTTTCGTCATAGCTGGGTTGTTCAGGCACTGACTGCTCACGTGATGGGCGGGACGGAAGGCGGTGGATTGGTTGTGACGGGGGTTTTCCGTTTCATCTTTCGTCGTGGTTCAGTCCGCCTTGGCGTACGCATGAATTCATTTCCTAACGTTCGGTCGCGTATTGATTGATATAACTTTCCGAATATCTACATCCACAAATCACACGGTATGACCTTGTTACATCATACTTGACTCCTTTTCAAATATTAAATGGTGAGATAAAAACACACGCCTAGCCATCATGGTGATGCCTACTTGTTAGACACTGCATGAATGCACCCTGACATCAATAAAAATTCTCCTGATTCTTGGGTGTAGGGGTGGCTTGGCTTGGCTAGTGGAAAGGATTGTTCGTACTAACATTCATTAGTTGTCCAGAGACGAAGGTAGTCGGCAGTAACATTCATTACACCAGTTTCCCTAAGATGGACGCCTATCGCTACTGCCACGGCCCAGATGCCATGGTAACAGACGCGGGCGCAAAAAGGTTCCTAACATAGCGCGAACACGAGGAGGTGACAGCTGGCATCAACGGCAGCTTGAGCTTGGAGTGAGCTGCACTGTCACTTGCAGATACACCATGCTGGGGAAGTTCACCGGCAGATTGAGGGGAGAAGGTAGGAGTTAGGTCGCACTCATCTGCATCATCATCGTCATAAAACGAATCGCTCATTGCTGGGCTAGTCGGGATGGCGATGCGAGGAGGGTGAGAGCAGGGCTGGCAGTCAGACGCATGCTGCCCTGGATGCTCAGAAACATAGAGGTCTGGTGAGGTTGCAGGGAGGCCCGGAACAGAAACGTCTGCGGCAAGGGAGTGGGCAACATCTGAGACCGATCGGCGATGCCAGGCTCTGATTCTCCCGCCGCTGCTGCTGCGCCTGCCACTGCCACTGCTACCGCTGCCACCGCTGGTGCTGCTGCTGCTGGGCAGGGTTCTTTCATTCCAAGAGGCGTTGCCGCGTTTTACCAGGCTCCTCGTCGGCTTACCAGCCGGCTTAACAGACGAGACCTCTGCCGCCGTCCCTTGAGCCGAGGGACCCTTCGGGAGGGCGGTAGTAGCTCCCGTGCGTGTCTTGCCGCGAGGAGAGGGAGAAGCTTTGGGGGTCCGGGGGGTGGACGGCTGAAGGGGAATCCCCTGCAGGGGGCAAGAGCGGGGCGATGGCGAGGCGGCGGCTGCTGTGGGTGATGCCTGAGGGAACGAAGGAAACGCCTTGGGGGTGGAGGGCTGAAGCGGGATGCCTTGCGGCGGGCAAGAGCGGGGCGATGGCGACGCGGAGGGAGATGCGCGGTGGAATGGAGGCAGCTTGGGAGGCTGGAGAGGCAGTCCCTCGGAGCAGAGCGACTGAGAAGAGGCGGAGTGGCGGAATTGCCGCCTGGGCGACGGAGCTTTGGGAGAGAGACGGGAGACGGCCGCGGAAGGGGTGTGAGATTGCTTTTTGTTGCCGAGCGGAACCTCCCGCTTCAACCTCACCGGCCTGACGCTGCTGCTGCTGCTGCTGCTGCTGCTGCTGCTGCTGCTGCTGCTGCTGCTGCTGCTGTTCCTGCTGTTGGTACGGCTTCCGCTGCCGCCGCCGCCGCTGCTGCGGGACGAGTCGCGGCGCGTCTCGTCTGATGGAGAACCCGATGTCGGGGATCGCTGCGACCACGGTACGGATGCGGCGCCGCAACTTGTTGCTTCCGCACTGCGCTGGTCAGCTTCCGCCGCGCGAAGGACGGGCTCGGAGAGGTCCGCGCAACCAGCCTCCGCGCAACCAGCCTCCGAGCGCCCACCTTCCGCGCCGCACTCACTCCATTCATCGAAGCTGGCGTGCCTCGGAACCCCCGTGCCACTCGCCTTGGAATTACCCGCGATGCGCGTCGTCTCTGAATAGTCCACGTCAGCCGCGGACTGAGAAGAGCAGCCGTTTCGACGCGCTTTGGACGACTCGGGGCGAGAATCGAGTTGGGGCGAATGCGGATGGGGCGCCGCGGTCTCGGTTCCGAAATCGAGTTTTGGAGCTTCCGTGGGCGAAAATATCGGCGCTAAGGGAGCGCTGGGTTGGTGCGATAATTTCAAATCGCGTGGCGCTCTTCTTGACTCGCTACGAGCTGATGCGATCCGGAGCCACGGGTGCGCCAGAACGCCGTCGATATCCAGCCGTTGGCTCGTGTCCAAGGTCAGCATCCGACGGATGAGATCCTTCGCCTCAACCGACACGGACGGCCAGGGCGCGACGGAGAAATCGACCTCCGGCAGAAACTTGCGCACGTTTCCGGGAAAAGAGGGCCATTTAGCGGAGATGGTTGCGTAGAGAAGCACACCGAGCGACCAGACGTCTGCGCCGAAGCTGTAAAGATCTCCCGCCAGAACTTCCGGCGCCTCGTACGGCGCGCTGCCAACGGCGCCGCGCAGAGAGAAGCCCGTCGGGATCTCCATCGCGAGGCCGAAATCCGCGAGGCGCGCTTCGAGCGTGTCGGGCGAGTCTGGGGCGCCGGTTGCGGCGACGGTGGTGATGAGAACGTTCTCGGGTTTGATGTCGCGATGCGCAATTCTGTTCACGTGGCACCATCTGACCGCGTCCGCGACCTGCGCGAAGATCATCGCAGCCGCTCGTTCGGGAATCCCGCCGGTCTGCACGATGAGGCTGAAAATATCCCCTCCGTCGCACAATTCCGTCAGAATGTAGACGGATTTCTGGTCTTCATACAGACCGAGGAGGGGGAGCACGTGGCGGTGGCCGTGGAGGGATTCCATGGCGGAAATCTCGCGTTCGAGCGACTCGAGCTCGTTTTGCGTGAGGTGCGCCTTGCGGATCTGTTTGCAGGCTAGAGGAGCGCCCGTTGCACGATCGACGCAGCGCCAAACGCGGCCGAATTGACCCTCTCCGACGACGCCGGTGAAGGAAAAGGCTTCGAAAAGCTCGGCTGATGTACGCGCTGATGGAAAGATACAATCCGCCATTGCATGCGCTTCTTAAAGATTCAATGAAGTAAATATTAGTAAATAATAATAATACTGCTACTATGGGATGATGCGAACCGATGATTTGACGAGATTGCTCTCTGCTGCTGCAACTCCAAGTGCGCGCGGAGCTCGGCTTTTGTGGGGGAGAGCGACGGAAATGAAAGTCGCGAATTGGTCGAGTGAGATGAGTAAATGGTTATCCCGATGATGCTTATGTACTATGGGGAGTGGAGGGGAGGGGAACCTTTTGGGGAACAACAACGCGGAAAGGTGGGCGGCGATGCGATGTGATGAGTGGGACGCGTAAAAAAATCCTGCGCGGTCTGGGATTGTGAGGGGAGGGATGAGACGAGACACGGATGGCGGAGCGGAAGCGTAGAGCAGCGAGTGGATCAGGGGAGCAGGTCGAATGGTCACTGTCACGAATCGACGAGGGGAGAGTGAGTGAGGGGGGGGGAGGGTGGGGGGGAGGGGGAGCATAGGGGGAAATGGCTGGTCTAGTCTGGTCTGGACTCTGGTCTGGGATTACGATCACATAGGACCGCAGTTTCTAACCGCGAATCAAGACCGACGACTATGGTTTGGAAATCAAGAATACAACCTGAACAGAAAAATGTGTTGCATGTTAGTGCTAGTAGCGAGGTGACTGAGGGGGTACAATATCTGTTCCAGCTGCAACTTCGTTTCCACACCCGACTGTTAGCAAAACATTCGGGACATCAGAAATTACTTAAAGAGTGTAAATCACAGGTCATTGGTTATCTTTCTATCGTACAGCTCCGATGGTGGACTACATATACAGAGAACATATCTCTGAGTGTAAATCTTTTTGAACTTTCTGCCTGGTTTACAATATCACTGTACAAAACGACCATAAAGTAGAAACCATGCACTGACATCCCTTCTTCGAATTTGGAGCTCTGACTCTTGTGCTATTGGCTAATATGTCGACCGACTGCCAGCTGGAATCTTGGATCTGTTGAGAACGACAAGAATACTAAGTTCAAAGATTGGGCACTGAGAATCTGTCCAAAGAGCAGCAGTCAAGGAACAGCTGTGGAAAACGACGGTAAGAACCCACCTTGACAAACCCACACAACTACAGTACAGTATGCACGAGCCAACACAAGAAACGACAACACAATCGTTACAAGCGCAATCCAGCTCGCGACCAGGGTTTTGACTGCGCTGAGAGATGTATCAATATACGAACTTGATTTTGGAGTACCTCTTTAGTGTTATTCAAACATTGGGGCCTAAGTGATGAAGCCCAATGAAGTGCATGAAGCTTCTAAACATCCTTGCATATTACAATATCATTAACAGAATCTGATATTGTTCAGAATAACGAGTTTCCTTCGTCTAAATGAAGGCTGTGATCGGTTTCTGGGCTTAAAAACAGGCGCTTGTGGTACCAAACAACAGATCTTTACATATGGGACGAGACTCATTGATTCAAACATTTTATTTTAATGTAGGTACTTCCTTCAGCTGCCTAGAAATCTGCTTAATTTGGTTTGAAACGTATTATATGCTGGAGCTTACTAATATTGGACTTGGCTGGTTGCTTATAGGAGGTTGGCGAGGCAAGGGAAGGCGAGCCAAGGAACTCTCGTGGTTCTGACGCTACACCAGGCATGCTTCACCCTCATGTTGCCACGTTGCCCTTCAGATTTCCGTGCCGCCTAGAGTACCTTGAACCACTGGTGCTTTCGCTATCGGGCTTCATTCGCCTTCTTTCATTATCCGTTATTCCACTAGCCCGGAGCCCCGCAAGGTGCGGTTGTCGTGCTTCTCGCCTCAACGATCGCGCGCGGAGATCTCTACTAGTTTACCTTCAATTAGAAGACGTGCATTCTCGGTCATCTTCGCATGACACACCTCAGGCATCTCTGCAGCAGAGTAGCTACTGGATTGCTACGTGTCAGACTCCATACGGATCCAGGACTCGAACCCGCGACCTGTCGCCGATTTCTCAGCACCCCAGTAAAACCAGAGACTCGCACCCATCGCCCAACGGTCAGATTGGAGTCGTTTTTGGGCTGTGGGAGTGGCGGAGAGGCGATCATGGGGTTTCAAAAGATTCCGGTTGATAATCCCATCGTGGAGATGGACGGTACGGATTTGCTGTTGACCTTTCCTCTAGTTGCACGAAATATGAAGATAGGAAGGCGAAGAAGGATGCTTCGTTTCCCATGCCAACTTGCTGCTCGCTCTCCTTCCTCTGGCTCGCTTGCCGATTCCACCCTGGCCTCTTCCCTTCTTCCTTGATCGCTCCCTTTCTCTCGTCTCCTCCCTCCCCAACGTGTCGACATTTCCTGGATTTTGCTGTGCAGGAGATGAGATGGCACGGGTCATCTGGTCCATGATCAAAGAAAAGGTACGTTCACCTCGTGTCCTGACCTGTACCTGCCGCATACTCATACGCGCCTTAAGAACCTTATGAGTTCCTTGCCCCGCCCGTCCTTCTCTCTGCCTGCCTGCCTCTTTTCTCTCCTCTCTGGAGCTCATGCATCCCACTCACACTGTTCATGCCGTAAACATCCTTCTGCCTGCCTTCCTGCCCTGTATTCTCTCCTCTCTTATCCACAGCTCATCCAACCCTTCCTGTCTTCTTAACATCAACCACTTCCACCTGGGCCTGGGCCAGTCCACTGCCATGCACCTCACACTGCCATGCCCCATCCACCCCTCTGCCTGCCTCCCTGTCCGCCTGCCTATGTCCCCTGCACCACAGCTCATCCACCCCTTCCTCGATCTCAACATAAAGTACTTCGACCTGGGCCTGCCCTTGCCTGTTGCCCTGCACCTCACCCACACTGTTCATGCCCCATCCACCCTTCTGCCTCTCTCCCTTCCTTTCTCTGTACTCCCTTCTCCCCGCAGCTCATCCACCCCTTCCTCGACCTCAACATAAAGTACTTCGACCTGGGCCTGCCCATTGTTGTGCACCTGACAATGCTCATGCCCCATCCATCCTTCTGCCTGCCTGCCTCGTATCTTCCCCGCTCAACAGCTCATCCACCCCTTCCTCGATCTAAACATAAAGTACTTCGACCTGGGCCTGCCTCACCGCGAGGCCACCAACGACCAGGTCACGATTGAGAGCGCACAAGCAACACTCGAGTAAGCCTCTCAATTGCTCATTCTCAGAGTATAAGAATTCACACACAGGCTGTGAAAGGAACACCGCTAAAGAAAAAAAGACCCTGTTGGTGGAGGAGGTTCTGGGAATTCTCACAGAACACACAAGCAGTGTCTGAATTCCCTCAGTTGCTCATTTGCTCATTTTTCTCTACGCCTGGCGACCAGACTATCCCTCCAACCCCCCCCCCCCTTCCCCCTTCTGCATCTTTCCGGCTTCTTTCTTCCACCCCTTGCTCCTCCTTCCCTTCCTCCCTGCTCTGCTCTGCTTGTCATCAACTTTGTACAAAGTTATCCATACTCGCATTCCTCTACAAGCATCTCGTTCATACTTACCTTTTATTTGTCTCCAACAGGTATAATGTGGCAGTCAAGTGTGCGACAATCACTCCTGGTGCGTAAGTCGTAGGGCTATAAGTTGTGGGTGGTCAGTGTTGGGTCAGTGGTGGGTATAATGGTTGCGTGCGTGGGTTTGTCAGTGGTGGGTATAATGGTTGCGTGCGTGGGTTTGTCAGTGGTGGGTATAATGGTTGCGTGCGTGGGTTTGTCAGTGGTGGGTATAATGGTTGCGTGCGTGGGTTTGTCAGTGGTGGGTATAATGGTTGCGTGCGTGGGTTTGTCAGTGGTGGGTATAATGGTTGCGTGCGTGGGTTTGTCAGTGGTGGGTATAATGGTTGCGTGCGTGGGTTTGTCAGTGGTGGGTATAATGGTTGCGTGCGTGGGTTTGTCAGTGGTGGGTCAGTGGGGCTGTAAGCCTAAACGCCTCATTCACCTGCGTGGTGGTGCAACTCGATTGTGCGTGTTGTTTTCTGGCCTTGCACTCATCATGCGCCAATCTCACCACACCCTGTATGTCATGGCTCCCCTGTATGCCCCCCTGCGTGCCCCCCTCCCGGCATGCTTCCCTGCATGCTTCCCTGCATGCTTCCCTGCATGCTTCCTTGCATGCTTCCTTGCATGCTCCCCTGCGTGCTCCCATGCATGGATGCAGACGAAGAGAGGGTGCGGGAGTTTGGACTCAAGGCAATGTGGAAGAGCCCCAATAGTGAGATGCCACGTGGAAGGAAGAAGATGAAGAGCAAGGGGGGCTAATCAACAAATGTTGAGGCATTTTTTTAATATAGATTCTCACAATACCACCTGGTACTAAACATGTGTTGGTTGCAATGGCTATCACTGCAACTGCATCTCACTGCCTCTGTGCTTCTATCCTCCCATGTTCGTTCACCTTCATTGCGGTGTGTGCTGCTCTTTCTGTTCCGTGCAGGCACCATCCGCAACATTCTAAACGGTACGATGCCAGGCGTGCGTGGGTGTGTGTGTGCTGTCACATGTGTGCTCGTGTGTGCATGTATGTATGCGAGTGAATGTGTTTGTGCGTGTGTGTGCGCGCGCGAACACGGCGCACGCATGCGTGTACAAATGCACCTGCACCCCTGCGTGCACGAGCGTGTTTGTGCATTCTTTGACTGTAAGCCATGCATCTGTTCTCATTTGCCATTCTCATACATGTTTTCCAGACCCCCTTGCCGTATATCACTCCACTGCTTGGTCGTTCGTCATATCTTAGGGGGCGCAAGAACCGTCTTTCTCATTTGGCCCTTTGCTCCCCCTTAGAATTGGATGAACTGGAAGTTGAAATTCGGTTTCTTAGATAAGGCTTTAAGGTGCCTTATCCACCTCCATCCTCCCTCTGTTTCTTGGTCTGCAGGCACTGTGTTCCGAGAACCTATTCTCATCCGCAACATTCCCCGCCTCGTGCCATGTGAGTGTCCCATTAACCCAGTTTCCATACGCCGCTCTCCCCCTCTTACTCCCTCAACCCCACCCTCCCAACATTGCTCTTCCCCAGTTTCTCCTTTCCAGCAGAATAACCCCCTCACGCCCCACCCTCCCTCCCCTACCCTTCTCCACTCCACACCCAGAAATATTTAATGCTATTCCCGCCTCTTCCCACTCTCCCTCTTCGTCCCGTCACCTCCTGATGCCACAGCAGCACTGACCTTTCAATGCTTTCGTCCATGCCCTCCGCCTCTCACGCCCCTCCTCCTCCCTTCACCCCCCCATGTGATGTCATGTCACACCAGCATGGACGCACCCCATAGTGATCGGCCGGCACGCCTTCGGGGATCAATAGCGAGCCATTTTCATAGACAGTATGCCCGCTCTCCCCCGCCTTCACCCCCGCATGCCATCAAATCACATGTCACACCAGCATGGACGCACCCCATAGTGATCGGCCGGCACGCCTTTGGGGATCAGTATCGAGCCACTGAGATGGCCATTCCCGGCCCTGGCAAGCTCAAGCTAGTCTATGGTGAGTGGAGAGAGTTGGTTTCTAATGTCTTATCCGACTGTGTGCTCTAAGGTCACATGCCTTTGGTGATCCCAAGGTGCTGTGTGTTAAGTCAATGCTCTTTGAATGCGCTTGGGCAGTGGGATTGCAGTGAAAAAGTCTGAGTTGTCTGCTCTCTTATTTTCCTCATCGTCCTCGCCCTTCAAAAACACCCTGCAAGGCACCAGTCAAGTCTTGGACGTCTATGAGTTCAACTCGCCCCCTTCACCAGCAGCGCTACCTGATGCCTCTCTCTCATGCCCTTATCTGTGTCATGCCTCTTATCTTCCTCCTTACCCACCAGAAACCCCTCAAGGCACCAGTCAAGTCTTGGACGTCTATGAGTTCAACTCGCCCCCTTCACCAGCAGCGCTACCTGATGCCTCTCTCTCATGCCCTTATCTGTGTCATGCCTCTTATCTTCCTCCTTACCCACCAGAAACCCCTCAAGGCACCAGTCAAGTCTTGGACGTCTATGATTTCAACTCGCCACAGTCTGCAGCTGCTGCTGCTGGCGGTGTGGCTCTTGCCATGTACAACACAGATGAGGTGGGTGGGGAGGGGTTTAAGGCTTAGGGTTCCGGGTTCACGTCAGGACAGCGTTGCACTCTTGCCCTCGCTGCCAGCAGTGCTGCCGCTGCTGGCGGTGTGGCTCTAGCCATGTACAACACAGATGAGGTGGGCGGGGCAGGCGTTTATGAGATGTGGTTGCACGTGCATTACCATGTATCTTCCACAATGGAGCAATCTTGCATTGTTGCTCCCGCTGTCAGCAGTGCTGCTGCTACTGCCGGTGCTGGTGGTGGCGGTGTGGCTCTTGCAATGTACAACACAGATGAGGTGGGCAGGGCAGGGGACTAGCTAGACCCCCATTGACCAGCAACGTTGATCGCCATTGACCCTGGTTGACTTCTGTCAACTGCTGTTGACACCCACAATTCCCATTGACCCACACGGAACCTCGTTGACCCTCATTGACCCTCATTGACCCCCGTTGACTCCCATTGATTCCCGTTTACTGACGTTGGCTGCAGTCCATCACGGCGTTCGCCGAGTCATCCATGGCCATGGCGTACCAGAAGCGATGGCCCATTGACCCTCATTGACTCTCATTGACTTCCATGTGCAGTCCATCAGAGCATTCGCTGAGTCATCCATGGCCATGGCGTATCAGAAGAGGTGGCCGCTGTATCTGAGCACCAAGAACACCATCCTCAAAACCTACGACGGCAGGTGGGTGGGTGTGTCCTGTGTGCTGTATGCTTTGAGTTGCCTCAGAAGCGAGACCACTGTCTCTTTTGAGGCGTATCGGAAGAGGTGGCCGCTGTATCTAAGCACCAAGAACACCATTCTCAAGACATATGACGGCAGGTGGGTGTGTGAGTGCGCGCACGTGCTCGTTGTGTGCTTTACAAATTTTCAAAAGCGAGCGAGTGTGAAAGTGTGCTTGAATGCGCTCACATGCTGCTGCTAAACGGCCCTCACATCATTCTTTTCTGGTGAAGATTGATGCCCTCACACTCGCTGTGGATGCGAGTGTGGGCATCTTTATGTTCTCACCTCCCATCCTTGCCCATATGTCGTCGTGGTTGGTTTGACTTGACTCAAATGTCATGATTGTCACGCATGCATGCGCTGCGCGCTCATTCTCGCTCCCGCATACATGCAGGTTCAAGGATATTTTCCAGGATGTATACGAAAGCAAGTGGAGGCATCAGTTTGAAGCGGCGGGGGTGTGGTATGAGCACCGGCTGATTGACGACATGGTGGCCTTCTGCCTCAAGAGCCCTGGGAGGGCGGGGTGGTCTCTACTCAACTAGCCATGTGTGCTCCCCTCCCTGTTCGCAGGTTCAAGAACATATTCCAGCAGGTGTACGAAGATAAGTGGAGGCATCAGTTTGAGGCAGCAGGGGTGGGGTATGAGCACCGGCTGATCGACGACATGGTGGCCTTCTGTCTCAAGAGCCCGGGGGCGTTCGTGTGGGCGTGCAAGAACTACGATGGAGACGTGCAAAGCGACATGCTGGCACAAGGTATGCGGGTGGGTGGGAGGAGCAGGGGGGAAAAAAGAGGTGTGTGACGTGTTCTTTGTTAATGTGTCATGTGGAATCTGTTGGGCGTTCGTGTGGGCGTGCAAGAACTATGACGGGGACGTGCAGAGCGACTGCTGGCTCAAGGTATGGGGGTGGGTGGGGCGAGCAGGGGGGAGAGAAGAGGTGTGTTCTATGTTAGTTTGTCATGTGGCATGTGGGGGGCGTTCGTGTGGGCGTGCAAGAACTATTATGGGGACTTGCAGAGCGACTTGCTGGCTCAGGGTATGTGGGAGGGAAGTAAACAGGAGTGGGCCGAAAGAAACATTGCAAATCTGTACTGTGATGTGATCGTGCCGCTTTCGTTTCTGCGGTGTGCTGTTCGTCGTTACATGTTTACATGTTTCTGACAAGAGCGCAGTGGGTCTTCTCTTGCAGGTTTTGGCTCCCTTGGCCTCATGACCAGCATTCTGGTGAGTGGTTCCATTCCCAGTGATTCTTGAGGCGACTCAGAAGTCCATGCGTTTCCAGTGGTTCCAAGTTTTTTATGCTCTCTGAGGGTTTGGCCCACGTGAGCTCATGACCAGAGTGGCTTTCCACTGTCGCTCTGTTTGAGGTTGATTTTGAGAATTCTCAAAATCAACCTCAAACAAAATGAGGGTTTGGTGCACGTGAGCTCATGACCAGAGTGGCTTTCCACTGTCGCTCTGCCACTGATGCAGCAGATGCAACAGAGCACCCAACGTACGCTTGAGACGTGTCAGAAGATGCAGCAGATGCAACAGAGCACCCAACACTGAACTTCCCCACGGCAGGCGTTTCCACTCGTGACCGTGTCTCCCATCCCATGTGCCAGGTGTGTCCGGATGGGAAGACAGTTGAAGCGGAGGCAGCACACGGCACGGTGACGCGGCACTACCGCGTGCATCAGAGGGGAGGGGAGACGAGCACCAACAGCATCGCCTCCATCTTCGCCTGGTCCAAGGGGCTCGCACACCGGTGGGTTGGGTTGTGAGGGGGTAGGTGGGATGGGAGAAGCACTGTGCTGAAACAGTTTTCACTCCCTGCCTCTCTCCCCTCACCTCCCCATGCCCCTCTTCGTCCAGGGCCACTCTGGACGGCAACAGCAGACTCGCAGCATTCTGCAACCAGCTGGAGGCGGCGTGTGTTGATACGGTGGAGAGCGGTGGAATGACCCGCGACCTGGCCCTACTGGTGCATGGAAACAAGTGCGTTGAGTTGTCCCTCAACTCGACAGGTTTCTTGCTTTAGCACTTATTCGACACTGCACACCTTTGTCATGGTATACGTTTGTTCATTCTTTCATCCGTTTCTCCAGCCTCCCACTGGTGCCCTTGTCATTTGCCTTTCAGAACCCACAACCCCCCCACCCCCGCCCCCCATCTTCCCCCCACACCCCTCTCCCCCCCCCCTCCCATTCTCAACCCCCCCCCTTCAACCCCCCTTACAATGCAGGGTGTCGCGGGGAGACTACCTCAACACAGAGGAGTTTATAGATGCAGTTGCTGCCTGCCTTAGACAATGCCTGTTGAGTGGAGGGGAGGGGTGTGATGGGCGTAGTAGGATGTAATGCATAGTTGATATGGCAAACGTAGTGCAAACATGGAGGAGCTATAGTAGTTGTATATGGCAATTATAGTGCAAACATGATGCAGGTGGCCATCTACTTTTCTTTGATGTACAGTGCAAGCAAAGGGCTTGCATGGCCAATCATTGTTGAGATTTGTCAGACTAAAACAGGTGTGCGAATTGTAGTGTCACAAGGTACACCATGAGATGTACCCCAGGTCGGTCTAACCATGTGTCACGAGGTGTGTCACCAGGTGTGTCACAAAGTGCATCACGAAGTGTGGGTAGGTTCCGATCTTCGACATAAAGCACTCCATGAACGGCCTGAGGAACATTTTTTGGTACAGCGAAAGTTGGATTCGGCAGTATGTGCGTTTTCGTTTTCGATCCCCTTGTCACGGTTTTTGTTCTCTGGATTGTGTTCCTCAGCCGTAATGCCCTAGAACCGTGTCTCCGAGTGAGGAACCCAACAGAACCGCAATCAATGACTGGAAACGAACGCGCTGACCTCCCTGTGACTCTACCTATTCATTTCGTACACGCCATCCGCTTACTGCTTGAAGTAAAATCTTCAACCCAAACATGCTGGTGCCAATACGGATTTCTACGGTACCAATTCAGTAGCGTACTTGCTGCTTGTCAGGGCGGCCAATTCTTGTGGGACACGTTTCCCTGGCATTCCCGTGCTTCTGTGGCTGTGGTCTGCTGTCTGCCGTGGTCTGCTCTTTCAAAGCTTCACGTCCGGCAAAATCGTCCAGCATTCCTCATTCCGTAATCAATTTACCTTCCGCTTCCCACATAGGTCTCACTGAGACGAATTACGAGTGTGCATTCGTAGGTTCTGTGCTGCGTCGACGTACCGTTTACCGACTGCCGGACTGTTGACGGCTGCCGTAGCTTTTAGTAACGTTCATTCTTACATGGTCATCAAGTGTATGGATTTCGAGTTGTAGAAAAAGTTGGCCGCAATGTCGGTCGCAGTCTGGTAACAGGAGCTTTCCTCATTCTGGTGGTGCTTAATTAGCAAAAACACCCGAAGTGCAAACAATATGCCTGTCGCACCGCCGTCTGATAAAAGGTCCCGAGTTAGAGCGACGTTTACGTAACGAACGAGGAGTTGCGAAGCGATGGATTCCTAGCGTCCAGAAATCTACAAGTGCGGAAGCCGTAGCATTTAGTCACGATGCCAGTCGTGGAGGATACGGAATTTGTCAACTTGTGTTGACGAGCTCATTCACAACAAAGACACACTCGAGTCACGAACATTTCGCATAATTGTACATATTTTCTTAATTTCGTTGCCTTTCCTTACGTCTCGGATTAATTAGTGATCGCCTTGTACAATAATCGAGTTTTTGGACGTCTCAGGGTACACATGCTATCGCATTTGTGCAATAAGGCAATAATGAGCACGGGATCACTCGCTACTCCTTCGCCAACTGTTACCGGTTCTAACGCCGCCAGCCAGAAAATGCCAGCGATGGGGTTCGAAGAGCGGCTCAGGCGCATGTGTGATCGAGCCAGGCAGATTGACGAGGCGGCGGGAAACGGCCTGTCTGACAGCGAGAAGCAGCAATGCCTGGAGGAGCAGAGGGAGGAGGTGAGATGAGTCTGAGAGGGGTGAGGTGAGGCTTAGAGGGGTGAGATGAGGCTGAAGCGAACGGTACGATTAAGCTGACTCGAGCTACAACTTAGCTCTACGTTTGCAGACCTCTTCACAATCTCAGCACTCTCCTTAGCCTCACTTTGCAATGCCGTTTTGTGCCGCTTTATGCCGTTGCCATTTTCGCCACCCATTCATTCGACAACCTCTTACACAATCATCCACCAATCTATTCAACCACCAATCCTCACCTCCACGCGTCCATGCCTTACGCCAGGTGGAGGCTCTTCAGTCCATTTTCGACTCTGACTTTGAGCCCATTTGGCTCGCATCCTCCTCCTCCTCCTTCCCTTCCTCGCCCACCTCCTCCTCTGCTTCGCAAGAAGCGGCCGCTGCTAGTTTCACAACCTCGCCTTACAACTGTTTCATGGTACGAGATGACTTGGGTTTTCAGAATGCTCCACAACCGTTTCCTATAGCGGTTACGTGGCACGAAATCAACTGGTTTTTTGTCACTTTATTAACCCCCCCTTCTGAGACGATTAAGTACTTGCATACGTGTCCTTAAAGAAACACTTGTCTCATCGCTCTGCCCACTATACCTTCTGACGTCATAATTTCCTTTCCCCCTTCCCGTTCAGATTGACATCCGCATCACCGTACCCTCGCCCATGCTCGTAGTCCCCTCGCCTCCTTCTGCAACTTCTTCCTCCTCCTCTACCTCTTCTTCCAACCCCTCCTCCTCCTCCTCCTCCTCCTCCTCCTCCTCCTCCTCCTCCTCCTCCTCCTCCTCCTCCTCCTCCTCCTCCACCACCACCACATCCTCCTCTCCCCACACCCCTCTCCCTCGCCCCTTCCTCATCTCGCATCTCCCCCCTCTCCGCCTCCTCGCTCTCCTCCCCCACACCTACCCCTCCGCCTCCCCGCCCCTCTTCGCCCTCTTCTCCTCCTGGCTCTCCCACGCCCAGCTGGCACGCCTCTGCGCTGAGCTGGACGCCACGTGGCAGCAGCAGAGTGGCCTGGTCGTGCTGTACACGTGGGCAGCGTGGCTTGGCGAGGAGACGCTGGGGTGCCTGGGGATTGGCCAGGATCTGAGGCTTGCAGGTGGAGAGGGTTACGGGGCAGTAGGGCGCGAAGGAGGAATGATTGGAGAAGACAGAGAATCACCAGCAGCAGCAACAGCGGCAGTGGCGGCAGGAGGAGAAGCAGCAGCAGCAGCAGCAGCAGAAGCAGCTGCTGCATCGGCATGCTCATGCCAGGACCCAGCAGAAGTGGGTGTGGGTGCAGCAGGTTACTGCAGGGCAGTATACGAGGGCATGTCTCTACACGACGATCTGGCCCTCCTGAAGCGGTGGAGCAAGGAGATGGACGACCGCGTGTTCCGGGCGTCTCTCCACGCGTGCGCCATATGCTTCTCTGAGAAGCCCGGCTCCGAGTGTGTGCGCGGTGCCACTGCTGCGTGCACGCATGCGTTTTGCAGCGCGTGCATGAGGGCGTTTGCAGAGGCGAATGTGGCTGAGGGGAATTTACAGGCGCTCAAGTGCCCTGATACCAAGTGCCGCGCTCCCCTCTCCTATGGTAGGCCGTCCCACTCCCACACACACCTCTTCACGCTTTGACCTGAACTTCACATTTGAACTGCCTCTGAAGCAGCTGACTCTCCAGCGCTCCCTAGACGCCATGCCAGACATTGCCTTCTGCCCGCGCTGCAGCCACAAATCTCCCCTTCCCCCCTCGTCCCTCCCACTTCCTCGTGCCCATACATATCTCCTGCTCACCCTGCTCCCTGCGTCCCTGTTTTCCCGCTGGGAGCAGCTGACCCTCCAGCGCTCCCTAGACGCCATGCCCGACATTGCCTTCTGCCCGCGCTGCATCCACTGTCCCTCCTGCTTCCCGGACCCACAGATCTCCTGCGCACACTCCTTCCTGCGCCTCTCTTCACGCGCTGGGAGCAACTGACCTTTCAACGCTCCCTAGACGCCATGCCAGACATTGCCTTCTGCCCACGCTGCTCCCAGCCCGCAGTGGAGGACCCATCAGACCACCATGCACTCTTCCCACTTTCCTGCTTCCCCAAAGCCGTCACATGCTCTTTCCTCACCCCCAACCCATCCGCTTTGTACCCTGCCCCACCCCCTCTGCCCTCTCCTGCTCAACAGACCTCCTGCGCACACTTCTCCCTAGTGCCCTATTCTCCCGTTGGGAGCAGCTAACCCTGCAGCGCTCGCTAGACGCCATGCCAGACATTGCCTTCTGCCCGCGCTGCTCTCAGCCGGCTGTGGAGGACCCTTCTGATCACCACGCGCTGTGCCCCGGGTGCTTCTTCTCCTTTTGTGGGGTGTGCCGTGAGGGGTTTCACAGAGGCAGAAGCTGCATCACTCCGGAACTTGCCCTCAAACTCATGAAGGTGAGAGTGTGGTGCGACTGCTGAAAACCCCTTCCAAATATCACCACGAGCTGTGCCCCGGGTGCTTCTTCTCCTTCTGCGGGGTGTGCCGCGAGGGCTTTCACCGGGGCAGGAGCTGCATCACTCCCGAGCTTGCTCTCAAACTCATGAAGGTGAGGGGGGGATTGCTGAGGCGACTCAGAAGCTGTATAAGGACCCATCAGGCCACCATGCGCTGTGCCACGGGTGCTTCTTCTCCTTCTGCGGGGTGTGCCGCGAGGTTTTTCACCGGGGCAGAAGCTGCATCATTTTGGAACTCGCCCTCAAATTGATGTGGGTGGGAGGGCAGGCGCATTGGGCGACTTTTTTAGGGGGGTTAGAGTGACTTGTTAGAGCTTGAGCTCACGTTCTAGGGTTTAAGCTCTGATGATGACTTTCTGCCAGGAGGAGTGAACTCTAGGAGTGAGGGAGCTGAGCAATCAGACAGTTTTCTGAAGGTTTGCCCCGTGCCCCTCTTCTCTTCTCTTCTCTTCTCTTCTCTTCTCTTCTCTTCTCTTCTCTTCTCTTCTCTTCTCTTGCTTTTCCCTCGCCTGTTTCAGTTGCGGAAGCAGGAGCGGGCCCTAGCAGAGGAGGAGTTGAGGAAGCAAAAGGACCTGGAGCAACAAGTACTTAGCCTTAAGTGAGTCTTGGTCTCAAGTGGTTCAAGTAAGTACTTAGTCTCAATCAACTGAGTGCTAAGCCTTAATTGAGTGTTTCTCTCAAGTGAGTACTTACTTTATCTCTCTCTTGCATCCTTCAGGCTGGTGGAGGAGTCGAGTGTGCAGTGCCCCATGTGCAGCACGGCCATCAGCAAGAGCGATGGGTGCAACAAGATGGTCTGTCCCACCTGCAACACCTTCTTCTGCTACCGCTGCCACGCGCGCATCGACGGTTACGACCACTTCACGTATGTTAATGTTTTATGTATGTTACCACTTTATGTTTATGTTACCACTTTATGCTTATGTTACCACTTTATGTTTTTTACCATCTTATGTATGTTAACACTTCATGTATATTACCACTTTATGTATGGTACCACTTCAAGCATGTCACCACTCTGTTACCACCACTCTACGTATGTTATTGCTACGCATGTGTTACCACTGCATGCATGTTACTTTTGAGTTGCAATATGGTGTAAGGTTGGGGGGCGCGTTCCGGGGTGTGAAGGCGGTGACCTTTGTCTTCACCTTTGTCCTCTTGTCTTCTTGTCTTCTTGTCTTCTTTCCCCAACTCTTCCTTGCCAACCTGCCATCACCAGCGACAGCAACTGTGTGCTGTTTGAGGCAGCAGATGTAAAGCAATGGGAGATGCAAATCGCATACCCTCATGCCCCTCTTTTTCCCTATTGTTCCCCGTGCAACCTTCCATCACCAGGAAAGGCAAGTGTGTGTTGTTTGAGGCAGCGGAGATAGAGCTGTGGGAGTCTGGGAGGTTCAAGTCACATAACCTCATGCTCTTTGTTTTCCTATTTTCTCCTTGCAACTCTGAATCTTCAGGGAGGGAAAGTGTGTGTTGTTTGAGGCAGCGGAGATAGAGCAGTGGGAGATGCAAATGGCAGCCATGGCTGAAGCACAGAACCACAACCAACGAGCTGCGCCGCCCATCGGGGCGGATGGCAGGCCGCTGCTTGCGAGACGCTGCCCCAACTGCCGCCAATTCAACTTTAAGGTTAGCACATGCCCCCAGCAGTTAGGCGTACTGCATCTTGCAGGGCGGTGCTTAGCTAAGTGCTGGGTAGGTAGGCATGTTAGGCTTCATGGTAGTGTTCCTGGATGCAGTTTTGAAGCTTATCCTGTTTTTGCAACTTGTTTTTTCTTTCTTTCAGGAGGGGAGGAACAACGATATGCACTGTCGGAATTGTCGTACACGCTTTTGCGGCATGTGTAACCAGGTCATGAGAAATGTGTACCATTTCCGACCCAATGGATGTCGCCAACACACTGATGACTGACCCGTTGGATTGGTCGTGAGAAAATTGTTCCTGGTTATGGCGTGTATAGCATCCATCCATGGTCTACTATTGTTTACTGCCCTTATATTTTAATTTCACGTTGTTGTCTTTTTATAATATTCGTGTTTCAAGAATGAGTTTTTTTAGCGGATAGTGCCGTTACTCTTTCTTAATTGCGGAACATCTCTTACCGCGATAACGAGCGAGACCTTTTCTGACGATCACTGGACGTCAACTGTGCTCCCTGAGCCGACAAAGTAAGCTCCTGTGCGACACTCTTCGCAAATTGTGCGCGCGCCAACGGCCGGATTTGCGAAGCCCGCGCCCTGCCGACAGAACCAAAATTCGGCCATCCAATGCGGCTCGTGGGTCGCGGGGAAAGGCTTGGCGGCGCGGTTCGCCAATTTGGTTGAGAACTTGAGCACATTGGCGCCGAGGGACGGGGCAGACAAAAACTTGCAGGCACAGAGAGGGAGGGGAGGAGGCTTGGGAAAAAAAGGGGAAAAGAACGCTTGTGACGGCACAATTCAATTCGCAGAAACATGTTGCTGCCCAACTGCCCAACACCCTCCCGGTCTTCCCTCGCATCATCGTGCTCCTGCTAAAGAAGTCTCTCGATGAGCTAGCCTTGGGCAGTGTCCTTGCGTTGCGGTGGACTCTCAAAATCGAATTTTATCCCGCCTTGAGATGAGACTCATCCTACCCACCTGCGAACGTCGCCGTCCTTGTTGAACCGTTTCGCGCGTACCGCGTTGCCTCCCTCTCGCCCGCCCCTCAATATCCGACTGTTCGGCCAACTCCATCCGCTCCCTGCACCTTTCAAATAAAAGCCTTTCTCTGACCGACATTGCGTTTGTTTTCGTCCCAAGCCCGCTCACCACCACCGTCCAAGGGGAGATTTGAACCCTCTCGTTCAAACTCCTCTCATAACACGTCGTGCGTTGCTCGTCGCCTCCACCAGAGTCAGCACCCAGCTGACTCTTAGCACCCAGCACCCAGCTCCTGCTTAGCTTACCTATTCAAGCACCCAGAGTAACTCTTCCATCCGGCGTTCCTCGCGCTACGTTTTGTTTTCCCAAGGTCCAGTTGACAAAAGTACAGTTGACCTAGACCGCGTCTCCCGCTCCAGATTTCTCTTCGTCGCATTTGAGAATTCTCTAAAGCGAATTGTTTCACTGCCAGCAATGTCGATTTCAAGCCTCGCGAGCAGATCGCGCTCGCACTCGCGGCTACACCGCCGGCAATCCCAATTTTTTCTAGCAATGCCTCGCGAGCCCATCACACTCTCCTCGCGGCTCCTCGCGGCCCCCCTCATAGTCTTTCTCCTCCTCCTCCTCACCAACTCTTCCCAAGCCACAGTCGCAGCCGCCTTCCCCCACGCCTCCGCCCATGCGCGGTGGTTGCAGGACGTCTCCGCTCCTCCCCCTCCCCCCATCGTCTCTCCTCCGCCTCCCCTTGCGACGGTTTCTCCCCCTCCGCCTGTCGCCGCGGGTTCGACCACTTCCCCTCCACCGCCCGACTCCTCCCCTCCCCCTCCTACCCCCTCCCCTCCACCCCCCACCACCTCCCCCTCACCTCCGCTCTCCCCTCCTCCTTCACCTCCTTTGTCCCCCCCTCCTTCACCGCCGCTCTCTCCACCTCCTACTCCCCCCTCTCCTCCACCCTCCCCTCCCCCGACTCCTCCGCCTCCCCCGTCCCCGCCTCCGCCGCCTCCCCCGCTGGGGACCTGCCCCGCACCGTTCACGGTCGGCGCGCGCTGCACTAACTGCACCACGGCCGGCGGCTGTATCTGCGATTCGTTCGGCGTGTGCCGGCCGACCTGCAGCTACGTGCCCGGCGTGGATTACAAATCCCCCACGTGGCGGCGCGCGTGCAACACGTGCCCGAGCAAGCGCCTCGGCGTGCCGAACGCGCAATGCGCGTGTGATATCAAAGGGAGCCAGCAGTGCGTTGATTTCTGCGCGCTCCCGGAGAACAACAACGGCGTGACAGCGTGCGTGGGGTGCAAGAACGCGACGGGCAACGGGTGCGTGTGCGGGCGCGGGCAGTGCGTTGACGCGTGCAGCACGGCCAACCCCATGTCGGCCCTCGTCCGAGGCGCGCCCTGCACCGTCGGATGCTCGTAAGTCGAACCGAACCTGCGCCGTCGGATGCTCGTATGTAGAGTCGCGCACACCGTGGTGCTTACCTCGAATTCTCGTCAATATACAGCGGACGTTTTCCGCCTACGTTCAGAATTTTCAGCTTAATTTACGGTCGTATTTTCTCGTCTTCGTTTGGCTGGCTGTTGGGCGTGGGCAGGGCCAAGGCGGGGAAGGACGGGTGCGTTTGCTCGCCGTCCAAGGGCAAGTGCGTGCCGTTCTGCAACGAGAAGGACGGCTTCAAGTGCACCAACTCCGACTCCGGCGAGGGCTACTGCCGCGCGGGGCTCTGCTACGACATCTGCGCCATTGCCAGTGAGTGCATGTTATTTGAAATACATTAGAAATGAACGAATTCCTGCAGACGCTTTTTCAACGTCAAGCATCAGTGCGGAAACTCATCGCCATTCTTCGTGATTCCCTTTCTTCCCGTTCGCGACAGAGCCCGGCACTGTTTGCCGCACGTGCAACACGACGAAAGGCGGCTCGTGCGCCTGCGGGTCGTCGGGCAAGTGCGAGCCCGACCTCTCGTGCTCAGGACCTTCTCCCGTGCCGCTCGACTTATCGAGCGGGTACCCGTGCACCTCGTGCCCTAACGCGTATTATTACCCCGTTAATAACATTAACGTTGTGACTGCGCCGGGGTGTAGATGTGCTGGGAAAGGGAAGTGCGTGGAGCCTTGTAACGGGGGGATGGCGGAAGGCGCGGTGTGTAGCGGCGGAGCGGCGTGCGCGGATAACACGAACGGATGCAGGTGTACCCAAGGGCGGTGTAGACCGTTCTGTGAGCTGCCTACTAACGAGGGAGCTGCTTGCGGGGATATGTTTTCGCAGCAGGGGACGTGCGTTGGCGGGAAGTGTGTGCCTCGGTGTGGAGTGGCGGGAAGCGACGGGCTACAATGCAGTTACAACTGCACGAGGTAAGCAAGCGAGACGATTGCTGGGTGCGTGGAGGTGGAGCGAGCGGATGGGGGAGATAGGGGTGGAAAGAAGGAGGTTTGAATCTAAAACCTCCTGGCCCAGACAATCTCGTGCCAGTTGATACCACCTTTTTTTCTCATTCTGCTCATACTCGCTTGCTCGTACATCCGCTCATTCATCTTGTCTTCAAACTGCACCTCTCTCCCGTTTGTGTATGTGATTGCAGCCAAGTGTGCTTATGCTCTGCTGGTACGTGCAAGCCGCAGTGTCAACTACCCAATGCCGAGGGCGGTGAATGTTTCGACAGGTGTGACAGCGGAGGGCCGTGCAGGTGTTTGAGAGGGGAGTGTGTCAATAAATGCCAAGTGCCAGCTAATGAGGGTACCAGATGTGTTGACTGCGCTCGTAATCCATACTGCAAATGCAGAAGTGGGGCGTGTGTTAATGAGAGGTGAGGGTGGGTCTGACTGGTAGAGGTGAAGTTTGGCCTAGGGCAGAAACCTTGGCAAATAAGTTCATGCTGCTTTGCTCTACTTGCTCGGCTGCATGTGGCATGTTTCTAACAGACCAGGTACATGTAACTTTCTGCCTAGTCACCACAATTTCTGACAATTTGGTCCCAGAATGCAGAGCATGCCATACTTGTTGAAATGTGACTTGCTAATGTGCCTCATGGCCACTGTTTCTTTTCACAAAGTTTGTTGTGTGCCACACTCTCAGCACGTGGTGCGCCTCTCGAAACCCTACATTCAAATCAACTTCTTCCCTATTTCATAAATCTGGTGCGGTGTTTAGCTCTACTGTTCCTACCCCTCATCCCCTCTTTGTCATTGCCTAGTCAAAAGTACTATCACAAATGAGTGATTATAAACCGCCTATGTTTGTATTCAGTGATCTGGTAACACTAGTAAAACACTGAAATCATTAAAACTGAACCGTGAATGTCAGGACCTCGATGTCAGCCCCTGCCCGCCACGAGTCTGGAACTTCGAAATTCCCGCGCGATTCCCCACGGCCTTTCCCTCTTCGTCCTTCTCCTCGAAGTTGGCTCGAGTTTGTGTTCAGTTCAGACACACCTCAGAACGGTAAATTTTGACTGGAATTTGGCTGGGGATCGTTTTCGTTGGCAGGTGGTGGTTTCTGTCTCCGTGTCGGCATCTTGCTGACAGACTATGACAGGTTACTTGTAGTAAGTCGTCGACTATTATTTTTGGGTTCAGATTTAGTGCTCTTCTTCCCTCGATCGTATGTGATTTTGTGATCTGTTACCTCTATCATACGCCACCGTACCACTGTCCAACTAAAGGAATCAGTCGAATTTTGACAGGTCTAATACTTGATTAGTCCTATCCCAAGGCCAGCTTGAAGTATAATCACAGCCAATCAGGCGTCCTAAAAAGAGCAGGATCGAGGCAGGATGTCGTGGATATTCAATCGAGGCACTGGCAGCGGCAACTCCCCGTCTCCAGCTGCGTCTCCTGCTGGAGCCGCACGATCTCCCTCGTCCGGGCTAAGATCACCCATGCCGTCATTACCTAGGCAATCAAATCCATCAACACCTTCTCAACCCACTCCTGCTACCCTATCCCCGTTACCTCAATCCCGAGGAGCCGGATCCCCGGTCGCCGCGTCGATTCCCGATCCGCTGACATCACGCGCGATCCGGCTGGTGTATAAGGATGATCAGGGCGTGTTTCGGATGGATCCCGAAGCCGTCAGCGCGCTGCGTCGACTGCGAGGACCCCTCGGGGTTGTCGCGGTGTGCGGAAGGGCGAGGCAGGGAAAGAGCTTCATACTGAATCAGGTAGAAATGAGGGGGTCGTTGCTGTTGACTGGACGTACAAGGGATGTCTCGAATGGAACCCCCCAGGGACGAAAGTGCGCGAATCTCTCCCAGGGATAGTGTCATCTTCCAGCGTAAACGCTAATCCCTAGCGTCATATTTCAGCTGCTGTGTCCTTCCTAAGATTTCTCAAAGTGACTCGCATATATGAGTGCGCGAATCCTAACCCCCCGTTTCGCAGCTGCTGGGACGCAGCAGCGGGTTCGCAGTGAATCCCGTCTGCCTGGTCACCGCGTTCCTTCTCATCCGGTCCCCTCTTTCCCTTCCTAACCCTTCCTCCGCAGCTGCCGGGTCGCAGCAGCGGGTTCACAGTGGGCCCGACGCACCGGCCTTGCACCCTGTGGATCGCTTTCGTCCCCGCTCCTTGTTGCCCAAACTTTTTTATCCAATCCTTCTTCTCCCCTTTCCCTCATCCGCAGCTGCTGGGTCGCAGCAGTTCACAGTGGGCCCCACGCACCGGCCGTGCACCAAGGGGTTGTGGATCTGGAGCTCTTTCGTGTCTTGTTTCTTGAACCCTCTCCTTCCTTTCGTTGTTTCTCCAATCCTCTCGATTCGTCTCCTCCCGTAATCCTCCCTCTCAGCTGCTGGGTCGCAGCAGCGGGTTCACGGTAGGCCCCACGCACCGGCCGTGCACCAAGGGGCTGTGGATCTGGAGCTCGCCCGTCAAAGTCACGGCGCCGGACGGATCGTCGTACCACCTGCTGCTGCTCGACTCAGAGGGCATCGACGCGTACGACCAGACGGTGAGACACTTCATTAGCCAGGGGTGGCTGGGGGGGGGGGTTGACGCACCGGCCGTGCACCAAGGATCTGGAGCTCGCCGGTTAAAGTCACGGCTCCAGACGGGTCCTCGTACCACCTGCTGCTGCTGGACTCAGAGGGCATCGACGCCTACGACCAGACGGTGAGAGCTTTTAAACCATCAGGATTGATAAGGTGACAACTTCTGAGGGATTGTACCTGTTGTTGCTGCTGGGCCTCAGAAGGCATCGACCAGACGGTGACAGACCTTCATTGATCTGGTGGTCCAGGCTTTTATGTGTGGAGCAAAAGCCATCCATGAATGCTTCGCTTGAAGGGCACATACAGCACCCCGACTTCCTTCCTCCTCACCCTTGTTCTCTCCTGTCCCTCGTCTGAAGGGCACATACAGCACGCACTTTTTATTGCTAGCTGTTCTGTCTTTTGAGTTGACTGAAACGCCACCTCCGCACTTCCTTCTGTCTCTTGTGTGTCACGTGTGCAGGGCACGTGCAGCACCTTTGACGTCTCAACGCTACTTCCCTCCTCACGCCTCTCTTTTGCCCCCCCGTCCACAGGGCACGTACAGCACGCAGATCTTCTCGCTGGCAGTGCTGCTGTCATCCCTGTTCGTGTACAACCAGATGGGGGTATTGATGAGTCGTCTCAATGCCTCCTTCCTCCCCTCACTTGTTCTCTTGTGTGCCGCATGTGCAGGGCACATACAGCACGCAGATCTTCTCGCTGGCAGTGCTGCTGTCATCCCTGTTTGTGTACAACCAGATGGGCGGCATCGATGAGTCGTCTCTGGACCGCCTCTCCATGGTCACCGAGATGGCCAAGCACATCCAAGTGCGCGCCAACTCCGCCTCCGCCGCTGCACCTGGAGCAGGAGGAGCGGGAGGAGCAGGAGGATCGTCCTCTGTCACGCAGGAGCTTGGGCTCTTCTCCCCCGTGTTCTTCTGGCTCTTGAGGGTAAGTGTTGAGACAGTAGTCGTCTCTGGACCGCCTCTCCATGGTCACTGAGATGGCCAAGCACATCCAAGTGCGCGCCAACTCCGCTTCAGCAGCAGGAGGAGCAGGAGGAGCGGGTGGTGGTGCTGGTGGTGCCGGTTCGTCTTCTGTCACGCAGGAGCTGGGACTCTTCTCGCCCGTGTTCTCCTGGCTGCTCAGGGTAAGCCGCCGCGGACCGGGGTAAGGTGTGAGGCATGGCACAGCAGGGGCAGCAGGAGGAGCAGCAGCATCAGCAATGTGAGCAGGGTGAGTAGGGTCACCAGGCTCGGGTGGTGGTGGTGGTGGTGGTGGTGGTCGAAATGAGGCCCTGTTGGTCTTACGGAGGAGGATGGATGTGTGATCAATTCTGGGTTTTGTTTTTTTATTCTGTTTTTCCTCCTCTTTCGCCAGACGTTCACACTCCATTGCCTCTTCGCGTCTCTCCCCTCTGCCTCGTCCGACAGGACTTTTACTTTGATCTCACTGAGGACGCCGGGTGATCACCCCGCGGTACCTTCTGTCTCTCCTCTTTGTCACCCTCGAGTACCCTCCTCCCTCCCCCTCTCGACTCTGCAGGACTTTTACTTTGACCTCACGGAGGACGGTCGGGTGATCACCCATCGGATTACCTTCTGTCTCTCCTCATTCTCATGACCTCCTCCTTTCACCCCCCCATCATCACAGGACTTTTACTTTGACCTCACGGAGGACGGCCGGGTGATCACCCCGCGGGACTACCTGGAGACGGCGCTGCAGTCCATGGCAGAGGGCTCTGAGTCCGCACGCGCCAAGAACCAGGTGGGGCGTGGTGGGGTGCGGTGGAGTGCGGTGGGCCGTGGTGGGGTGTACATAGTGGTACGTGGGGCGTGGGCTGCTGTGCATGCACCTGGAGACAGCGCAGCAGTCCATGGCGGAGGGCTCTGAGTCTGCATGGGCTAAGAGCCAGGTGGGCTGTGGAGGGGCGCGGTAGCGAGTGGTGGGATGTGGGTTGGTGCAGTTGTTCTGTCTGTTGCTCCTGTGCTGCTCTTCCTCCTTCTCCTTGCAACTGTTCACAGTGCAAGGCTCGCACGGCGGCGGTTTGGGGTGTTTCGTTTTTCACCGATTGTGTTTCAACCTCCATTCCAATCCCAACACGAATCCGATTCCTAACTCCCATCCCAACCAAACATCCGTTCCACCATTTCACGCGTGCAGATCCGCGAGTCTATCCGCTCTCTCTTCCCCGATCGCGACTGCTTTGCGTTGGTGCGCCCTATAAGCAACGAGCGCCTGTTACAGAAGCTCGACCACCTGCCCGTGAGTGCTGTGAGGTGTGCTGTGCTGTGAGCCTCCCGTGTCTTGCTTGTTGTAGGCACCCCTCAGTGGCAACCCCACTTGCTCTCTGCCCTCGTGCGCCCTATAAGCAATGAGCGCCTGCTGCAGAAGCTCGATCACCTGCCTGTGAGTGCTGGCGTGGGTTGTGCTGTGTCGTGTCTTTTCCCCGTGTGTAGCTTAATAGCTTTGTTTCATACCTCCTAGTAGCTTATGTCCTCTTGTGCGCCCCATATGCAACGAGCGCCTGCTGCAGAAGCTCGACCACCTGCCTCTGAGTGCTGTGACCACAGCACGAACGACGCTATTCTGTCATACAGAGTTAGTGATCAGGTATGCTCTCTGTTCTCTGTTCTCTTCCGCCAGTCAGCAAAGGTGTTTCCTCACACGTCTCCTCGTTGCTCTCCACTTCCTTGCACTCACTTCACTCCTCCAGGTGGACGTGTTCTTGAACACTTCTCGCCTCAAGCAGGGGCTAGACGTGTTCACCCAGGAGGTGTTTGCGTCAACTGTCTCCTCTTTTTGTGCACCTCTGCCTTCTCTTACCCACCTGTCCCCACACATGCAGATGGACCAGCTCCGTCCCGAGTTCACGCAGGGGTTATACATCTTCACCCAGGCTGTGTTTGTGTGCGCTCGCCCAAGAGGTTGGGTGGCACAGTCATAACCGAACCTCTCCTCCCCCCCCCTTCTCTTCTTCTCCCCTCCTTATTCTTGCAGATGGACCAGCTCCGCCCCGAGTTCAAGCAGGGCCTTGACGCCTTCACTCAAGCCGTGTTTGCCCGTGCTCGCCCCAAGAGGGTGGGCGGCACAGTCATGACAGGGCCAATGCTGGCAGGGCTCACTCAGGCGTATATCCAGGCGCTCAATAACGGGGCTGTGCCCACCATCCTCAATTCCTGGCTGGTAAGTGACTGTCTATTGAGTCGCTGTTAGCCGCTTTCGAGCTGCAATTTTCTGAGTTGCTGTTATGCACGGGCAGCTTGAATGTGGATTCAGGTATGTGTTTGTGTGCCTCATCTCGTTCCGTTGATCTGTGATATTCTCCCTCTTCTTTCTCCTCTTTGCCTCCTTTTCTCTCTCCTCGCCAACTCCATCTCTGCCTTGCTCCCTCTCAAACGGTCCTTGGTATTAATTTTCTCCCTCTCCCTGTCCCTCGCCCCTCGTCTCTCCTCCGCCGTTCTTCCCATGCGACTGTCGATGCCCCCTTCCAGAGTGTGGAGGAGTCCGAGTGTCGCAGAGCGTTTGAGGCCGTTTGATGATATTGCTTAAACTCTCCTTCCTCCTCTCCCACTATCTTCCTCCTCCTCCCCCCTCTTTCCCATGCGACTGTTGATGCCCCCTTCCAGAGTGTGGAGGAGACCGAGTGTCGCAGAGCGTTTGAGGCAGCAGTGGAGGCGTACACTAGGGCTTTTGGCAACCCCGCATCTGCTGATGAGGTATGCATGTTGCTGGCTGGATTGACGTGACACTTTTCTTGGCTCACTGGCGCACCAGAAGGGTGTTTGAGGCGGCACTGGAGGCGTACAGGTGACTCCATTATGATTGATCTGGCAATTGGTTGAAGCTTCTCGTGCCATTGTAACGAGGTGACTTTTGAGTCGACTCAAAAGTCACCCCATTATGATTGATCTGGCATTCGGTTGAAGCTTCTCTGCCTCACTTATGCTGTCCCGTCATTCCCTCGACCTTTTCACTCTCCTCGCTTCCTCTGTCCTCTCAACCCCTCCTCTCACCTCCTCCTCTCATTCCGTTCCCAGGAGGACCTGATGTTATAGTCACAATAGGCTTGAATGTGCCTAAAACGAAAGATAGAGAGCACAGACGGATTTATGCACAGCAGCTTCAAACGTTGATAGCGTTCTAATCACAGCTGCAAATGACTTGATTCAAATTGGATCTGGAGCGTCTTCACGTCGTCTACAATTAGCAATTTAGATTGCACGATTTGATAAAGAATTGACGACACAGCGTCGGTTTGAACGAACGGTACTATGGCAGCCACTATAGTCTTAGAACACAAGATATGAAGAGTTACGAGTTGGGAATGACTCCCAGCTCCTACAAACCCCAAGAGCCGAGGTACAGTGATGTGGAACAGTGCCACACTGTCCCCAACCACGAAGGGTCTCGAAACTACCCTTCACTAGGGCCTACACCAAGTGAAATGTTACACTACACAAAGTAATGTAACTATCTTCAATATCTTGAGGTGTACCCTTTTTTGGCGAGCTTCGAAATCACTTGAGGCTTGACACCAAGGCTCGGGCTCTTCATCACAAACTCATCCTTGAGTTCTTGATGGGTCTGCTGCACACATCTGCGACACGCCGAACGTTCGACACAGGACAAAATAGAAACCGCGCACGACAAAATAGAAACCGCGCGCGAGACACAAACGACCGCGTAACACGCGTCTAGCGATAACTCGCTATTGACTCGACACACACACTCGACATCATGACTCAACATTCACACACAATTATCAGCATAAAATATATATTATCCCATGCCCTCATACCATTCCATACACACACACATTCACGCACACGGACAACAAGCCGAGTGCAAACCGTAGGGTTGCACCAACAAACTCCCCCTCGGATTGTTGGCCTTAGGATATGTTGCTCTCTCAGTTCAGAGCCATCCCAGCCAGCTTGCAACATTTCCAATGCTGCTGCTCCACCAGCCTCTTGGTCATCATGTCAGCCGGCTGCCCCGTGGTCTTCACGTAGCGCAACTCAACTTCATCCGCGGTTACCATGCTCCTCGTCCAATGCCACTTCACCCTCATGTGCTTCGTGAGTCCATGCAACACAGGGTTCTTAGCAAGAGCAATGGCACCCTGGCTGTCACAGTACAGTGGGGTAGGTCCTTGCTGCTCCTCCCCCAATTCAGCCAACAAACGCCGCTGCCACACAATCTCCCGTACGGCACGGAATAGTGCCATGTACTCGGACTCCACCGAGCTCAAAGCTTGGTCAACCTGCTTCTTGCTCTCTCAAGCAGTTGGGCCTCCACCAACACAGCATATGAAGCCTCCCACACTTGTCATGTCCTCTGGTTCTGATGCATATGAAGCATCCGAGTAGGCGGTGAGGAACAAACGCCCGGGTTCAACACCATCCGCGCCCTTTTGGCGCCTTTGTGCCGCCGCCGAGTATTGCAGCCCAACGATCGGTGTTTGGCCAAGATACTTGGCCACCCTCATTCCAGCTGCTACCTGCTCCTCATTAGGGCATTGCACAACCCTAGCCAGCTGCCCGGTAGCAAACGCGACGTCCGGTCGGGTGTTTACCGCCGCATACATGAGGCTGCCCACCAACGAGTGAAATCGGCGCCTCTCCTCTTCACCAACGCTCTCCTCCTCTGGTCCCTTCACACACTTGAACCCAGAGGGAAAGGGTGTAGCCACATGGCCTTCACTCTGCCCAAAGTTGGCAGCCAATGCCTCCAGGTACTTTCGTTGATGCACCCGCATGCACCACTTCTCCACATCTCGTTCGATGTGGAGCCCAAGGTAGAAGCTCATGTCACCAAGGGTTTTGCACTTGAACTTGTCTTGAAGCTTCAGCATCACCTCCTTCACAAGGTCAGAAGAGGGTGAGAAAATGAGGATGTCATCCACATAAACCACCATGAAACTCCTCTGCTCCCCCTCGCCAAGCATGAACAAGGAGTGATCGGTCGTTGAGGGAGTGAAGCCGATCCCCTCCAACACTTCGCGCAGCTTCATGTACCATTGCCTAGGGGCCTGTTTCAGCCCATAGAGGGCCTTCTTCAGCTTCCACACTCTGCCACTACCATCATCAAACCCCTCTGGCTGCGCCATAAAAATCTTCTCCTCAAGGATGCCGTTAAGGAATGCCGTTACGATGTCCATTTGCTTTACTACCCATCCTTTGATGGCGGCTCCCGCGAATAGGGTTCGCAGCGTCGTCGGCTTCACCACAGGGGCAAACAGCTCCTTGAAGTCCACCTTCTCCTTCTGCTGGTACCCCTTGGCTACAAGCCTAGACTTGTAGCGCTCGATCTTGCCGTCGGCATCCGACTTGATTTTGAAGAGCCACTTGGACGTTATCGCCGTACGCCCCTCCGGTAGCTCCACCAATTCAAACGTGTCATTCTCCTCGATGCTCTTCAGCTCACTCTCCATGGCCTTCTTCCACTCCTCAGCATCACTACTCTCCAAAGCCTCCTTGAGAGTTGCTGGTTCTCCCGGCATCTCCACCGGAGAGAAGAACGCGAAAGCACACTCCTCGTACACACTCTCCTCGTCGTCTCCGCCCATCATTGCCGCTCCGGCCAGGGCTGTCTTGCCCTGCTTTCCCGGCGCATCATAGGTCAGCCTATTAGGGGGTTGAACTCTCCTCTTCCCCCTTCCTTCCTCCTCAGCTGCAGGGACTTGAAGGCCTTGGCGTTGCTGCGGTGTGACTCGAATCCGTGGAGCACTCGTAGTACGGGAAGGGAGTGACGGTGCACGCTCGCTCACTTGCTGCACCTCCTCCTCTTCTTCCTCTGCATCATTGGCCTGCTCTCCCCCATTCACAAGGGAGGATTGCCTTGTGGTTGTGCTGCCGCTGCTCAGCTCCAAAGGCAGCTCCACATGCTCCAAACCGGAACTCTTCACCTCCCCAAACCGCACGCCTATCTTCGCCTCATTCTCCGTCTTCCAATCCTTGTACATGAAGTTCTCCATGAACTTGCAGTCTCTGCTCACCAAGAACTTATTGGTGAATGGGTCCCAAAGAAGCCATCCCTTGCTGTTTTGAGCCATGCCCAAGTGCACGGCCCACACCGCCTTGGCACCAAGCTTGTTGTGCCGAAGATGCTTAGGCACGAGCGCCATGCACATGCACCCGAACACCCGAAGCATATCCACCTTTGGCTTCTTTCCTAGCCACTCCACATAGGGCACCCATTTGTCTGCTCCCACATGAGTCAAGGCTCTGTTCTTGGCCACACACGCGCTCCGCACCGCATCAGGCCAGAAATAGTCGGGTAGCCCGGCTTCAATGAGCAACCCGCGTGCCGCCTCCGTGATTGTGCGGTTCGCTCGCTCGGCGATGCCGTTCATTGCAGGGGAGTATGGCATGGTGAGGGAGTGCCGAGTACCATTCTTCTTCAGCCACAACCCAAACTCCTTGCTCAGGAACTCTCCCCCTCGATCGGTGCGGATTGACTTGACTAGACGGTCTTGTTGCCGCTCCACCATCGGGAACGAATCCGTCTTCAACGTTTCAGCCACGTCGCTCTTCTTGGCCAGCACGTACACCCAAGTCATGCGGGTGTAGACGTCGACAATGGTGAGAAAATACTCAGCTCCAGCAGCTCCAAGCTTCAGGGGGCCCACCACGTCCATCACCACCTCATCAAGCGGTGCCTTTGCCGTTGTCTCCGAACTAGGGAACGGAAACCGGGTGAACTTGGCTTGAATGCACGTCGGGCAGCCAAGCACCTCATCGGGCTCCCCCTTCACACGTATGCCAGCAACCATCTCATTCTTCACTAGCTGCTGCAAGATGGGCAGGGCCACATGCCCCATGCGCCGATGCAAGGTGAGCCAATCACACTCCCCCGTAGCCGAAGTTGGATTGGAGAATGCCGCGCTCGCAATAGCGCCCCACATACTCTCTCCGTAGTCCTCCTCCGCTGCTGCCTCTGGGTTCTCCTCACCCTTTTGCTGCTCCTTGGTTGCTGCACCAACTCTCCTTAGGTTCACTGAACTTGCTGGTCCCTCCAGGTCTGCTCTTCTTGAGCTCATTCTCCTTAGCGCGACCGTTCGCGCCATCGTCGCTACCGACCGCTCCATCCTTGGTGCTGATGCTTGCTGCCACTTGCCTCTCCTTAGGCATAGGGACCACTGGGATCTGCCACATCTCGTTGTAGACATCCCTGTCCTCATGAAGGTCCCAAAGAATTCGATCGCCAAGCCTTGCGGTGTAGGTCTTGGCTCCCTTCGAGTTCGTGTCCATGCCGGCCTTTGCCAACCGCCGCACGGAAATCAGGTTTGCAGCAAGGCTGGGCACCCAAAGCACGTTCTTGAGGCCCACCATCTTCCCATCAGCACCCTTGAACATGGCCTTGCCCATGCCTTTCACCTCTGCTCGCTGCCCCAAAGCCGATGTGACATGCTTCATCGGTGACGGCTCGAGTTCGGTGAGCAAGTCCAGGCGAGGTGTCATGCTATAGGTAGCGCCACTATCAATCACCCAATAGTCCAGGGGGTGTAGGGTCACCTTCCCCACAGCTGCTGGCTCCTCAAAGCCTTCATCCTTCTCTGGACAAGCCGGTACTTGCGTCGACACGAAGTAGAATAGACCCGGGTATCGATCGTCGCTCGGGTCCTTGTCGTTGTCTCCGCTCTTCATGTTTGCAGCTCCGCCACCGCGACCGCCACGGCCTCCACGGCCTCGTCCTCTCCCTCCTCCTGCTCCTCTACCCTCTTGGCCTTGAGCAGGGGTCCAACCATCAGGGAGTTTGTAGCAGTCGCGCCACATGTGTCCGCTCTTGTGGCAATAGTGACACTCGCCGTCGAATCGGCCGCGACCGCGTCCGTAGCTCTTGTCGTCGCTGCCGTAACCGCCACTCCTGCGGCCTCCGCCGAAGTTGCTGCCACCAAACCTTCCTCCCCCTCGTCCTCTGCCTCTTCCTCGACCATATCCACGGCCGATGCTCGCTGCCCCAGCGCCATCCGCACTCGCCAACTCACGGCGGCGGAAATCCTCTTGAAGGATAGCTCGCTTCACGTCTTCAAGCGAGAGGCGGGGCAAGTCGCGATTAAGGTTGATGATGAGCGAGGACCATGACTCTGGGAGTAAGGCCAGCAACTTGGTCTTCTTTTGGAGCTCACTGTAGTTCAAATCAGCTCCCTCAAGCCGCGTCAACAAGTCGAAGAATTTCTGCACCCATTCTTCAACCGCTTCGTCTTTTTCAATTCGTAGTGCCGCCATTTGCCGTTCCAACACCACCGCTACCGCCGCTGTTGCAGGAGCATGTACACCCTTGAGAGCAGCCCATGCCTTTGGTCCTTTCTCTGGCTCACACTGGAATGGCTTGATGTGACGGATCTGACTGCTCCCCAACGCTTGCCCAAGTAAGAGATAGCCTTGTGCGCTCTTCCGCACCCACGGGCTCTTCTCCGGGTCGTTCTCGGGGCGCTTCTCCGTTCCTTCCATCACCTCCAGCAGGTCATAGTGGTCAAAGATGTTCTCCATCTTGAAGGACCATTCAGCAAAGTTGTCACCGTTGAACTTGTCAAGCCCAAACACCCTAGGCTCATCCCTAGGTGGGCCAAGACTTGGTTGCATGGGCGCCATGGCTGAATCACGGGGTTGGCCTTGAGCTTGAGCTTCTCCACTGCCACCAGCACCTCTGCCACCCCTTTCCTCAGGTCCAGACATTGTCGAAACTGCTCCAAGGGGCTCTGATACCACTTGTTATAGTCACAATAGGCTTGAATGTGCCTAAAACGAAAGATAGAGAACACAGACGGATTTCTGCACAGCGGCTTCAAACGTTGATAGCGTTCTGCTCACATCTGCAAATGACTTGATTCAAATTGGATCTGGAGCGTCTTCACGTCGTCTACAATTAGCAATTTAGATTGCACGATTTGATAAAGAATTGACGACACAGCGTCGGTTTGAACGAACGGTACTATGGCAGCCACTATAGTCTTAGAACACAAGATAGGAAGAGTTACGAGTTGGGAATGACTCCCAGCTCCTACAAACGCCAAGAGCCGAGGTACAGTGATGTGGAACAGTGCCACACTGTCCCCAACCACGAAGGGTCTCGAAACTACCCTTCACTAGGGCCTACACCAAGTGAAATGTTACACTACACAAAGTAATGTAACTATCTTCAATATCTTGAGGTGTACCCTTTTTTGGCGAGCTTCGAAATCACTTGAGGCTTGACACCAAGGCTCGGGCTCTTCATCACAAACTCATCCTTGAGTTCTTGATGGGTCTGCTGCACACACTTGCGACACGCCGAACGTTCGACACAGGACAAAATAGAAACCGCGCACGACAAAATAGAAACCGCGCGCGAGACACAAACGACCGCGTAACACGCGTCTAGCGATAACTCGCTATTGACTCGACACACACACTCGACATCGTGACTCAACATTCACACACAATTATAAGCATGAAATATATATTATCTCATGCCCTCATACCATTCCATACACACACACATTCACGCACACGGACAACAAGCCGAGTGCAAACCGTAGGGTTGCACCAACACCTGAGAGCCCACCACAGGGCAGCGCTGCAAGCAGCAGAGGCGGCGTTCAGAGAGGAGGCGGTGGGGGAGGGGCAGGCCCGACACAAGCACCTTGCTACCTGTGTCGCCCTTTTGACTCTCTACCACTCCCCCAATTCGTTGCCTGTTTCCTCTGCCAGGAGGACCTAAGAGCCCACCACAGGGCAGCGCTGCAAGCAGCAGAGGCGGCGTTCAGAGAGGAGGCGGTGGGGGAGGGGCAGGCCCGACACAAGTACGAGGAGAAGCTAAGGGAGGAGGCTGGGAAGAGGTTTGAGGTGAGGCACGGTGCGGTGGAGTTGGGTTGGGTAGGGTGAGGTGGGATGGGGTGGGGTGGAGCGGCCTGGGGTGGGAGTGGTGTTACTGCCGTACTGTGAAGAAATGGGGAGGTTTGGGAACAGGTGGAAAGCAGTGAGGGGACGGGGAGGTGAGTTTTGGCGGTGAAGAAAGTCAGGGTTGTGAAAACCTTCTTCTCACCACATGTGAGATCAAGAAGAATGTTTGTGGTATGCAGCACTATTGAGACGTCTCAAAAGTCATGTGAGGCCAAAAACGACATGTTTGTGGTATGCAGCACTATTGAGACGTCTCAAAAGGAAAAATAAATACATGTTTGTGGTATGCATTTGAACCTGAGCAGGAGGACTTGTTGAAACGAATGGCAAGAGGGGAGGAGTGTGGTGCACGCGGTTTGTCAATGCCCTGGAGAAAAAGGTCAAAGATCTCACGAGTGTCTGTCCCCAGCCATCTCAGTGCTGCCACTCATCCCTTCCCTTCTGTGCCTCTAATCGTTGTGCCTCACTTTTCACCTCGTTCAGGATGTGCTAAAGCGAGTGGCAGCAGAGGCAGAAGTGAGGTGCAAGCGGTATCTGGACGCACTAGAGGCCAAGGTCAAGGGGCTCGCCAGGGGGCCTCCATCTCCCTGATACATTATGTCAACATGAGCTCACTGTTCCAACCTGTTCCCCGATGTGTCCTGCTGTGTCTGCACAGGATGTGCTAAAGAGGGTGGCAGCAGAGGCGGAGGTGAGGTGCAAGCGGTACCTGGATGCACTAGAGGTCAAGGTCAAGGGGCTCGCCAGAGGGCCTCCCCTGGCGGCAACTGCTGACGTGGTGCGCGCGCTGATTGCTGAGCTGGCGGCGTACGAGTCGTCCATGTCAGGCGCTGCCAAGTGGCGCTGCTTGTCTGCGTTCCTCGTCGCCAGGTCAGCATGGGGTGCCAGGGGTGGATGGTGAAGGATGTGGGGGGATGGGTGCTACGTGGAAAGGGAGTGAGGTGGTTGCGAGGGAGTTGCTTGCCCTCTCACCCTTTAACCCCCCCGACTTCACCTGCCCACCCTTCTTCTCAATCCCCCTCCCTTCTCCCATCGCAGCATGCGGGGCCTTGTCCTGGACTCAGCTGAGAAGGAGGTCGCCGAAGCAAGGCACCACGCCTGAGCCGTCTCAAAACTGTGTGCCCCTTCCCCTCTCCGCTGCCGACTCTCCCCCTGCCTCCGCTCACAGCATGCGCGGCCTTGTGTTGGACTCGGCTGAGAAAGAGGTCGCCGAAGCAAGGCAGCAAGCCTCTTCCGCACTCAAGGACAAGCAGGCCGCCGAGGCTCGGGCGTCCGCCGAAGCTGCTGCCGCAGCTCGGGAGGCTGCCGCAGCTGAGGACTGGAAGAAACGGGTGGCTTCCGTTGAAGGACAGCTGGCAGACGCTATTAGGGCGGTTGGGGAAGGGAGGGAGGAGAGGGAGAGGATGAGGAAGGAGTTGGAGGACGGGAGGAGGAGGGCGGAGGAGAGAGAGCGGGAGTGTGTGGAGTTGAGAAAGGAGGTGGAGAGAGTGAGGGAGGGAGGGGAGAAGGAGGTGAGGAGAGTGAGTGGGGAGGTTGAGAGGGTGAAGGGGCAGCTTGAGGAGGCGAAGAGGAGGGTGGGGGAGGAGCAAGGGGAGAAGGCGAAGTGGAGGGGAATGTATGAGAAGGAAATGAGTGAGGGGAAGAGGGAGGTGGAAAAAGCGGTTGGGGAGAGGGATGGGCTGAGAGGGGAGGTGGAGAGGGAGAGGCAGAGGAGGGAGGCGGAAGTGGTGGCGATTCAGAAGGAGAAGGTGTGCTGATTGGATGGGGTGGGGTGGGGTGGGGTGGTCTGGGATGGGGTGGGGTGGTGTGGGATGGGATGGGGTGGAGTGGGATCGGGTGGGGTGGGAATGGGCTTTTGGTAATTTCAATTCAGCTGGGCATGCTCCTTGTCTGTTATCCCGTCATGAAACACCCCCGTCCCGATCCCTGGCGCTGCTCCACCAATTTGATTGAACACCTTATTTGTTATGCCCCACCGCCTCAAAAGCTGCCCCACCGATTTGAACACCATCTTTTATCATGTCCCACTGGATTATCTTTCTGACAGGGCGCGTTGGAGCAGCGGTTGCGAGCAGAGGCGTCCAGCGCAGCGGCCGAGGCGAGCGAGCTGAAGATGAAGCTTGAGGTGAGGCGGTGTGCTTGAGTGAAGAAGGGTTGAGTGGGGTAGAGAGGAGGGCAGCAATACTAGCAGTTGGAGCAGCAATTGCGAGCAGAGGCGACCAGAGCAGCGGCTGAGGCGGGCGAGCTGAAGGTGAAGCTTGAGGTGAGTCGGTGTGCTTGAGTGAAGGGATGAGGGTTTGGATGGGGTAGACGCGGGTGCAGCAGTGCTGACAGGGTGCGTTGGAGCAGCGGTTGCGAGCAGAGGCGACCAGCGCAGCGGCAGAGGCGAGCGAGCTGAAGATGAAGCGTGAGGTGAGTCGGTGTGCATGAGGAGGAGGGTTGAGTGGGGTACAGAGGGGTGCAGCAGTGCTGGCAGGGTTCGTTGGAGCAGCAGCAGCGGCAGAGGCGAGCGAGCAGAAGGTGAAGCTGGAGGTGAGTTGGGATTCAGAAGTAGGGGCGAAGGGTTGAGTGGACTAGGGGGGTGTTGGGGAAGGAGATTGAGCTGTAGGAGAAGCTGGAGGTGAGGCTGTGTGAAGTGTGACACGTGGCACTTTGAGGGATCTTTGAGAATTCAGGTATGCTTTGAATCAAATTCAGGTATGCTTTGAGTCAACTCAAAACACGTGTGGTTAAGGTGGTAGTAGTGAGGCGGTGTGCAGTGTGTGCAGTGTGATAACTGCCACACTGAGGGATCTTCGAGATTCTCAGCCCACCTGGTACCACCCTCTCTTCTCCCCCTCTTTCCCCTTTCAATCGCAGGCAGCACGGCTGGCAGCAACAGGGAAGGCACTGGTGCAAGCGAAGGCGAGAAAGAAGCAGGCTGAATCCTTTCCTGCCTCCCCCCTGTTCCCTCACAACCCATTCCTCCCCCACTCTTTCTCACCTCTCTCCTCTTGCAGTCGCAGGCAGCACGGCTGGCAGCAACAGAGAAGGCGCTGGTGGAAGCAAAGTCGAGGGAGAGGGAATTCCCCCCTTTCCTTCCATGTGCTCACAGCGCACTCGATACCACCCACTCTTCCCCACCTCTCTCCTCTTGCAGGCCCAGGCAGCACGGCTGGCAGCAACGGAAAAGGCGTTGGTGGAGGCGAAGGCAAGGGAGAGGCAAGCTGAGGAGAGCATGAGGGAGGCGAGCAGGACGGCTGGCAGTGCGAGCAAGAGTGTGCAGGTGCGATTGGAGCCACGTGCACTCCTGTTTGTAATCTATATAACTCTGTCTGGGATCCTCATGCCCTTACTTATGGAGGTGAGTTGGGAGAGGCAGGCTGAGGAGAGCATGAGGGAGGCGAGCAGGACGGCTGGCAGTGCGAGCAAGAGCGTGCAGGTATGGTTTCGTTTGGGATTCATAGGCCCTTACTTATGGAGGGGAGTTTACAGAGCAGAAACAAGGAGAGGATGAGGTGTAGGCAAGCTGTAGTGCTGCTTGCAGTGCGGTGCGGGCAATGCGTGCAGGTACGTACGGCCTCGTTTAGGATTCATCTGCCCTTGTTAGCAATTTACATGAACTTTATGCGCCTATCTGTGTGCAATGCTATGAATTTTCTGATGACAGCGGTAGGACTTGTCTCTATAGCCCGATTCCCGAGCTTTTGCTTTCACCCGCTCTCCTTCCCTTTTTCTCCCAAGCTGCACGGGAGACCAAGGCTGCAGCAGAAGCAGATTAAGCATGGGATTATGGCGCTCATCCCTACAGCCCACACATTGCGTGCACCCTCTCTCGTTTCCTTACTCTCTCTTCTTAAACGCATCTCTTTTCCCCAGGCTGCACGGGAGGCCAAGGCTGCAGCAGAGTCAGCGACAGAGCAGATGGAGCGCCAGCTGCGTCAGGCTGAGTCAGCACGGACCGCTGCTGAGCTGGCAGCCCGGCGCGAGGCTGAGCTGGCACGCCAGGCTGGTATTCGTGCTGACTCAGCAGCGAGAGATCTCCAGATGGCAATGGAGGAGGCCCAGGTGGCACAGTCAGCAGCTGAGGTGGCAGGAAAGAGGACGGAAGCTGCGGAAAGGAGAGCTAGAGAGGTTGAGAGGGATTTAGAGGGGTTGAGATTGAGGGCAGCGGAAGGGGAGGAGGAGGGGAAGGGGAAGGTGGAAGGTATGGTGAGGGAGATAGAGGAGTTGAGGGGAGAAGTGGGGAGGAGGAAGGAGGAGGTTGGGGAAACGATGGCGATGCTGGCAGTGTGTGAGGTGGAGAGGGAGGGGTGGAGGAGAAAGGAGGGAGAATCTAGGAGTGAGATGGAGCGGTTGAAAGGGGAGTTAGATAGGCTGAGACAGGTGGTTGAGGGGATGGGGGTGGAGATGGGGGGGATGAGGAGTGAGAGGGAGGAGATGAAGGGGGTGGTGAGAGTGAGGGAGGAGGAGATTTCACGGCTGAGGGGGATGCTGGAAGTGGCGATGAGGGGGAACCAGGAGAGGGAGAGGGAGAGGGGGAGAGGGGAGGGGAGGGGGGGTGATGGGCAGGGAGAGGGAGGGGAGGAGATGGAGGTGGAGGAGGGAGAGGAGGCGGGAAGGAAGAGGAAGAGGGCGAGACTGGGGACGGGTGTTTCTGGGGAAGGTGGTATTGCAGGGGAGGGTGGTGCTGCTGGGGAAGGTGCGACTGCTGGAGAGGGAGGTGCAGCTGAGGCAGGTGAAACTGGTGCAGGTGATACTGCTGGGGGTGGTGCAGGGGTGGGGGTGGAAGGGGCGGGTGATAGTGCTGTGACAGGCGATGCTGTAGCAGCGGGAGAAGGGGTCAAGCGGAGAGGCAGGGGTGCAGGAAAACGAACACCTGCTGCTGCTGCTGGTGCGTCTGGGGCAGCACCAACAGCCTCTGCAGCAGAGGGGGAAGCAGGAGCAGCAGGAGCAGCACGAGGAGGAGGAGGTGTGCCAACACCCACAGCGTCAGGCAACACTGGGTTTGAGTCAGCGCAGGCAACCGGGCAGGGCAGTGAAATGGACATGGATACAGGCTCGTTCGGAGGGGTTTTTGGTGCTGGAGGGGGGAAGGAACGCACTGAAGGGGACGAGGCGGAGAGTAGCAAGGGGGGGAGGGGAAGAGGGAGGGGCAGGAGGGGTGGGGGAGGGAGGAGGGGGAGAGGGAGGCCGGCGGCGGGGGTGGGGGCCGTGACGGCTGCTGACGTGGCGGGGGAGTCTGACGTGGCGAAGAGGCGGAGGGAGATTGCGATGAAGATGACGAAGAGTGAGTTGAAGGATCGGTTGACGGACGAGGGGAGGGGGCTGGATGTGCTTGAAATGAGGACGCCGACTAAAGGACAGCTGGTGGACTTGTTTGTAAAGTTTGTGGCTGAGTAGTGGAGTTTGAGGAGATGGTGATGAGGTATGGTGATGAGATGAATATGAGGAGATTGTGCTGAGGTATGCCAGGGAGAAGATGACGAGGATGGAGGGGAGGGGGTTGGATGTGCTGGAAATGAGGACACCGACCAAGGGGCAGCTGGTAGACCTGTTTGAGAAGTTCGCGAGTGAGTGAGTTAGTGGAGGAGTATGAGGAGGAGGTGCTCAGAAGATGACCAGGAGTAAGGCGGAGGATCGGTTGACGGATGAAGGGACGGGGCCGGAGGTGCTTGATCTGAGAACGCCAAGTAAGGGGCAGCTGGTAGACCTGTTCGTGAGAGAGTGAGTGTGAGGGGTACCTGAGGCGATGGCGTTGAGAAGATGCTGCTGAATGGATGACAAGAGTGGAGGGGGTGGCAGGCAGACGAGGGGAAGGGGAGGTGCTGGATCTGAGAACGGCCACCAGGAGGCTGCTGGTGGGGTTGTTTGTCAAGTTCGTGTGAGGAGACAACATTTAGTAGATGCTGCTAAGGTGGTACTGGTATAATGACCATGAGAAGACTACGGTGTGCTGAGAAACTTTAGAGTGTTGGATGCGGCCATATACAAGGAGCTGGGCTGATTGGGCGATAATGCGTGTGACGTATGGTATGTGGTTGAGTAGATGTTGCAATACAGGACGGTACTTTCAGGACAGAATGATACATAAACTGTGAACAGTCATAAGGAAGTGAGGATTAGTTGGTAGCTGGTGAAGAGGTTGCGACGTTATTACTTGCATACGGAATGATAGTTCATTGTTGACTATAGTGTTCTCGTGTCTGGAAACTGCAGTTCCAATTTTGAGATCAACTAGAATGGTGCAACAGCAGACGGCACAAGAAACAACGAGCTCTAAAAAGATGCATAGCAAGTTTTGACTGTACAAAGTTGAGATTCACAAGCACAGCAGTACTGCTTTCAGCGCACAACAAACGTTCTAATCAGAACAGCATTCAGAGCAGAACCATCTGATGCCCCCCGCAACCTTCTAGCCAAACCAGCCATGCTTCTTGTGGCCACCCTCCGCCTCCCTCTGCCTCCCCTTCATATCCTTCTCGTCGTCCTTTTTCTCGTGGCGTTCGTGCCCCGCATACGCTGCAGCACCGGCTGCAATCGCCTCACCGATGCGCTCTCCGCGCTTGTGCCCCTCGTACTCCTTGCGCATCTTCTGTTGTTGCTCACGCAGAACCGAGAAACGAAATAGCGTGTCAGGTAAGAAAGGAAAGGTCAAGAACGGTACACTTGAAAAAAGCTGGACGGACTAGAACAAAAGGACTTGGTTATAAAAGATACAACAAGAACGAATGAATGAATGGACGAATAAATGGTGGAACAAATACCTCTTCCTCCGTCTCACGTTCTTCACCATATCCGCGCCCTTGGCCACCATATTCTTGCTCGGCGCCTGCAGCTGTTCCGCGAGAGTCGTATCCGTACTCGCCCTCGCGAGACTCCTCCCGCTTCTTCTCTCCACCAAAGATCCCCTTGACCGTGTCCATGATCGCGTGGTGCGGAAATTCAGCAGATGCAGATGCGCGTTTCTCTCGACTCTTGCGGTTTGGATTTCGTGAGGGGCAAAATAGAGCTTCCGAAATGTGCGAGCTCTAGTGCGTGGGTGTGTGGTATTTGTGGTGGGTGGGTGGGTGTTTGTGCTGCTGGTGAAATTGCATTCGCATGCAGATAGGAAATTGCATTGGGTGCGACTCGAACGAATATGCGAAGCGACTCAAATCGAAGCGCGACATTGGCTTTCTCCGCCAAACCAGGCCAGCACCGTGCTGACGCGAGGAACGCCCCACCACCTCCTCCCTGCCCTCCAAGTGGGCTAAATATGCCATTGACACGTCAGGAGGACGAATTCCTGACTGGCATGCAATAGCTACACTTTTGTGTAATCGAGTGATCCACCTCTATTAAAGCATAACACAAAGTTATAAAAGCGTGTATTTGGAAAACGCGATTCTACAAAGACCGAATGGTGTGGTGACTGCTAACTAGCGTGATGCTTTAGAATACGATATCAATGTCGTGATGGATATTGACTGCTAATCAATCTTTGTTTTATACCAGCAATTCTTTCAAAAGTTACTACAGTACCGTATGTACAAAGAGGAGAACAAGCATGCACCATTTCAATCCTCTAAAAGCCCACTCCCGCACTCATGAGGGGTTTATTATAGCCTTCTTTCTTTCACTACTCCATACAGGTAGAATTATGAAGATAAAAGATGGCTGCTTCTCGGCCTATCAATAGTCATGCTTGCTGCTGGGGCTTCTGGTGTTTCACCTCCTGCAAAGAATCCAAGAGATAAGATCACTTAGTGCCTACCCCCCTTATAAAACACTGCAAACAAATTCTTCACTTCACTGTACCTCATCTGGAATGGCGTGACCCTCCCTCCCAAGAAAAGCACCGCTGCTGCTGCCTTTCAGCTCCTTCCCACCCTCAGCAGCATCGCCCTTCTCAGGAACGCGATTTTTGGCCATAGCCTCAACATAATCCTTCATCTCGCCATACCTAGCAACCTCCTCGTCAGGCTCCAGATCCGTATCCCTCACAAGCTCGGCCAGGCTCTTACTGCCTGGCTTTGCAGCGGCAGGCTTCTCCTTCTTCGGAGGCGCAGAAGAAGCACCCACAGGTGCTGACGTGGCGCGTGGAAGGGCACCTGCGGGAGGGGTGGGAGCCTTGCTGCTCCTCAGAGACGCCTCATCTCGCGGCAGCGTCGACTCCGGTGGTGGTGGTTTGGACTCGCGGCGTTCTTTCTGCTCTGCCTTGTCTGCGCGCCTCGGTTCTTTAGCATGGGGCTCTTGCATGTTGCCGTTGTAACAAAGGCAAGGAAGGAGAGCAGGAAGCTTAGCTCGATTCTGTGGTTGGAAAGCGGTGAGGAGATTCAAACTCTCGTTGGGTTCGATGATATTCAGTGCGACGCACGCGGAGTGAAGCGAAGGGAGACATTCTGGCGCGACTCCGCAGCAAGCGCAGCATCCACCAGACAGCTAACATTTCGCAGGCGACTCGAGGCAGGTTGCCTTGCCATGCACAAACCCAGGCTCGAGGCCTGGGGGATCGCATAACGAGCAGTCAGCATTCAATCCAGTACACAAATGCGTACATCCTTAAAATATTGTAGTACATTATTTCTAGATTAGTGCAATTCGTGCAGCTAAAATAGGGAAACCTAGGGAAATTTGAGAAATTTATTCAGTTGCGGAACAGGGCGTCTAATTTACGAATCCAGGTCCTTCTAAACGCGATGTCTAGAACCCTACACCCGTTTCGGCTTGCGCAGCTTGGCGTACGAGATGACCCTACGGCCGTTGATTGGCCTGGGGAGACGGTTGTTGGTGCGCTGACCGCTGGATGCGGCAAGGAGGTTCATGTAGCCCTCGATCTGCGGGGGGAAGAGACAGGCGAAGAAAAAAGTTTTTAGCGAGGGAGATCATCGAAAATCACGCCGTAAATTTCTACAAATAGGGTTGTTCCACTGGTTTCAGAGGAAGGTAGATTGGGGCCAAATTTGAACGATCCTGGAAAAGTGGACAAGCGACGTGATAACTGATCAAATTCGCCTGCGCTCACCTGCTCGACGGAGCCGTAGAGGCCGCGCTTGAGGATGAACCACTCGATGTTGGGCGCGCAGGGCGGGTACGTGGTGGAGCCGCGGTAGTACCAGAAGCCGTACTTGACGTTCAGCGCCTCCTTGAAATTGGTCGTCGCCGGCACCGACACCGACGTGTTCACGGCCTTGGGAACGTACGGCAGCCACCTGCGAGGAGAATCAGGCGGGGGAGGCGTGCGGGGATCGAAGGGCGATCAGGAGGAAGGGGAGGAAGGGGTAGTGGGAGGCGCAGGAAAGGGCAAAAAGGGATGAGAAGGCTTTCCTTGAGGTTAGTCGTCGCAGCGACGGCAACGTATGTGTTTATATGCGTAAAAAGTTGCGTTGCGTTCGCAGGGGTACTCACTTGTCGAGCCACGGGTTTCGGACGTTGTTCTTTTGAATCACGATCATCACAGAGATGATTGCGCCCTTCGCGGGGTTGTCGACGTTTTCGTGCACAAAGTGCGCCTCGAGCGGCGCGGGCGCGCCGAGGATGGTGTGCTCCGACGTGGCGCGCAGCAGAATGCCGAGCAGACGGAACTTGCCCGTGGACGTGTACATGAAATTCTCCGTGCCGGCTTGCGGTTGCACCCCTGGAGGACACAATAGACAGAAACAAAAAAAAACCGGGGCAGACGTCGGTCAGACGGAAAAGAGATGACGTTGACGGAGTCGCAAATGAGACGCAAGTGAGCTTTTCTTTCCTTCAAAGTCAAGAGATGTGCAATTGTGTTAGTGTGGGATGCGTACCTCCAGTGAAGCCGAAGTTGGAAACGGTGAGCGATTTGCTGAGGGCGTAGCTGATGTTGAGGAAGCGATTGTCCTTGCCCTTTATCGCCATCGACGGCTCGATGTTAATCGGCGATTGCGCGCGCGACGTTTGGCACGCTCCCTGTTGACAAGACAAAGGACGCGCGGAAGGGAAACGTATGGTGGTGAAAAACGGCAAAGGAACAAAACAGGTGACGGCTGCAAGATGGATGGGTTGATGTTTGATCCTTGTGCTAATGTACTTATCAACTCTAACATAGCCGACGCCATGATCCCGCGGAACGGCATGATCTCGTCGCCACCAATCAGCGTGGGCACGCATGTATTGATACATGAGTTACTTGTTCTAGCAGAGAATAATCAGTACAAGGTGCTAAGCGCTCGCGGGACGTACCGTCCAGTCCGCGCCGCTCTTTACGTAGTTCCATGCGTGTGCGCTGGATGATAGCGCAAGTAATAGAACGACCAGAAGTGGCCTGCGATCCATCTGAACCTATGCTACGTGTGACGCTCCCTCAATGAACAAGCAGGCTTCAAAGGTTGTGCTTAGAAGGATCTGCAGTGCGAGTGGAGTAGCCTTGGCGTATGGCGTAAGCAGAGTGCCTGATGAAAATAGTGACTTTCTGCAGCTTTTGTGCAAGGACATAAAAGAAGCACTCCACGAGTCGTGAACTATATCCCTCAGAATTGTAAAGATGCTTGCTGGAAATCGCGCCTAAAAGGGTGGTTCGTTCCCCCACGAGCGACAGCAAGGAGCATAGCTGCAAGCAGCGACAGCATTTGATGTGTCGCACGGCCATGCGCTCATGGTCATGGGGCACCACGTTTTTCGCCCAGGGAGTGATGTCGTCGCTGAATGTCGCTTCGGAATCCTGAAATGTCGCAGAGTAGGGGGGGGAGGGCAGCAGATGCGGTTGACCGTACGCGGTGCTGAATGGAGGGCGGTGATGCTTATGTGGGACCGCGACTCGGATCCGAAGCGCAATGTTGCCACGGTGCGTGTCGGTGCGCGCAGATCCTCACACGATCACAACCATTCCGAGGTTCGAGGTCGGCCCACTGCTGACCACGCCGAAATCGGATTGGCGCAAGAAGCCGAACATGCTTCAACGAGAAGAGTCAAGGCAAGTTGGATGCTATGTAAAATATGAAACATTTTCCATTTTCTGTATATCACTTTATCAAAAGCCAGTGTTTTTGTGAGAAAGGAGATACAAGACTGCTGTTACAAATAATCACCTTTGAAAAAGGTTTTTCATATCAAGAGAAATGAAAGTGTGAATTAATTGCGACAGGAAAACATACACTGGTTCCAGGACCTGACCATGTCCTATCTTACCATGCCCATCAATCAGGACCATGCTGCGTTGTAATCAGGCTGCGACTTTAGTGAAGTAGGTGACCTCCCTGCCATTGAGCGGCTCGGGCATGCGGTTGTTGGTGCGCTCCTTGTTCATGCTGGCCATCAGATTCATGAATGTGGCAGTCTGAGATAAGGAGGGTGGGAGAGCAGGGATATGGGAAGGGAGTGAGGATCCGGGAGACAGGAACGCAGGGAGAAAATTCAGTTTTAACAACGATCGTGTCCAATGTTCACAAGCTCATTCTGAGGTGCACCTCTCACCTGAGCAACGGAGAGAAACTGGGCCTTGCGCAGCACATGCCACTCGACGATCTCATCGCAGCCCGGCGTGGTGAGCGAGCCAACTCAGAAGCAACGCAGCACCTCAAAAGCAACACAGCCCCTCAGAAGCATCTCACCTGAGCAACGGAGAGGAACTGGGCCTTGCGCAGCACGTGCCACTCGACGATCTCATCACAGCCCGGCGTGGTGAGCGAGCCGGGGTAGCGCCAGAACCCCATAGACATGTCAACCAACTCCCTCCAGAAGTTCTTGGGAACGTCAATGGTCGCCGTCCCGTTCACCTCCGAGGGGGTCTGCCCCAACCACCTGTGCAGAGAAGAGGTGGAGAGACGGTCAGGTGAGGGAATGGAATGGGGTGAGCGAGCCGGGGTGGCGCCAGAAGCCCATGGACACATCCACCATCTCCCTCCGGAAGTTCCTGGGGACGTCAATGGTTGCTGTCCCGTTCACCTCTGAAGGCGTGCTTCCCATCCACCTGTGTGGGATACTGGTGGAGAGATAGCCGTTTGAGACAATGGAATGAGGTGAGCGAGCCGGGGTAGCGCCAGGACCCCATGGACACATCGACCATCTCCCTCCAGAAGTTCCTGGGGACGTTAATGGTGGCCATCCCGTTCACATCTGAAGGAGTCTGGGCCAACCATCTGGGGGGAATACAGGTGGTGGTGGAAACAGATGATGTATCATGAAAAAACGAAGGATACGGTAGCAAACATAGTAAAAGAACGAGAAGACTCAAAGTTAAGAAACAAACTGGAAGAGAACCAAAAGAATCAAGGGAGCCACTCACGAGTCGACCCAGTCGCTGGCATGATCATCGCGCTGCAGGCGGATCATAACACACACAAGTCAAACTCACGTGTTACTAAAGTCAAACTCCGATGCTACTCACGTGTTGACCCATGGGCTGGCATGATCCTCGCGCTGCAGGCGGATCATAACGCCCACTACGGCCAGCCGGGAGGGATCGTCCACATGGGCGTGCACGAGGTGTGCCTCCATGGGCGCAAAGAGCCCGTTGATGGCATGCTCTGAGAAGGCGTGCACGTGCACCTGCTTCAGGATGTACGTGCCGCTCGTGATGTGCAGCTTGTAAGTGCTGGACGCATTGGGAACCACCTCTGGTGTGGGGGGTAGAGAGGGGTTGTGGACGGGGGAGGGGCGCGAAGAGCCCGTTGATGGCATGCTCTGAGAAGGAGTGCACGTGCACCTGCTTCAGCTCGTACAAGCCACTCGCGATGTGCAGCCTGTAGGTGTGGGCGGGGTTGGGAACCACCTCTGGGGAGACACAGAGAGGGGGGAGGGAGCGGGGGGGTGGGGGGCAAGGAGGGGATAAAAAGAGTCCTTTGACCGCTAGGTTTGTTCATGTGGGAAAAGCAGAGAATCATAAAAGAAACATTGAGACAGAACCAAGAGTGGGAGGACGCGAGCAATAAGAGGAAGCGAGGGTGGGCGCACTCACGGACGGTGTAGCCCTTGTTGACGACGGTGGCAGTGGTGGGCGCGGAGTCATACTCCAGAGCAAACTTCTCTGGTTCGTCCACCGTTGTTGCCTCGTCCATCACGATGTTGATTGGCGACTGGCGCTCGCCCGACTCGCACACACCCTGGCATGACGTGGAGGAAGGAAGGAGGGGGAGAGGATACGATGAGAGGTGAGGGTCGTTGCCTCGTCCATCACGATGCTGATTGGCGACTGGCGCTCGCCCGACTCACAAACGCCCTGGAGGGTCATTGGGAGGGAAGTGCGGAATGGGGAGTGGGTTGTGGAGGGAGGGAGAGGGAGTGGGAGAGAGAGAGGATGGGATGAAAGAGAAGGGGATGTGCAAGGGATGTGAGAACGGGCGGTCGCAGAAAGCATAACTCCGGGGCAGCGAGTCGAAAGCACTCAATACACATGTACAAGCCACGTTTGAAATCAATCTTACTACTTTCAGCCCTTCCCATTCTCTCACCCCCCCCACCCACACGGCCCTAGGCGGCGAGTCACGCACCTCCCAGTCGAGCCCGCTCTTGCTGTAATTCACTCCCGCGGCGCTCGCGGCGGGAAGAGCGGCGAGGAGAGCGGCGGCCGCGAGGAAAACGGCCACGAGCGTCAGGGAGCGAGACGGAAGAGCCATTCGCCGGGAAGGGAGGGACGGCGAGCGAGGATGAGTTTGCACTGTCGAGTTTGCTCTGCTTGCTGTAGGATGAGCTTTTGACTGTAACGCACTGGTAGTGGATGAATTTAAAATATGTTACTAGCGCCTTCTTATATAGTACCGTTGGGAGGAGTGCTCGACGCGTAAAAAAACCCGCGAGAGACGGATTCGCTCGCACTGGGAACGAACCAGCCCAACCCGACGACGCCTGGGCGCGAATTGCAGCAAAGAACATTCCGCGGTCCCGGTTTCTGGATAAGATTCCGAGCGCTGCGACCAAGTGGCCTTCGCAATCCGCCGGATCCATGCGGGTGTATCCTTCAAAGTTCGCCGACACGGGTGACGATGCCTTCAAGGTTCGCCGAAAGGGCGTCTCGGATCCGTGCTAACGTGGAGCTGACGCAGCCGCGCTGGGAGAGACGCCCGGACTCGGAATAGCGACGTATGCTTCTGGTGGCTCTTCGGAGCGAGAGGGGCCCGTCATCGAGCAACAAAGCCGTGATTGGCTGAGCTGCTCTGACAGTGTGTGGCTTGAGAAGCAAGACGGCCCGTCAAATCCGTCAGTCCCGTCCATTTCACATCTCCCACTGTATTGATGCACCTGTCTGCAGCGTCGCCTAGCGCGATTCTAAGCGGCTAGGCTCTAGTATTCGGGAACCTGGGAGCGTGTGAGCTCAGCGGACAGGTGCTGCTGCCATGGATTTATGATGTACGCCCTACAAGGGATGTCTACACATCGCTATGTCTATTCCGCACACGTACAGAATCTACGAGAAATGCACACTCGTAATTCGTCTCAGTGAGAGAGACCTACGATGGAAGCGGAAGGAAATGTGATGACGGAATGAGGAACTCTGGACGACTAGTTTTGAAAGAGCGAAACAGCTCAGTAACGCAACACCCACAGAACAAATACCGCGACACAAGAGGAATCGAAATCAAGCACCCACAACCTCTCAAACGCAAAATACCGCCGAATCCAAATTTCGGTGTAGCAGATCTGTTCCTCATAACGGAACGCGTTTTATCGAGGGATCAGAGCTCAAAATGTCTGGGCATTCCCAAGGGTGGGAACATCAAACCGGCGTTTGTCGAACGGCGCTGATAGCTAGAAACGCGGGAGGGAATGGTTCTGAGTCAGAACTTCTGACAAGCATAAGAGTTCCGATGGCTCGGACGGCTAGGTTAGGGAACCTCGGGAAACGCGTGCCTTTACGTTATACCTACGCATGTCGGGAATGCCATGCATGTCTGACGTTCGACCCATCATGGGTCCCATCATGCGTGGCGTCCCAGTATGCTCGTAATTGATTATACGACATTCGAGTATTTCGCTTCGGCATGCACAACGAATGTCTGATGCTAATATTCTTTCTAAACATCAGGGACCTAGCTAGCGATTACCATCAAATTAGCCTGGCACATTCAGGGACCTATCCGGACCTATCAGGTTAGCCTGACACATTCAGGAATATATTAGAGACCTATCAGCTTAGCCTGACACATCCAGGGACCTATTCGAGACATATCAGGTTAGCCTGACACATTTAGCGACCTATTAGAGACCTATCAGGTTAGCCTGACACATTTAGCGACCTATTAGAGACCTATAAGCTTAGCGTGACACATCCAGGGACCTATTAGAGACCTATCAGTCTAGCCTGACACATCCAGGGACCTATCAGGAACCTATTAGGGACGTATCAGGTTAGTCTGACACATCCAGTTGACATAAGGCAGCAAATCCCAGAGCGCGGTTACTCACCTCACCTAGACGAACCGAAATGTCCTCTTAGTTTCGAGGCAGTAAATCCCAGAGCGCGGTTACTCACCTCACCTAGGCGACCCGGAAGGTACTACTAGGGAGCCGGATAGGCGGAAGCCCCTTAGGCAGTCGAGTCCCATGGCGGAGCACGTTGAAAGCCTCACGTTCGAGCATGCGAAATGGACAGACGTGGTATGTATTTCTGCGACCCTGTGATTAAATGATCGGTGGTTAGTTAGTCGGTTCTTACTAGTGCGAACGTTCCAGCATATCGCTTTCTGTCCGGATTTTCTTACCAAATACATATTTACAGGTAGGTGAATGCTTTTTTTGAGTGACTGAACTGATAGTTTTATTTGTTTTACTGAAAGGCCCTCTCCTCCCCCTCCTCCGCCTCTCCCCCTTTCCTCCTCTCCTCCTCTCCTCCTTCTCCCCCCTCGCCTCCACCCACCTCTCCCGCCCAAAAACTCCAGGAGCGCTGGTCGGTGCTCAAGTGCACCAAGCCTGCTGACGTCAGCAGTCCACTCTTGGGGGTGCGAAATGCGAAGGAGAACCAATGCGGCACGTGCGGGAAGAGCGCGCAGACGTGTACCGGTGAGTACAAAGGCTGTGGATGGGTATAATCGAGTGAGCAGGGAATGTGTGTATGCGTTCCTTTATGAAGATTATTAGAATAATACTAGTCCAGTTCCTCCGCTCCTGTGGCGATGTGCCTCAATGAGAATCCCATCTGCTCATGCTCCTCCTCCTCCGCTTCCCCGTCCCTCCTCGCGCACATGCTACCAGATTTTGGTCTTGAAACGTCTGAAAAAATACCCCTTCCGCTCTCCCTTCCCCCTTCCCCTCTCCCAACCGCAGGTCATTTCGGGCACATAGCCTTCGAGATGCCGCTGTACCACCCGCTGCTGCGCCCTCTGCCCGTGTCCACCCTCAACCCCTTCTGCCTCTTGCCTCGACATGAGACATGACGACGCTTGAGGCAGCTCAACTCCCCCCCTCTCTTTGCCCTTCCCCTTTCCCCATCTTTTAACCCAATTCGCAGGTCATTGCGGGCACATATTCTTCGAGATGCCGCCGCTGTACCACCCGTTGATGGTTTGAGACTTCTGAAAACACCCCAACCCCCCTTTTCCCCCTTCCCCCCCGCAGGTCATTTCGGGCACATAGCATTTGAGATGCCGGTGTACCACCCACTGCTGCGCCCTCTGCTCGTCTCCACCCTCAACTCCTTCTGCCTCGCCTGCGGCAAGGGCTGCTCCTCCTCCTCCTCCCTCCGCCACGCATCCGCCCAAGCTCAGGTATGCCTCACGCACGCACTCACCCCCGTACTCACGCACACACGTCGACCATTGTTCACTCATGCCTGCACTGTGCCGCGTTCTGCTCTGCAATGGATAGTGCCTCTCATGGTGCGTTTCCTTCTTGAAATCGTCATGAGTTCCTGGTTTCATTCCCGTCTTGTAACGAGTCCTTTCTGTCTCCATGCGCCCGTGTCCTGCTCTCGCCCTGCAGCTGGTCTCTGGCGCTTCCGCAGCAGCGAAAGGGAGAATGAATCAAGGAGCAGTGCAGAAGCGACATCGGGGGACCGAAGGGGAGGAGAGGAAGATGAAAGGGAGAGTGCGGGAGGGGGGAAATAAGAAGGGGAAAGGGAAGAGCGACGGCGTTCAGGCAGGATCATCATCAGCAGCAGCAGCAGCAGCAGCAGCAGCAGCAACGGCAGCAGCAGTTGCAGGACAGGATACAGCAAGAGGCGCTGAAAGGGAGAAGCAGGCAGCAGAGGAAGGAGGTGAAGCAGCTGCAGCAGCAGGGACAGCGGATGGAGCAGCAGCAGTGGAAGCTAATGCAGCAGCAGCAGCTGTGGGAGAAGAAAAGGCAGCAGGAGCAGAGGGCGCAGAAGCGTCTTCCCCTGGTATCTGGGATCAAGCCACAGAGAGCAGACTGAGTGGGGAGAGGGAGCAGAGCGAGGAGGAGAAAGAGAAGGAGAAGAACGCGGAGGAGGGGGTGGGAGGGAAGAGTGAGGAGGAGGTAGAGAGGGAGAAGGATGAGGGGGCTGGGCTTGCTGCTGCAAAGGAGAATGCAGAGCGAGCAGCGGGAGAAGGGGGGGTGGAGGGTGTGGAAGGAGAGGGTGAGGCAGCAGGTGATGCTGGAAAGAGGGAGAATGAGGGAAACAAACGGGAAGGGATGAGAAATCATGAGGTGGTGTCGCTTGTGGACTCTGACTCTCAGAGCGAGGGTGAGGATGATGATGATGGGGAGTTGGGTCAACGCAGAGGCTGATTAAGGGAGATGATGCAGATGACAATGACAGGGACATGCCGCTTGCCTTCCGCAGCAAGTGCCGATCTGCTGGCTTCATTGGCCCTGTAAGCCCCCTCACTTTGCACCCTTCTCACTTGCCTCCCATCCCATCCCCCTTGCTTTCCACTTTCTCGATTTCTGCGTAAGACCTTTACATGTACGATAACCCATTCCCTATGCCAGTAAGTTTCCTCTGCAAGCCTTTTGTCTCTTTCCCACATTCTCTGATTCTAGAACCCTTTGGTTCCGCCCGCATTTTTCTGCAACTTCCTTCATCTAAGCCGCTGTTTCTCTGTGCTCCATTGTGCTTCAGGGTGCTAGGCGAATGCTGGCAACACTCTCGGATGACGATGATGATTCTGATGATAAGAATGATGATGACGGGGACGACGGTGGTGGTGTTCGGGGGCAGAGGGGGGCGGTAGATGGGATGCACAGAGGCAGCGGGCGTGGGAGCGTGAGCGGCAGGAGAGAGGGCAAGGGGAAGGGTGAAGGGAAGTGGAAGGGTGAAAGGAATGAGAAGGGTCAGTGGAAGGGGAAGGAGAAGGTAGTGGAGGAGGGCGAGAGGGAGTGGGGAGAATGGGGCAAAGCGGGGCCGGGAAGAAAGGGAAAGGGGGACCCGTTTGATGAGGACGAGGAGGAGTGGGAGGAGGGGGAGGTGGAGGAGTGGGAAGAGGAGGAGGGAGGCGAGAGGACGGTAGAGGAGGAGGGGGGAGAGGGGGATGGGGAGGAGGGGGTTCCAGTGGCTGGTCCAAGCAGAGTGCGTTCTGGGAGTGCGAGTGAGGGTCGGGGTCAATGGGAGGAGGGTCAGCCGGTGGAGGGTCAATTGGGGCGGGGTCAACCAGGGTGGAGTGAACTGGAGAAAGGTCAACAGGATAAAGGGATGCGGGTGGAGGGTTCTCACGCCTCTGACAGTGGGGATGACGTGGTAGAGGTTTCTCATGACCCTCGCGGTGGGCCTGGGGGTGAGCCTGGGGGTGAGCCTGGGGGTGAGCCTGGGGGTGAGCCTGTCTCTGGTGGTGAGAGTGTGTCTGCCTCGGGAGGGTGGGGCAGTGGGGGTGGAGGCATGAGGGGGGGGAGGAGCCCAAAGAAGAGTCCAAAGAAGAGCCCAAAGAAGAGTCCCAGAAAGAGGTTCAAATCGACAGAGGAGCAGAGGAGGATATGGCGGGAGGATAGGCGGATGCGCATGCAACGGGCAAGGGAGGCAGCGCAAGCGAGGGGAGAGGGGGAGGAAAAGAGGGGAGAGGGAGCGGGAGGCGGAAAAGACGCGGGGCATGGGGGAGGGGAGACGAGCGGAGAGGTGGGGCGGGCAGAAATGGGGTTTGAAAACTCTGGAGACGTGGGGCGGGCGGGAGCGTATCGATACAGCATGCGACCGAGAGAGGCTCTGCACCGGCCGGCTGTTGTGGTGGAAGATGAGAGAAGGGCGGCGGAGGTGAGGGAGAAAATGGCTGCTGAGGGGAAGAAGAGCCCGAAGAAGAGGAGGAAAGGGGGAGGGCGAGGGAGAGGGAAGGGGAAGAGGGAGGATGGTGTTTGGGGTGATGGTGGTGAGGTGGAGGGGGGAGGGGAGGAGGGGGGTGGGTCTAGTGAGAGTGAGAGTGAGGAAGAGGAGGAGGCGGGAGGGAAGGAGCAGGAGGAGGCGGGGGAGGATGAGGAAAAGGAGGAGGAGGAGGAGGAGGAGAGGCGGATGGAGGAGGAGCAGCAGAGGTTGGAGGTTCAGGCGAGGGAGTTGGAGAGGAGAAGGGTTGGGGAGAGAGGGGTGAATGGTGGGGCGGATGGGGAGGCAGGAGAAGATGGGGAAGAGGAGGGTGATGAGGATGGGGGTGGGGGTGAGGAGGGATGGGAGGATGCGGGGGATGCAGCTGCAGCGAGAGAGGCGGAGGAGGAGGAGAGGAGAGAGGAGGGAACAGAGGGAGCAAAGAGGGCAGGAGAGGAGGAAGGAGGGGAGGAGGGAGCAGAGGAGGAAGACGAGGAAGAGGAGGAAGAGGACGAGGAGTTAGAGAGTGACCTGCTCAAGCATAGCCGGATGCGGGAGTCTTTGGAGTTTGAGGCGAAAGGGGGAGGTGGGATTGGCGGGGGAGATGCTGAGGGTGAGGGTGAGAGATGGGAGGTGGTGGGGGAGAAGCGGAAAGGGACGGGGGAGGGCGGGAAGGCAGGCAAGTTCAAGAGGAGGCGGGGCGAGAAGGGCCACAGTGCAGAGGGAGCAGTGGATGGGAGCAAGGAGAGGAGAAAGGGGGATGTGGAGAATGAGAAAACGAAGCCCTTGGAGGACGAATGTGTATGGTGCCAGGTTAGTAGCGCTGCTTACTAGTTCTATAATGATGATGCCATTTTAATGCTAGATTAATGCTGATGCTAGTTCAATGCTACCAGTTCAATGCTGATTCCCCTCCACTCCCTCTCCTTCCACCCCTCTCCACCTTCATCAGTGTCGTTTCTGGTACCAAGTGGTGCACGGCTGGGGCAAGGAGGGCGGAGCTCATGCAACAGCATCAACACCAGCAGCAGCTTACTTTGCCTTCCTACTCTCCCCTCCCCTTCCCCTCCTCTCTGTCCCGTCCCTACCCCTCACCAGCGTCGCTCCTGGTACCAAGTGGTGGACGGCTGGGGCAAGGACGGCGGAGCTTCATGCAACAGCAACACCAGTAGCAGCAGATGCCTCTCCTTTTACCGCTCTCTCCGCCCATTTCCTTCCCCTTCTTCCCCCCCCTCCCCCACCCTCCCCCCGCTCCCCCTCACCAGCGTCGCTCCTGGTACCAAGTGGTGGACGGCTGGGGCGTCGCACCTCTCATGCATCAGCATCAGCAGCAGCAGATGCGACTGCCAACTGCTTTCTCTGGCTGCGCCCATGCAGGCAGGACAAGCTGCTTCCCTTTGAACACTCTCTCTCCCCTTCCCCGCCTCCCATCCCTCACCAGCGTCGCTCCTGGTACCAAGTGGTGGACGGCTGGGGCAAGGACGGCGGCACACATAAAGCATCAACACCAGCTGCAGCAGATGCATCTGCCAACTGCTTTCTCTGGCTGCGGCCGTGCAGGCAGGACAAGCTGCTTCTGGGGCTCTGGGCGCTGCTGGCCCAGGAGGGCCCAATCCTTCCTTCCTTCACTCCCCTTCCTCTCCCCACCTCCCTTTTACCTCCCCTCCTTTTCCTCCCCTTCTCCCTCCTTGGCCCCCCCTCACCAGCGTCGCTCCTGGTACCAAGTGGTGGACGGCTGGGGCAAGGACGGCGGCTCTCATGCAACACCAGCAGCAGTAGATGCATCTGCCAACTGCTTCCTCTGGCTACGCCCATGCAGGCAGGACAAGCTGCTTCTGGGGCTGTGGGCGCTGCTGGCCCAGGAGGGCCTAGGAGGAGGAGGAGAGATGGGGGTGGGGGGGGAGGGAGGGGATGGGGAGATCAAGGACTGCCCTCCACTCGAGATGGCGCCCTTCTGGGTATGGTGTATTTCGTGAAATAATTTATGTTGATGAGCATGTTTTGGTTTTGTTCTTCTATGTTGTTCGGGTAGCAGATAGTTTGGTTTCTGCGCAGGTCTTTTCCGCCTAAAACTTTGTGTTCCTGCTCTTGGTTTTTCCTCGCTGAAACATCTGTTGATTTCTCTCTTGGTTTTTCCTCGCTGAAACATCTGTTGATTTCTCTCTTGGTTTTTCCTCGCTGAAACATCTCTTGATTTCTCTCTTGGTTTTTCCTCGCTGAAACATCTGTTGATTTCTCTCTTGGTTTTTCCTCGCTGAAACATCTGTTGATTTCTCTCTTGGTTTTTCCTCGCTGAAACATCTGTTGATTTCTCTCTTGGTTTTTCCTCGCTGAAACATCTGTTGATTTCTCTCTTGGTTTTTCCTCGCTGAAACATCTGTTGATTTCTCTCTTGGTTTTTCCTCGCTGAAACATCTGTTGATTTCTCTCTTGGTTTTTCCTCGCTGAAACATCTGTTGATTTCTCTCTTGGTTTTTCCTCGCTGAAACATCTGTTGATTTCTCTCTTGGTTTTTCCTCGCTGAAACATCTCTTGATTTCTCTCTTGGTTTTTCTTCGCTGAAACATCTCTTGATTTCTCTCTTGGTTTTTCCTCGCTGAAACATCTCTTGATTTCTCTCTTGGTTTTTCATCTTGCGCGCGCGCGGTGTGTGTGCGCATGGGTGTGCATGCATGCATGTGTGTGTGTGTGTGTGTGCAGGCTAAAATAGTCCTACAAAAGGCGCTACATGCCAATGGGGGCGTGCAGGGAGGGCAGGAGGGTGGCAGCTTGAGAGGCAATGAGAGAATAACAGGCGTGGTGGGGGCGGTGGTGGAGGTGGGGGTGGGGCAGGGCGCGTGTGTGCCGCTGGTGAGAGCGCTGCAGGTGTGCCTCGAGTCGGGCATCGTGGGCGCGTGGCCCGTGCCGCCTCACCACCTGCGGCATTCTGAGACTGCTGACAATGAGAAGCAAGAGGTGAGCGATGGAGAAAAGTAGAAGGAAAGGGCAGGGGAGAAGCAGAGGGGAGAGGGAGGTAGGGGGCGCATGTCCCTCTGGTGAGGGCGCTGCAGGTGTGTCTGGAATTTGGCAATCGTGGGTGCATGGCCTGTGCCACCACACCACCTGCGCCTGTCCGATAATGCTGACGACGATAAGCAGGAGGTGAGAAGTGGGGAATGAATGAATCAATGTTTGAATGGAGCGATGCTTGAGGTGCCGCTGGTGAGGGCGCTGCAGGTGTGCCTCGAGTCGGCAATCGTGGGTGCATGGCCCGTGCCCCCTCACCACCTGCGGCTATCCGAGAATGCTGACGACAAAAAACAGGAGGTGAGCGATGAGTAATGTTTGAATGGAGCGATGCTTGAGGTGCCGCTGGTGAGGGCGCTGCAGGTGTGCCTTGAATCGGGCATCGTGGGTGCGTGGCCCGTGCCGCCACACCACCTTCGCCTGTTTGAGAATGCTGACGACGAGAAGCAGGAGGTGAGCAATGAAGAACAAAACCCTTTTTTGAGGGCTCAAATAGCTGCAGGTGTGTCTGGAGTCTGGCATCGTGGGTGCATGGCCCGTGCCGCCTCACAAACGGCGCCTGTCCGAGAATGCTGACGACGAGAAGCAGGAGGTGAGAAGTGAGGAGTGAATTAATGAATGAATGATTGGGGCGATGCTTGAGGTAAATATGGTGAGGGCGCTTGTGTGCTTCTGGTGAGGGCGCTGCAGGTTTGCCCTGAATCCGGCTTCGTGGTTGCGGGGATTGTGCCGCCACACCACCTTTGCCTGTCTGAGAATGCTGACAATGAGAAACATTAGGTGAGCGAATTGGGATGAGCGGAGAGAAGAGAAGTAGGGGAAGGGAAGGGGAGAAATATGTATGTCTGGTCTGGTGGAGGCATGGCCCTTGCCGCCTCAATGGCCCATGCCGCCTCACCTCCGCCAGAAGGGAAACAGGAGGTGACAGCAGTGCTGCTGCATGGCAAGGGCAGGCACCGGCGGGAACAGTTCAACAATCCCCCTTGGCCTCACACCATCCCCCATGCGGGACTATCTGTCAGTGAGGCTGAGGGCGATGGTGCGACTGAACGTAGAGATGGCACTGGCGCAGGCACCGGCAACGGCACCAGCACTGCCATCTCTGCATTCAGTCGCACCATCGCCCTCAGCCTCACTGACAGATAGTCCTGCATGGAGGGTCAAGGGCAGGCACCGGCGCTCGCAGTTCAGTACCCCCTCCCCCACCCCCCCTTCCTCTTCTCCTCTCTCTTTTCACCCCTCTCTGCACAGTAACGCTACGGGCGATGGTGCGATTGAACGCAGAGATCGGGGCGCTGGTGCATGGCAAGGGCAAGCACCGGTGGGGGCAGTTCAATAGTCCCATACCCCCTCCTATCCCATCCCCAGCAGGACAATCTGTCTGTACGGCTGAGGGCAATGGTGCGATTGAAAGCAGAGATCGGGGCGCTGGTGCATGGCAAGGGCAAGCACCGGTGGGGGCAGTTCAACAATCCCCCCCTCCCGGCCCCCCTTTTCACCCCTCTCTCCCTCCCCCCCCCCCCACGCAGGACTATCTGTCAGTGAGACTGAGGGTGATGGTGCTGTTGAAATGAATGCAGGATAGGAGCACTGCTGCATGGCAAGGGCAGGCACCGGCAAGTGCAGTTCATAAGAACCCCCCTTTGCCCCACTCTTTCCCCCCCTTTCTCCCATCCCCCACACAGGATTACCTGTCTGTACGGCTGAGAGCAATGGTCCGTTTGAACACAGAGATTGGGGCTCTGCTGCATGGCAAGGGCAAGCACCGGCGGGAGAAGTTTGGCGGGGCGGACGGGGAGGGGGAGGGCGGCATGGCGGTGCGGTTACATCTGGCGTTCGGCCGGCTGAAGAAGTTGCAGGTGGAGCTGCAGCACTACTTTGTGCGGCCCCCCAACCAGTACCAGGTGCAGACCCCCTCTTTCCCTCTTCATAGAGCAGCGATTCAAGGGCCACAGCACCTCCTCTTCCGCGTGTAGAGAGGGTGTTTTTGGGACGTCTCAAAAACACCCTCTTCATAGAGCAGCGATTCAAGAGCCACAGCACCCCCTCTTCCGCACCGCCATCGTCGGCAAGCGCTCCGAGTCCTCTGCCCGTGCCGTCATGCCTTTTGAGTCGATTGAAAGGTCACTTGGTTGGCAAGGGCTCTGAGCCCTCCGCCCGACATCGCACCCCTCCACCCCATTCTTTCACCTTCCTCCACCCGACTCCCCCCACCACCGGAGGCCATCCTGCACGAGGCAGGGCTGGGCATAGAGCAGCGCTTCAAGGGCCACAGCACCTCCTCCTCTGTGCGCTCCAACGGATTCATCCGAGTCCTCCTCGGAGCGATGCGATTCTGGGCAAACACTCCGAGTCCTCCGCCCGTGCCGTCATCGCTCTCTCTTCTCCTTCTTTCCCTTTCTTTCCCATTCCCAACCCCACTTGGACCCACAGGCCATCGTGCACGAGGCAGGGCTGGGCATAGAGCAGCGCTTCAAGGGCCACAGCACCTCCTCCTCTGCTCGCTCAAAGGGATTTATTCGGGATCCCTCCTCTGCTCGTGCCGTCATCGCACCCTTCCTTCTTCCTTTCCCTTTCCCCCACCCCCCTTGGACCCACAGGCCATTGTGCATGAGGCAGGGCTGGGCATAGAGCAGCGCTTCAAGGGCCACAGCACCTCCTCCTCTGCTCGCTCAAAGGGATTTATTCGGGATCCCTCCTCTGCTCGTGCCGTCATCGCACCCTTCCTTCTTCCTTTCCCTTTCCTCCACCCCCCTTGGACCCACAGGCCATTGTGCATGAGGCAGGGCTGGGCATAGAGCAGCGCTTCAAGGGCCACAGCACCTCCTCCTCTGCTCGCTCAAAGGGATTCATTCGCGATGCCATCCTCGGCAAGCGCTCCGACTCCTCTGCCCGCGCCGTCATCGCACCGGACCCCTCCCTCGCCCTGCACGAGATCGGTGTCCCTGACTCCATCGCCGCTGGTCTCTTCGTTCAGGTGAGCTCCTTATCAATCCAATGGTAACCAGGGCAAGCGCTCCGACTCCTCTGCCCGCGCCGTCATCGCACCGGACCCCTCCCTCGCTCTGCACGAGATCGGGGTCCCTGACTCCATCGCTGCTGGCCTCTTCGTTCAGGTGAGCTCCTGTGCAGCAACTGGGCTCCTTGCAAAGTGTTTCCTCCGTGTCCTTCTTACTCCTCTGCCCGTGCTGTCATCGCGCCGGATCCTTCTCTCGCCCTGCACGAGATTGGTGTCCCTGACTCCATAGCTGCTGGTCTCTTTGTTCAGGTGAGCTTTGTATAGATCCAATGGTAGCCAAGGCAAGCGCTCCGTCTCCTCCACTGACTCCTCTGCCCGTGCCGTCATCGCACCGGACCCCTCCCTCGCTCTGCACGAGATCGGCGTCCCTGACTCCATCGCTGCTGGCCTCTTCGTTCAGGTGAGCTCCTTTAGAGTTCTTGTTCCGTGTCCTCTGCGTCCTCTGAGTCCTCTGCGTCCTCTGCCCATGCTGTCATCGCACCGGACCCCTCCCTCGCTCTGCACGAGATTGGCGTCCCTGAATCCATTGCTGCTGGTCTATTCGTTCAGGTGAGCTCTTTTGCAACTAAACTCCATGCAAAGTGTGTGCTCTGGTCCACTGACTCCTCTGCCCGTGCTCATCGCGCCCGACCCCTCACTCCCTCCTCTCCCCAGGAGCCCGTGTCTCTCATGGTTCATGCCCGCTGCTGCCTCTCTCACCGCCTCTGGTGATTAAGCTCACGCCCCTTTCTTTCTTCTGACCCTTTCCTCCTCGCCCCAGGAGCCCGTGTCTCACCTCAACATCGACTACCTGCAAGCCTGTGTGGACGCAGGTCCATACCCGCTGCCGCCCCCACCACCTCTCATGCTTAAGCTCATGCCCCTCCCCTTCTTCCTTCATCCCTTCTCTCCTCGCCCCAGGAGCCCGTGTCTCACCTCAACATCGACTACCTGCAAGCCTGTGTGGATGCAGGCCCATGCCCGCTGCCTCTGCCACCACCTCTGGACACCGGAGGAGGGGAAGGTGACGCCTGTGGTGGTGGCGGTGGTTCTGCTGATGGCGGTGCTGCAGATGCAGGCTGGGGTGGTGGTGCTGCTGCTGGCGCAGGTTGGGGTGGTGCTGGTGGTGGTGCAAGCTGGGGTGCTGCTGGGGGTGGAGATGGGAATGTGCCTGCTGCAACTAATTCTGGTGGGTGGGGTGCTGCTGCTGCTGCTGCTGCTGCTGATGATGGTGCAGGCTGGGGTGCTGCTGCTGCTGCTGATGCTCATGCAGGCTGGGGTGCTGGTGGTGGTGATGGTGCGGCTGGTGGGGGTGGGTGGGGTGCTGATGCTTCTGCTGGTGAGCGTGAGGGTGGTGCATGGGGCACGGATGCTGTTGCTGCTGCTGGTGCGAGGGGTGGTGATGCTGCTGCAGGTGCTGCTGGTGGGAGTGGGTGGGGGGCTGATGCCTCTGCTGGTGGGGCTGATGGGGGTGTATGGGGCACGAATGCTGCTGATGATGGAAGGGGTGGTGGTGCAGCTGTTGCTGCTGGTACTGGTGGGAATGGGTGGGGTGCTGAGGTTGCTGCTGAGGAGAAAGGGGAGGAGAAGAAAGAAGGGTAGAAGAGTGAGGAGAGGGGAGATGAACCAGTGCAAGGGGGGTGGGGAGAAGGGGAGAAAGAAGAGGAGAAGGGGGAGGCGGAGGGAGCGATGCAGAGTGGATGGGGAGAGGGGGAAGAGAAGGAGGATGAGGAGAAGGCAGAGGTGGCAGAACAAGGGGTATGGGGAGAGAGAGAACAGGGAGAGGCAGATGGGAAGAATCCTGTAGCGGAGGGGGTGAGTGGGTGGGGTGCTCCTGCTGATGCTCATGCTGATGCTGATGCTGGTGCTTCTGCTGCTGCTAGTGATGGTGTTGATGTCTGCCGGTGGCTGGGGCGGTAATGATGATGCTGCTGCTCCTGCTCCTGCTGCTGCTGGCGGTAACGCTGGTGGTTGGGGTGGTGGTAGTGGTGGTGCTTCTGGTGCTGCCGGTGGTGACGGTGGTGGGGGTGGTTGGGGAGGGAATGGTGGTGCTGATGGTGCTGATGGTGGTGGTGGTTCTACCGGTGGTTGGAGTGATAATGATGGTGCTGCTGCTACTGCTACTAATGCTGCTGGCGGTAACGCCGGTGGTTGGGGTAGCAATTGTGGTGATGTTGCTGCTGCTGCTGATGCTAATGCTGCTGCTGATGCTGATGATGCTGATGCTGCTAGTGGTGGTGGAGGTGGTTGGGGAGGGAATAATGATGGTGGTTCTGCTGGTGGTTGGGGTGGTGGTGACGGTGCTGCCACTGCTACTGCTGCTGATGGTAATGCTGGTGGTTGGGGTGGTGCTGCTGCTGATGCTAGTGCTGCTGATGCTGCCAATGCTACTAGTGCTGCCAATGCTACTGGTGCTGCCAATTCTAGTGGTGCTGCTGGTGCTGCTGATGCTGCCAATGCTACTGGTGCTGCCAATGCTACTGGTGCTGCCAATGCTACTGGTGCTGCTGGTGCTGCAGGCTGGGGCAACAGTGGTGCCAGTGGTGGTGGTAGTGGTGGAGGTGGATGGGTTGGTGGTGCTGCTGCCGATGCCGCTGGTGCCGCTGCTGGTGCTGCTGGTGGCTCAGGCTGGGGAAAGAGTGGTGGTGATAGTGGTGGTGGTGGTTGGGGTGGTGGTGCTGGTGCCGCTGGTGCTGCTGATGCCGCTGGTGCTGCTGATGCCGCTGGTGCTGCTGGTGCTGCAGGCTGGGGGAACAATGATGCCAGTGCTGGTGGTAATGCTGGTGGATGGGGTAGTGATGCTGCTGCTGCTGGTGGTGCTGCAGGCTGGGGGAACAATGATGCCAGTGGTGGTGGTAGTGGTGCTGGTGGGTGGGGTGGTGATGCTACTGCTGGTGCTGCCGCTGCTACAGGTTGGGGGAACAATAATGCCAGTGGTGCTGGTAATGCTGGCGGATGGGGAGGGAATGACGGTGCTGCTGCTGCTGCTGCTGGTGATGCCGGTACCAGTGGTGGTGGCTGGGGCACAGGTGGTGGGACTTGGGGCACTGCACCTGCTGCTGCCACTGCTGCAGGTGGTAATACCAGGGGAGCCACAGCACCTGATACAGCCATACCTCCTGCACCGTCCCCTTCGTCTGATCGCCGCCCTCCCCGCCCACCCAACCACGTCCTGCCACCTGTCGGCGCGTTCAGCGTTCTCATTGGCTCTGATCCTGCTGGAGGAGCGATTGGAGGAATCACAGGAGGAGCATCGGCCAATGGCGGCACGCCAGAGTGGACCAAGGTGACTCTGAGCCGATGGGTGGATCGTGGCTTGAGCCTGCAGGTGGGAACTGGGCCAGGCTCAGGTGCACCTGGATCAGGTCTACCTACCCCAGGCGCACCTTCTGCATCAGAGCGTGCATCTGCTGCCCTTGCAGCATATGTGAGGTCTGCCCTGCTTGCGGGCATTGCCCCCACTGCCCCTGCTGCTGGTGCTGGTGCTGGTGCTGCTGGTGCTGGTGCTGGTGGTGATGGTGGTGATGGATTTGGTGGTGGTGGTGTGGATGGTGGAGGGGGGAGGATGGTGGGGATGACGGTGCTGCGCCACGTGGCAGATGGAGATTGGCTGCTGCTCAACCGCACGCCCTCGCTGCACAAGCAGAACCTCATGGCCTTCCGTGTGCGCCGCGTGCCCGCTGCTGTCTCCGCCAACGCGCTCCTGCTCAACCCCCAGGTGTGTGCAGCAATCGCGGGTGATTTCGATGGGGATGAAGTGAAGGTGTTCAGCAGAGACAGCAGAGTGCCGTGGCAGCAGAGTGCCCCTACCCTTAACCTCCCCTTCCCCCCTCTTCCACCTCCTGTGTAACCAGGTGTGTGCAGCGATCGCGGGTGGTTTCGATGGAGATGAAGTGAATGTGTTCACGGTGCAGCAGAGCGCCGTGGCAGCAGAAGCAGCAGAGCTCATGCCCGTGGACAAACAGCTCTTCCCCTCCCTCCCCCTTCCACCACTCCCGCCTCCACCACTCCCTCCTCCTCCTACTACTACTCCTCCCCCTGCGCCTTCCCTTCCTCCCTCGCCTGGTCCCTCGTTAGCTCGTCCTGCTGCCACCACCACAGCAGCAGCTGCTACCCCCTCTCGTTCCTCTGCCCGCTGCTCTTGTCACTCCTCCTCCCGCTCCACCTCCTCCCCCTCCTCCACTTCCGCTCACCCGCACGCCCCTCACCACGACCCAGCAGTCATGTCTCTCCAGCAGGACGCGTTGCTGGGTCTGCACCTCCTCGCCTCCCCGCCCCCCTCTTCCCCCTCGCTCTTCCTCTCCCGCCCTGACGCCACCCAGCTTGCCCTGCACGCCTGGGAGGGGATGGGGATGGTGACTGGGGGAGCGGGAAAGGGGGATGGCTGGGATTGGAGAAGCAGGCGGGGAAGGAAGGGGGGAAGAGAGGGGAGAGGAGGAGGGGGAGGGGGAGGGGAAGGTGAGGGAGGCGGAGGGGTGATTGCTGTTGTGGATGATGAGGAGTGGGGGAGGGGAGTGGGGAAGGCGCCGGCGCGGGGAGAGCAAGAAGGTAAAGCAGCAGCAGCAGCAGCAGCAGCAGCAGCAGCAGCAGCAGCAGGTGAAGAAGCAGCGGCAGGAGCAGCAACAAGAAATCCCTATTTTCCCCTCCCTCCGCCAGCCATTCTCAAGTACCCTCACCCAGGCAGCAACAACAGCAGCAACAGCAACAATAACAGCCAGAGCCACCATCCACCTCCCCCTGCGCCTCCTCTCTGGACGTCTCTCCAACTCCTCTCCACCGTCATCCCGCCCTCCCTCTGCTTCCAGCACCGCCAGTGCGGCGTGCGGGTGCATCAAGGGGAGGTGGTGTTCGTGAACGAGCATGGGCGCATGGGGGTGGGGAAGGGTGCGAGGAGGCGTGGGGGTGCGGGAGCAAGGAGGCATGGGGATGAGGGAGCGAGCAGGGAGAAGGGAAAGTGTGAGGAGGAGAGTGGGGGTTGAGGGTGGTGATGGAGGAGGAGGAGGAAGGGGAGGAGGAAGGGGAGGAGGAAGGGGAGGAGGACAGGGAGAGGGAAGGAAGTGGTAACGAGGGGGAAAGCGAGGGTAAGAAAGAGGAGGAGGTGGAGGTGGGGGATGAGTCGCGGTGGCTGAGGGGCGGCAGCGACGGCTTGCTGGCAGCCATCTGGCAGCACCAACCGCCAATGGCGGCGCGCCACTTGACGGGCGTGCAGGCTCTGGCAGTGAGCTACCTGTCGTCAATCGCTGGCTTCAGTGCCGGCCTCTCTGACTTCTGTGGTCTGCCTGCTGCTGCTGCTGTTGCTGCTGCTGCTGCTGCTGCTGCTGCTGCTGCTGCTAGTGCCTCCCGTGACCTGCCTGCCAGTGACACCAGTAACCTGCCTAGCACTGATCGCAGTGCGAGCAAACTGCACTCCTCTCCCTCTCCCCAGCCCTCCACATCCCACCCTCCGCCTGCTTGTCCTCCCCCTGCTCCGTCTCTCTTCTCACGTGCCTCGCCCTTGTTCCCGCGGGGCAACGCGGTGAGGGAGATGGTGGGGGCGGGCAGCAAGGGCTCGCCCAAGGTGATTGCCCAGCAGGTGCAGCCGCAACACACAGAGATGTCCCACTGCCCGACCCACTCCCTGCCACACTCTCCTCATGTCCTCGATCCGATTCAGCTGAAACTCTTCGCTCCAAAATCGTTACACAAGAAAGACCCTGCCAGCTCTATCCCTCTGAAGGCACCACCTGCTGCTCCTCATGCCCCTGCTGACCCCCCTGCTGCTGCTCATACCCCTGCTGATCCCCTTGCTCCTGCTCATGCCCCTGCTGTTCCTCCTGCTCCTGCGCATACCCCTTCTCCCGCTCGTGCCCCTTTCCGATGCTTGGGGCTAGGCTCGGCCCGAGGCTCCCTCCTGACGGGGCTTTCGGCTCGGGAGCTCTTCCGGGCCGCAGCTTCGGCCAGGCCTGCTCTGGTTGCCGAGGCTACGAGCGTGGCTCGGCCGGGTGAGCTTTCCAGGAAGCTGAGGGAAACGCTTAGGGATATCGTGGTGGGGTATGATGGGTCTGCAAGAATTGGAGGAGGAGTGGGGGGGAGAGGGGGAGGAGGGAAGGGAGGGATGGTGGTGCAACTGTCGTATGGGCGGCTGGGGGTGGAGGAGAGGGGAGAGGACGGGGAAGGGGGCGAGGAGAGGGAGGAGGAAAGGCGGGGAGGTAAATCTGGGAAAGGAAAGAGTGGGAGAGACAAGGGGAAGGGGAAGAACAAGGTGGGCGAGAAGGACAAGGTGGGCGAGAAGGGAAAGGAGAAGGGAAAGGAGAAGGGAAAGGAGAAGGGAAAGGAGAAGGGAAAGGAGAAGATGGAAGTGAAGAAGGGAGGTGGGAGGAGGGAGGTGGGGGAGCAGGGGGGTGCGTGGGCGGAGGCAGGGGATGCAGTGGGGATGGCAGCAGCGCAAGCAGTGTCTGCTCCAGCCACACAGATGGTGCTGAACGTGGGGCATGACGGCGTGCACGGTGGCGCCTCGTCCCTCATTGCCCGCCTGGAGGTGAGAAAGCGAATGGATCTTGATCACTCACTGTCGTGGTGATGCAAGCAGTGTCTGCCCCGGCCACACAGATGGTGCTCAATGTGGGGCATGACGGTGTGCATGGTGGCGCCTCCTCCCTAATTGCGCGGCTAGAGGTGCGGGAAAATAATCAAAAGGATAATTATCCACAGTTACTTCTTGACATGCGGCCTCTAAATTTTGTCAGTAAGGGTGATTTCGTCGACGCATTGTCTGCCTTCCGCATGTGTGCATTCCACATTGTCTGCCTTCCGCATGTGTGCATTCCACATTGTCTGCCTTCCGCATGTGTGCATTCCATCTCTTCAATACCCACAGTCGTTAGAGTTTATCCATTCATGTTTTCTTGTTCTTTCCCCTGTCCCAACCTATTCGTCACACTCTCCATCCAGCGCCTTCTCTACGCGACCGACTCCTCTACGACAGTCCTGCTGCGCTTCCTCCCTGCTCATGCCACTACTCCTGCCACCGACCACACATCCGCTTCTGCAAACCCAGCTGCTGCTACCACTGCTGCAGCAGCTGCAGCGGCGGACTGTCGGTTGGTGCTGGCAACGCAGGGTCGGCTGCTGCCTCTGCGCGTCAGACAGCTTGCCTCGCACGTCATGATTGAGTGAGTGGCATGGGGGGGAAGGGTTAGGCACCACCAGCACTACCAGCACCAGTTGCTGCTGCTGCTGCTGCAGCGGCGGACTGTCGGTTGGCGCTGGCAACGAAGGGTCGGCTGCTGCCTCTGCGCGTCAGGCAGCTTGCCTCGCACGTCATGATCGAGTGAGTTGCATGGCCAAGGCAAAGGCTAGTACTTCTGAGGTGCTTGGAGGCAGCTAGGCCCCCACGTTATGATCGAGTGAGTGGCAGGGTGGAGAAGGCACAGCCAGCTAAGACAGAACGAGTCTGTTCCTGTGCAAGAAAAAACACGCCGAAAACACGGAGTCACAAGGACAGATCTGTTTTTTTACTTCACACAGGATGAAGCTGTTTTCAGAGTCGAATCATAAACTGTGTGCCTCTCAGTATGACTCCGTTTCTTCGAATGAAGTTTCCCGCTCCCCATTCCCCTTTCCCCCCGGCCACTGTTCCCTCTCGCTCATATCCCCATCCTTCCTCCCCACAACCCCCCCTCCACCTTAACATCTCCCCTTTCAGGTACCGGAGGAGGGAGCTGAGGCGGTGGGACGTGGGACTGCAAGAAAGTGAAGCAAAAGCACGGGGCGAGAGGGAGAAGGAGAGGCAGAGACAGCAGGAGGATGCAGAAGCAAGGCTGCAGCAGGGGGGAGGTGGAAGGGGCAGGAAGAGAGGAAGAGACGGACGGGGAGGGGAGAGAGGGAAGGGAGGGGCAGGAAACGAGAGGAAGGGGGGCGGGAGAGGATGGGAGGAGGAGAGGGCAGGAGTGAAGGAGGCTTGCTGGCGGGTGCACATTCGGCTGTCAGAGGTGAGAAAGGTTGTGTTGTATACATGTAATTGCATGAAACGGAGTGATGGAGAGGGGTTCGCACGAGGGTGTGAGTGAGGAGAGAGCAGGACTGGAGGAGGCGTGCTGGTGGGTGCACCATCGGCTGATTGATGAACTGACCAGCTTTGGTCGGGTTTTCCTCTGCTGCGTTTCCCTCGCGTTTTCCCCGTGTTTTCCATGCGTTTCCTTTGTTGTATTTCCTCACCACAGGACGCGGTAGCCAAGGCATTCGCTTGCCTGCCAGCATCTCGCTTCCCCGATCCTCCTGCCGCTTTTGAGTCGACTCAAATCCTCCCTCCCTCCCCTCTCCCTCCCTTCCTCCCACAGGACGCGGTAGCCAAGGCATTCGCTTGCCTGCCAGCATCTCGCTTCCCCGATCCTCCTGCCGCTTTTGAGTCGACTCAAATCCTCCCTCCCTCCCCTCTCCCTCCCTTCCTCCCACAGGACGCGGTAGCCAAGGCATTCGCTTGCCTGCCAGCATCTCGCTTCCCCGATCCTCCTGCCGCTTTTGAGTCGACTCAAATCCTCCCTCCCTCCCCTCTCCCTCCCTTCCTCCCACAGGACGCGGTAGCCAAGGCATTCGCTTGCCTGCCAGCATCTCGCTTCCCCGATCCTCCTGCCGCTTTTGAGTCGACTCAAATCCTCCCTCCCTCCCCTCTCCCTCCCTTCCTCCCACAGGACGCGGTAGCCAAGGCATTCGCTTGCCTGCCAGCATCTCGCTTCCCCGATCCTCCTGCCGCTTTTGAGTCGACTCAAATCCTCCCTCCCTCCCCTCTCCCTCCCTTCCTCCCACAGGACGCGGTAGCCAAGGCATTCGCTTGCCTGCCAGCATCTCGCTTCCCCCGATCCTCCTGCCGCTTTTGAGTCGACTCAAATCCTCCCTCCCTCCCCTCTCCCTCCCTTCCTCCCACAGGACGCATTAGCCAAGGCATTCGCTTGCCTGCCAGCATCTCGCTTCCCCGATCCTCCTGCCGCTTTTGAGTCGACTCAAATCCTCCCTCCCTCCCCTCTCCCTCCCTTCCTCCCACAGGACGCGGTAGCCAAGGCATTCGCTTGCCTGCCAGCATCTCGCTTCCCCGATCCTCCTGCCGCTTTTGAGTCGACTCAAATCCTCCCTCCCTCCCCTCTCCCTCCCTTCCTCCCACAGGACGCATTAGCCAAGGCATTCGCTTGCCTGCCAGCATCTCGCTTCCCCGATCCTCCTGCCGCTTTTGAGTCGACTCAAATCCTCCCTCCCTCCCCTCTCCCTCCCTTCCTCCCACAGGACGCATTAGCCAAGGCATTCGCTTGCCTGCCAGCATCTCGCTTCCCCGATCCTCCTGCCGCTTTTGAGTCGACTCAAATCCTCCCTCCCTCCCCTCTCCCTCCCTTCCTCCCACAGGACGCGGTAGCCAAGGCATTCGCTTGCCTGCCAGCATCTCGCTTCCCCGATCCTCCTGCCGCTTTTGAGTCGACTCAAATCCTCCCTCCCTCCCCTCTCCCTCCCTTCCTCCCACAGGACGCATTAGCCAAGGCATTCGCTTGCCTGCCAGCATCTCGCTTCCCCGATCCTCCTGCCGCTTTTGAGTCGACTCAAATCCTCCCTCCCTCCCCTCTCCCTCCCTTCCTCCCACAGGACGCGGTAGCCAAGGCATTCGCTTGCCTGCCAGCATCTCGCTTCCCCGATCCTCCTGCCGCTTTTGAGTCGACTCAAATCCTCCCTCCCTCCCCTCTCCCTCCCTTCCTCCCACAGGACGCGGTAGCCAAGGCATTCGCTTGCCTGCCAGCATCTCGCTTCCCCGATCCTCCTGCCGCTTTTGAGTCGACTCAAATCCTCCCTCCCTCCCCTCTCCCTCCCTTCCTCCCACAGGACGCGGTAGCCAAGGCATTCGCTTGCCTGCCAGCATCTCGCTTCCCCCGATCCTCCTGCCGCTTTTGAGTCGACTCAAATCCTCCCTCCCTCCCCTCTCCCTCCCTTCCTCCCACAGGACGCGGTAGCCAAGGCATTCGCTTGCCTGCCAGCATCTCGCTTCCCCGATCCTCCTGCCGCTTTTGAGTCGACTCAAATCCTCCCTCCCTCCCCTCTCCCTCCCTTCCTCCCACAGGACGCATTAGCCAAGGCATTCGCTTGCCTGCCAGCATCTCGCTTCCCCGATCCTCCTGCCGCTTTTGAGTCGACTCAAATCCTCCCTCCCTCCCCTCTCCCTCCCTTCCTCCCACAGGACGCATTAGCCAAGGCATTCGCTTGCCTGCCAGCATCTCGCTTCCCCGATCCTCCTGCCGCTTTTGAGTCGACCTCAAATCCTCCCTCCCTCCCCTCTCCCTCCCTTCCTCCCACAGGACGCGGTAGCCAAGGCATTCGCTTGCCTGCCAGCATCTCGCTTCCCCGATCCTCCTGCCGCTTTTGAGTCGACTCAAATCCTCCCTCCCTCCCCTCTCCCTCCCTTCCTCCCACAGGACGCATTAGCCAAGGCATTCGCTTGCCTGCCAGCATCTCGCTTCCCCGATCCTCCTGCCGCTTTTGAGTCGACTCAAATCCTCCCTCCCTCCCCTCTCCCTCCCTTCCTCCCACAGGACGCATTAGCCAAGGCATTCGCTTGCCTGCCAGCATCTCGCTTCCCCGATCCTCCTGCCGCTTTTGAGTCGACTCAAATCCTCCCTCCCTCCCCTCTCCCTCCCTTCCTCCCACAGGACGCATTAGCCAAGGCATTCGCTTGCCTGCCAGCATCTCGCTTCCCCGATCCTCCTGCCGCTTTTGAGTCGACTCAAATCCTCCCTCCCTCCCCTCTCCCTCCCTTCCTCCCACAGGACGCGGTAGCCAAGGCATTCGCTTGCCTGCCAGCATCTCGCTTCCCCGATCCTCCTGCCGCTTTTGAGTCGACTCAAATCCTCCCTCCCTCCCCTCTCCCTCCCTTCCTCCCACAGGACGCATTAGCCAAGGCATTCGCTTGCCTGCCAGCATCTCGCTTCCCCGATCCTCCTGCCGCTTTTGAGTCGACTCAAATCCTCCCTCCCTCCCCTCTCCCTCCCTTCCTCCCACAGGACGCGGTAGCCAAGGCATTCGCTTGCCTGCCAGCATCTCGCTTCCCCGATCCTCCTGCCGCTTTTGAGTCGACTCAAATCCTCCCTCCCTCCCCTCTCCCTCCCTTCCTCCCACAGGACGCGGTAGCCAAGGCATTCGCTTGCCTGCCAGCATCTCGCTTCCCCCGATCCTCCTGCCGCTTTTGAGTCGACTCAAATCCTCCCTCCCTCCCCTCTCCCTCCCTTCCTCCCACAGGACGCGGTAGCCAAGGCATTCGCTTGCCTGCCAGCATCTCGCTTCCCCGATCCTCCTGCCGCTTTTGAGTCGACTCAAATCCTCCCTCCCTCCCCTCTCCCTCCCTTCCTCCCACAGGACGCGGTAGCCAAGGCATTCGCTTGCCTGCCAGCATCTCGCTTCCCCGATCCTCCTGCCGCTTTTGAGTCGACTCAAATCCTCCCTCCCTCCCCTCTCCCTCCCTTCCTCCCACAGGACGCATTAGCCAAGGCATTCGCTTGCCTGCCAGCATCTCGCTTCCCCGATCCTCCTGCCGCTTTTGAGTCGACTCAAATCCTCCCTCCCTCCCCTCTCCCTCCCTTCCTCCCACAGGACGCATTAGCCAAGGCATTCGCTTGCCTGCCAGCATCTCGCTTCCCCGATCCTCCTGCCGCTTTTGAGTCGACTCAAATCCTCCCTCCCTCCCCTCTCCCTCCCTTCCTCCCACAGGACGCGGTAGCCAAGGCATTCGCTTGCCTGCCAGCATCTCGCTTCCCCGATCCTCCTGCCGCTTTTGAGTCGACTCAAATCCTCCCTCCCTCCCCTCTCCCTCCCTTCCTCCCACAGGACGCATTAGCCAAGGCATTCGCTTGCCTGCCAGCATCTCGCTTCCCCGATCCTCCTGCCGCTTTTGAGTCGACTCAAATCCTCCCTCCCTCCCCTCTCCCTCCCTTCCTCCCACAGGACGCGGTAGCCAAGGCATTCGCTTGCCTGCCAGCATCTCGCTTCCCCGATCCTCCTGCCGCTTTTGAGTCGACTCAAATCCTCCCTCCCTCCCCTCTCCCTCCCTTCCTCCCACAGGACGCGGTAGCCAAGGCATTCGCTTGCCTGCCAGCATCTCGCTTCCCCGATCCTCCTGCCGCTTTTGAGTCGACTCAAATCCTCCCTCCCTCCCCTCTCCCTCCCTTCCTCCCACAGGACGCATTAGCCAAGGCATTCGCTTGCCTGCCAGCATCTCGCTTCCCCGATCCTCCTGCCGCTTTTGAGTCGACTCAAATCCTCCCTCCCTCCCCTCTCCCTCCCTTCCTCCCACAGGACGCGGTAGCCAAGGCATTCGCTTGCCTGCCAGCATCTCGCTTCCCCGATCCTCCTGCCGCTTTTGAGTCGACTCAAATCCTCCCTCCCTCCCCTCTCCCTCCCTTCCTCCCACAGGACGCATTAGCCAAGGCATTCGCTTGCCTGCCAGCATCTCGCTTCCCCGATCCTCCTGCCGCTTTTGAGTCGACTCAAATCCTCCCTCCCTCCCCTCTCCCTCCCTTCCTCCCACAGGACGCATTAGCCAAGGCATTCGCTTGCCTGCCAGCATCTCGCTTCCCCGATCCTCCTGCCGCTTTTGAGTCGACTCAAATCCTCCCTCCCTCCCCTCTCCCTCCCTTCCTCCCACAGGACGCGGTAGCCAAGGCATTCGCTTGCCTGCCAGCATCTCGCTTCCCCGATCCTCCTGCCGCTTTTGAGTCGACTCAAATCCTCCCTCCCTCCCCTCTCCCTCCCTTCCTCCCACAGGACGCGGTAGCCAAGGCATTCGCTTGCCTGCCAGCATCTCGCTTCCCCGATCCTCCTGCCGCTTTTGAGTCGACTCAAATCCTCCCTCCCTCCCCTCTCCCTCCCTTCCTCCCACAGGACGCGGTAGCCAAGGCATTCGCTTGCCTGCCAGCATCTCGCTTCCCCGATCCTCCTGCCGCTTTTGAGTCGACTCAAATCCTCCCTCCCTCCCCTCTCCCTCCCTTCCTCCCACAGGACGCATTAGCCAAGGCATTCGCTTGCCTGCCAGCATCTCGCTTCCCCGATCCTCCTGCCGCTTTTGAGTCGACTCAAATCCTCCCTCCCTCCCCTCTCCCTCCCTTCCTCCCACAGGACGCGGTAGCCAAGGCATTCGCTTGCCTGCCAGCATCTCGCTTCCCCGATCCTCCTGCCGCTTTTGAGTCGACTCAAATCCTCCCTCCCTCCCCTCTCCCTCCCTTCCTCCCACAGGACGCATTAGCCAAGGCATTCGCTTGCCTGCCAGCATCTCGCTTCCCCGATCCTCCTGCCGCTTTTGAGTCGACTCAAATCCTCCCTCCCTCCCCTCTCCCTCCCTTCCTCCCACAGGACGCATTAGCCAAGGCATTCGCTTGCCTGCCAGCATCTCGCTTCCCCGATCCTCCTGCCGCTTTTGAGTCGACTCAAATCCTCCCTCCCTCCCCTCTCCCTCCCTTCCTCCCACAGGACGCGGTAGCCAAGGCATTCGCTTGCCTGCCAGCATCTCGCTTCCCCGATCCTCCTGCCGCTTTTGAGTCGACTCAAATCCTCCCTCCCTCCCCTCTCCCTCCCTTCCTCCCACAGGACGCGGTAGCCAAGGCATTCGCTTGCCTGCCAGCATCTCGCTTCCCCGATCCTCCTGCCGCTTTTGAGTCGACTCAAATCCTCCCTCCCTCCCCTCTCCCTCCCTTCCTCCCACAGGACGCATTAGCCAAGGCATTCGCTTGCCTGCCAGCATCTCGCTTCCCCGATCCTCCTGCCGCTTTTGAGTCGACTCAAATCCTCCCTCCCTCCCCTCTCCCTCCCTTCCTCCCACAGGACGCATTAGCCAAGGCATTCGCTTGCCTGCCAGCATCTCGCTTCCCCGATCCTCCTGCCGCTTTTGAGTCGACTCAAATCCTCCCTCCCTCCCCTCTCCCTCCCTTCCTCCCACAGGACGCGGTAGCCAAGGCATTCGCTTGCCTGCCAGCATCTCGCTTCCCCGATCCTCCTGCCGCTTTTGAGTCGACTCAAATCCTCCCTCCCTCCCCTCTCCCTCCCTTCCTCCCACAGGACGCATTAGCCAAGGCATTCGCTTGCCTGCCAGCATCTCGCTTCCCCGATCCTCCTGCCGCTTTTGAGTCGACTCAAATCCTCCCTCCCTCCCCTCTCCCTCCCTTCCTCCCACAGGACGCGGTAGCCAAGGCATTCGCTTGCCTGCCAGCATCTCGCTTCCCCGATCCTCCTGCCGCTTTTGAGTCGACTCAAATCCTCCCTCCCTCCCCTCTCCCTCCCTTCCTCCCACAGGACGCATTAGCCAAGGCATTCGCTTGCCTGCCAGCATCTCGCTTCCCCGATCCTCCTGCCGCTTTTGAGTCGACTCAAATCCTCCCTCCCTCCCCTCTCCCTCCCTTCCTCCCACAGGACGCATTAGCCAAGGCATTCGCTTGCCTGCCAGCATCTCGCTTCCCCGATCCTCCTGCCGCTTTTGAGTCGACTCAAATCCTCCCTCCCTCCCCTCTCCCTCCCTTCCTCCCACAGGACGCATTAGCCAAGGCATTCGCTTGCCTGCCAGCATCTCGCTTCCCCGATCCTCCTGCCGCTTTTGAGTCGACTCAAATCCTCCCTCCCTCCCCTCTCCCTCCCTTCCTCCCACAGGACGCATTAGCCAAGGCATTCGCTTGCCTGCCAGCATCTCGCTTCCCCGATCCTCCTGCCGCTTTTGAGTCGACTCAAATCCTCCCTCCCTCCCCTCTCCCTCCCTTCCTCACCACAGGACGCGGTAGCCAAGGCATTCGCTTGCCTGCCAGCATCTCGCTTCCCCGATCCTCCTGCCGCTTTTGAGTCGACTCAAATCCTCCCTCCCTCCCCTCTCCCTCCCTTCCTCCCACAGGACGCGGTAGCCAAGGCATTCGCTTGCCTGCCAGCATCTCGCTTCCCCGATCCTCCTGCCGCTTTTGAGTCGACTCAAATCCTCCCTCCCTCCCCTCTCCCTCCCTTCCTCCCACAGGACGCATTAGCCAAGGCATTCGCTTGCCTGCCAGCATCTCGCTTCCCCGATCCTCCTGCCGCTTTTGAGTCGACTCAAATCCTCCCTCCCTCCCCTCTCCCTCCCTTCCTCCCACAGGACGCGGTAGCCAAGGCATTCGCTTGCCTGCCAGCATCTCGCTTCCCCGATCCTCCTGCCGCTTTTGAGTCGACTCAAATCCTCCCTCCCTCCCCTCTCCCTCCCTTCCTCCCACAGGACGCGGTAGCCAAGGCATTCGCTTGCCTGCCAGCATCTCGCTTCCCCGATCCTCCTGCCGCTTTTGAGTCGACTCAAATCCTCCCTCCCTCCCCTCTCCCTCCCTTCCTCCCACAGGACGCATTAGCCAAGGCATTCGCTTGCCTGCCAGCATCTCGCTTCCCCGATCCTCCTGCCGCTTTTGAGTCGACTCAAATCCTCCCTCCCTCCCCTCTCCCTCCCTTCCTCCCACAGGACGCATTAGCCAAGGCATTCGCTTGCCTGCCAGCATCTCGCTTCCCCGATCCTCCTGCCGCTTTTGAGTCGACTCAAATCCTCCCTCCCTCCCCTCTCCCTCCCTTCCTCCCACAGGACGCATTAGCCAAGGCATTCGCTTGCCTGCCAGCATCTCGCTTCCCCGATCCTCCTGCCGCTTTTGAGTCGACTCAAATCCTCCCTCCCTCCCCTCTCCCTCCCTTCCTCACCACAGGACGCGGTAGCCAAGGCATTCGCTTGCCTGCCAGCATCTCGCTTCCCCGATCCTCCTGCCGCTTTTGAGTCGACTCAAATCCTCCCTCCCTCCCCTCTCCCTCCCTTCCTCCCACAGGACGCGGTAGCCAAGGCATTCGCTTGCCTGCCAGCATCTCGCTTCCCCGATCCTCCTGCCGCTTTTGAGTCGACTCAAATCCTCCCTCCCTCCCCTCTCCCTCCCTTCCTCCCACAGGACGCATTAGCCAAGGCATTCGCTTGCCTGCCAGCATCTCGCTTCCCCGATCCTCCTGCCGCTTTTGAGTCGACTCAAATCCTCCCTCCCTCCCCTCTCCCTCCCTTCCTCCCACAGGACGCGGTAGCCAAGGCATTCGCTTGCCTGCCAGCATCTCGCTTCCCCGATCCTCCTGCCGCTTTTGAGTCGACTCAAATCCTCCCTCCCTCCCCTCTCCCTCCCTTCCTCCCACAGGACGCGGTAGCCAAGGCATTCGCTTGCCTGCCAGCATCTCGCTTCCCCGATCCTCCTGCCGCTTTTGAGTCGACTCAAATCCTCCCTCCCTCCCCTCTCCCTCCCTTCCTCCCACAGGACGCGGTAGCCAAGGCATTCGCTTGCCTGCCAGCATCTCGCTTCCCCGATCCTCCTGCCGCTTTTGAGTCGACTCAAATCCTCCCTCCCTCCCCTCTCCCTCCCTTCCTCCCACAGGACGCGGTAGCCAAGGCATTCGCTTGCCTGCCAGCATCTCGCTTCCCCGATCCTCCTGCCGCTTTTGAGTCGACTCAAATCCTCCCTCCCTCCCCTCTCCCTCCCTTCCTCCCACAGGACGCGGTAGCCAAGGCATTCGCTTGCCTGCCAGCATCTCGCTTCCCCGATCCTCCTGCCGCTTTTGAGTCGACTCAAATCCTCCCTCCCTCCCCTCTCCCTCCCTTCCTCCCACAGGACGCATTAGCCAAGGCATTCGCTTGCCTGCCAGCATCTCGCTTCCCCGATCCTCCTGCCGCTTTTGAGTCGACTCAAATCCTCCCTCCCTCCCCTCTCCCTCCCTTCCTCCCACAGGACGCATTAGCCAAGGCATTCGCTTGCCTGCCAGCATCTCGCTTCCCCGATCCTCCTGCCGCTTTTGAGTCGACTCAAATCCTCCCTCCCTCCCCTCTCCCTCCCTTCCTCCCACAGGACGCATTAGCCAAGGCATTCGCTTGCCTGCCAGCATCTCGCTTCCCCGATCCTCCTGCCGCTTTTGAGTCGACTCAAATCCTCCCTCCCTCCCCTCTCCCTCCCTTCCTCCCACAGGACGCATTAGCCAAGGCATTCGCTTGCCTGCCAGCATCTCGCTTCCCCGATCCTCCTGCCGCTTTTGAGTCGACTCAAATCCTCCCTCCCTCCCCTCTCCCTCCCTTCCTCCCACAGGACGCATTAGCCAAGGCATTCGCTTGCCTGCCAGCATCTCGCTTCCCCGATCCTCCTGCCGCTTTTGAGTCGACTCAAATCCTCCCTCCCTCCCCTCTCCCTCCCTTCCTCCCACAGGACGCATTAGCCAAGGCATTCGCTTGCCTGCCAGCATCTCGCTTCCCCGATCCTCCTGCCGCTTTTGAGTCGACTCAAATCCTCCCTCCCTCCCCTCTCCCTCCCTTCCTCACCACAGGACGCGGTAGCCAAGGCATTCGCTTGCCTGCCAGCATCTCGCTTCCCCGATCCTCCTGCCGCTTTTGAGTCGACTCAAATCCTCCCTCCCTCCCCTCTCCCTCCCTTCCTCCCACAGGACGCGGTAGCCAAGGCATTCGCTTGCCTGCCAGCATCTCGCTTCCCCGATCCTCCTGCCGCTTTTGAGTCGACTCAAATCCTCCCTCCCTCCCCTCTCCCTCCCTTCCTCCCACAGGACGCATTAGCCAAGGCATTCGCTTGCCTGCCAGCATCTCGCTTCCCCGATCCTCCTGCCGCTTTTGAGTCGACTCAAATCCTCCCTCCCTCCCCTCTCCCTCCCTTCCTCCCACAGGACGCGGTAGCCAAGGCATTCGCTTGCCTGCCAGCATCTCGCTTCCCCGATCCTCCTGCCGCTTTTGAGTCGACTCAAATCCTCCCTCCCTCCCCTCTCCCTCCCTTCCTCCCACAGGACGCATTAGCCAAGGCATTCGCATGCCTGCCAGCATCTCGCTTCCCCGATCCTCCTGCCGCTTTTGAGTCGACTCAAATCCTCCCTCCCTCCCCTCTCCCTCCCTTCCTCCCACAGGACGCATTAGCCAAGGCATTCGCTTGCCTGCCAGCATCTCGCTTCCCCGATCCTCCTGCCGCTTTTGAGTCGACTCAAATCCTCCCTCCCTCCCCTCTCCCTCCCTTCCTCCCACAGGACGCATTAGCCAAGGCATTCGCTTGCCTGCCAGCATCTCGCTTCCCCGATCCTCCTGCCGCTTTTGAGTCGACTCAAATCCTCCCTCCCTCCCCTCTCCCTCCCTTCCTCCCACAGGACGCATTAGCCAAGGCATTCGCATTGCCTGCCAGCATCTCGCTTCCCCGATCCTCCTGCCGCTTTTGAGTCGACTCAAATCCTCCCTCCCTCCCCTCTCCCTCCCTTCCTCCCACAGGACGCATTAGCCAAGGCATTCGCTTGCCTGCCAGCATCTCGCTTCCCCGATCCTCCTGCCGCTTTTGAGTCGACTCAAATCCTCCCTCCCTCCCCTCTCCCTCCCTTCCTCCCACAGGACGCATTAGCCAAGGCATTCGCTTGCCTGCCAGCATCTCGCTTCCCCGATCCTCCTGCCGCTTTTGAGTCGACTCAAATCCTCCCTCCCTCCCCTCTCCCTCCCTTCCTCACCACAGGACGCGGTAGCCAAGGCATTCGCTTGCCTGCCAGCATCTCGCTTCCCCGATCCTCCTGCCGCTTTTGAGTCGACTCAAATCCTCCCTCCCTCCCCTCTCCCTCCCTTCCTCCCACAGGACGCGGTAGCCAAGGCATTCGCTTGCCTGCCAGCATCTCGCTTCCCCGATCCTCCTGCCGCTTTTGAGTCGACTCAAATCCTCCCTCCCTCCCCTCTCCCTCCCTTCCTCCCACAGGACGCATTAGCGAAGGCATTCGCTTGCCTGCCAGCATCTCGCTTCCCCGATCCTCCTGCCGCTTTTGAGTCGACTCAAATCCTCCCTCCCTCCCCTCTCCCTCCCTTCCTCCCACAGGACGCATTAGCCAAGGCATTCGCTTGCCTGCCAGCATCTCGCTTCCCCGATCCTCCTGCCGCTTTTGAGTCGACTCAAATCCTCCCTCCCTCCCCTCTCCCTCCCTTCCTCCCACAGGACGCATTAGCCAAGGCATTCGCTTGCCTGCCAGCATCTCGCTTCCCCGATCCTCCTGCCGCTTTTGAGTCGACTCAAATCCTCCCTCCCTCCCCTCTCCCTCCCTTCCTCACCACAGGACGCGGTAGCCAAGGCATTCGCTTGCCTGCCAGCATCTCGCTTCCCCGATCCTCCTGCCGCTTTTGAGTCGACTCAAATCCTCCCTCCCTCCCCTCTCCCTCCCTTCCTCCCACAGGACGCGGTAGCCAAGGCATTCGCTTGCCTGCCAGCATCTCGCTTCCCCGATCCTCCTGCCGCTTTTGAGTCGACTCAAATCCTCCCTCCCTCCCCTCTCCCTCCCTTCCTCCCACAGGACGCATTAGCCAAGGCATTCGCTTGCCTGCCAGCATCTCGCTTCCCCGATCCTCCTGCCGCTTTTGAGTCGACTCAAATCCTCCCTCCCTCCCCTCTCCCTCCCTTCCTCCCACAGGACGCGGTAGCCAAGGCATTCGCTTGCCTGCCAGCATCTCGCTTCCCCGATCCTCCTGCCGCTTTTGAGTCGACTCAAATCCTCCCTCCCTCCCCTCTCCCTCCCTTCCTCCCACAGGACGCATTAGCCAAGGCATTCGCTTGCCTGCCAGCATCTCGCTTCCCCGATCCTCCTGCCGCTTTTGAGTCGACTCAAATCCTCCCTCCCTCCCCTCTCCCTCCCTTCCTCCCACAGGACGCGGTAGCCAAGGCATTCGCTTGCCTGCCAGCATCTCGCTTCCCCGATCCTCCTGCCGCTTTTGAGTCGACTCAAATCCTCCCTCCCTCCCCTCTCCCTCCCTTCCTCCCACAGGACGCATTAGCCAAGGCATTCGCTTGCCTGCCAGCATCTCGCTTCCCCGATCCTCCTGCCGCTTTTGAGTCGACTCAAATCCTCCCTCCCTCCCCTCTCCCTCCCTTCCTCCCACAGGACGCGGTAGCCAAGGCATTCGCTTGCCTGCCAGCATCTCGCTTCCCCGATCCTCCTGCCGCTTTTGAGTCGACTCAAATCCTCCCTCCCTCCCCTCTCCCTCCCTTCCTCCCACAGGACGCATTAGCCAAGGCATTCGCTTGCCTGCCAGCATCTCGCTTCCCCGATCCTCCTGCCGCTTTTGAGTCGACTCAAATCCTCCCTCCCTCCCCTCTCCCTCCCTTCCTCCCACAGGACGCATTAGCCAAGGCATTCGCTTGCCTGCCAGCATCTCGCTTCCCCGATCCTCCTGCCGCTTTTGAGTCGACTCAAATCCTCCCTCCCTCCCCTCTCCCTCCCTTCCTCCCACAGGACGCATTAGCCAAGGCATTCGCTTGCCTGCCAGCATCTCGCTTCCCCGATCCTCCTGCCGCTTTTGAGTCGACTCAAATCCTCCCTCCCTCCCCTCTCCCTCCCTTCCTCCCACAGGACGCGGTAGCCAAGGCATTCGCTTGCCTGCCAGCATCTCGCTTCCCCGATCCTCCTGCCGCTTTTGAGTCGACTCAAATCCTCCCTCCCTCCCCTCTCCCTCCCTTCCTCCCACAGGACGCATTAGCCAAGGCATTCGCTTGCCTGCCAGCATCTCGCTTCCCCGATCCTCCTGCCGCTTTTGAGTCGACTCAAATCCTCCCTCCCTCCCCTCTCCCTCCCTTCCTCCCACAGGACGCATTAGCCAAGGCATTCGCTTGCCTGCCAGCATCTCGCTTCCCCGATCCTCCTGCCGCTTTTGAGTCGACTCAAATCCTCCCTCCCTCCCCTCTCCCTCCCTTCCTCCCACAGGACGCATTAGCCAAGGCATTCGCTTGCCTGCCAGCATCTCGCTTCCCCGATCCTCCTGCCGCTTTTGAGTCGACTCAAATCCTCCCTCCCTCCCCTCTCCCTCCCTTCCTCCCACAGGACGCATTAGCCAAGGCATTCGCTTGCCTGCCAGCATCTCGCTTCCCCGATCCTCCTGCCGCTTTTGAGTCGACTCAAATCCTCCCTCCCTCCCCTCTCCCTCCCTTCCTCCCACAGGACGCATTAGCCAAGGCATTCGCTTGCCTGCCAGCATCTCGCTTCCCCGATCCTCCTGCCGCTTTTGAGTCGACTCAAATCCTCCCTCCCTCCCCTCTCCCTCCCTTCCTCCCACAGGACGCATTAGCCAAGGCATTCGCATGCCTGCCAGCATCTCGCTTCCCCGATCCTCCTGCCGCTTTTGAGTCGACTCAAATCCTCCCTCCCTCCCCTCTCCCTCCCTTCCTCCCACAGGACGCATTAGCCAAGGCATTCGCTTGCCTGCCAGCATCTCGCTTCCCCGATCCTCCTGCCGCTTTTGAGTCGACTCAAATCCTCCCTCCCTCCCCTCTCCCTCCCTTCCTCCCACAGGACGCATTAGCCAAGGCATTCGCTTGCCTGCCAGCATCTCGCTTCCCCGATCCTCCTGCCGCTTTTGAGTCGACTCAAATCCTCCCTCCCTCCCCTCTCCCTCCCTTCCTCCCACAGGACGCATTAGCCAAGGCATTCGCATGCCTGCCAGCATCTCGCTTCCCCGATCCTCCTGCCGCTTTTGAGTCGACTCAAATCCTCCCTCCCTCCCCTCTCCCTCCCTTCCTCCCACAGGACGCATTAGCCAAGGCATTCGCTTGCCTGCCAGCATCTCGCTTCCCCGATCCTCCTGCCGCTTTTGAGTCGACTCAAATCCTCCCTCCCTCCCCTCTCCCTCCCTTCCTCCCACAGGACGCATTAGCCAAGGCATTCGCTTGCCTGCCAGCATCTCGCTTCCCCGATCCTCCTGCCGCTTTTGAGTCGACTCAAATCCTCCCTCCCTCCCCTCTCCCTCCCTTCCTCCCACAGGACGCGGTAGCCAAGGCATTCGCTTGCCTGCCAGCATCTCGCTTCCCCGATCCTCCTGCCGCTTTTGAGTCGACTCAAATCCTCCCTCCCTCCCCTCTCCCTCCCTTCCTCCCACAGGACGCATTAGCCAAGGCATTCGCTTGCCTGCCAGCATCTCGCTTCCCCGATCCTCCTGCCGCTTTTGAGTCGACTCAAATCCTCCCTCCCTCCCCTCTCCCTCCCTTCCTCCCACAGGACGCATTAGCCAAGGCATTCGCTTGCCTGCCAGCATCTCGCTTCCCCGATCCTCCTGCCGCTTTTGAGTCGACTCAAAACCTCCCTCCCTCCCCTCTCCCTCCCTTCCTCCCACAGGACGCGGTAGCCAAGGCATTCGCTTGCCTGCCAGCATCTCGCTTCCCCGATCCTCCTGCCGCTTTTGAGTCGACTCAAATCCTCCCTCCCTCCCCTCTCCCTCCCTTCCTCCCACAGGACGCATTAGCCAAGGCATTCGCTTGCCTGCCAGCATCTCGCTTCCCCGATCCTCCTGCCGCTTTTGAGTCGACTCAAATCCTCCCTCCCTCCCCTCTCCCTCCCTTCCTCCCACAGGACGCGGTAGCCAAGGCATTCGCTTGCCTGCCAGCATCTCGCTTCCCCGATCCTCCTGCCGCTTTTGAGTCGACTCAAATCCTCCCTCCCTCCCCTCTCCCTCCCTTCCTCCCACAGGACGCATTAGCCAAGGCATTCGCTTGCCTGCCAGCATCTCGCTTCCCCGATCCTCCTGCCGCTTTTGAGTCGACTCAAATCCTCCCTCCCTCCCCTCTCCCTCCCTTCCTCCCACAGGACGCATTAGCCAAGGCATTCGCTTGCCTGCCAGCATCTCGCTTCCCCGATCCTCCTGCCGCTTTTGAGTCGACTCAAATCCTCCCTCCCTCCCCTCTCCCTCCCTTCCTCCCACAGGACGCATTAGCCAAGGCATTCGCTTGCCTGCCAGCATCTCGCTTCCCCGATCCTCCTGCCGCTTTTGAGTCGACTCAAATCCTCCCTCCCTCCCCTCTCCCTCCCTTCCTCCCACAGGACGCATTAGCCAAGGCATTCGCTTGCCTGCCAGCATCTCGCTTCCCCGATCCTCCTGCCGCTTTTGAGTCGACTCAAATCCTCCCTCCCTCCCCTCTCCCTCCCTTCCTCCCACAGGACGCGGTAGCCAAGGCATTCGCTTGCCTGCCAGCATCTCGCTTCCCCGATCCTCCTGCCGCTTTTGAGTCGACTCAAATCCTCCCTCCCTCCCCTCTCCCTCCCTTCCTCCCACAGGACGCATTAGCCAAGGCATTCGCTTGCCTGCCAGCATCTCGCTTGCCTGCCAGCATCTCGCTTCCCCGATCCTCCTGCCGCTTTTGAGTCGACTCAAATCCTCCCTCCCTCCCCTCTCCCTCCCTTCCTCCCACAGGACGCATTAGCCAAGGCATTCGCTTGCCTGCCAGCATCTCGCTTCCCCGATCCTCCTGCCGCTTTTGAGTCGACTCAAATCCTCCCTCCCTCCCCTCTCCCTCCCTTCCTCCCACAGGACGCATTAGCCAAGGCATTCGCTTGCCTGCCAGCATCTCGCTTCCCCGATCCTCCTGCCGCTTTTGAGTCGACTCAAATCCTCCCTCCCTCCCCTCTCCCTCCCTTCCTCCCACAGGACGCATTAGCCAAGGCATTCGCTTGCCTGCCAGCATCTCGCTTCCCCGATCCTCCTGCCGCTTTTGAGTCGACTCAAATCCTCCCTCCCTCCCCTCTCCCTCCCTTCGTCCCACAGGACGCATTAGCCAAGGCATTCGCTTGCCTGCCAGCATCTCGCTTCCCCGATCCTCCTGCCGCTTTTGAGTCGACTCAAATCCTCCCTCCCTCCCCTCTCCCTCCCTTCCTCCCACAGGACGCATTAGCCAAGGCATTCGCATGCCTGCCAGCATCTCGCTTCCCCGATCCTCCTGCCGCTTTTGAGTCGACTCAAATCCTCCCTCCCTCCCCTCTCCCTCCCTTCCTCCCACAGGACGCATTAGCCAAGGCATTCGCTTGCCTGCCAGCATCTCGCTTCCCCGATCCTCCTGCCGCTTTTGAGTCGACTCAAATCCTCCCTCCCTCCCCTCTCCCTCCCTTCCTCCCACAGGACGCATTAGCCAAGGCATTCGCTTGCCTGCCAGCATCTCGCTTCCCCGATCCTCCTGCCGCTTTTGAGTCGACTCAAATCCTCCCTCCCTCCCCTCTCCCTCCCTTCCTCCCACAGGACGCATTAGCCAAGGCATTCGCATGCCTGCCAGCATCTCGCTTCCCCGATCCTCCTGCCGCTTTTGAGTCGACTCAAATCCTCCCTCCCTCCCCTCTCCCTCCCTTCCTCCCACAGGACGCATTAGCCAAGGCATTCGCTTGCCTGCCAGCATCTCGCTTCCCCGATCCTCCTGCCGCTTTTGAGTCGACTCAAATCCTCCCTCCCTCCCCTCTCCCTCCCTTCCTCCCACAGGACGCATTAGCCAAGGCATTCGCTTGCCTGCCAGCATCTCGCTTCCCCGATCCTCCTGCCGCTTTTGAGTCGACTCAAATCCTCCCTCCCTCCCCTCTCCCTCCCTTCCTCCCACAGGACGCGGTAGCCAAGGCATTCGCTTGCCTGCCAGCATCTCGCTTCCCCGATCCTCCTGCCGCTTTTGAGTCGACTCAAATCCTCCCTCCCTCCCCTCTCCCTCCCTTCCTCCCACAGGACGCATTAGCCAAGGCATTCGCTTGCCTGCCAGCATCTCGCTTCCCCGATCCTCCTGCCGCTTTTGAGTCGACTCAAATCCTCCCTCCCTCCCCTCTCCCTCCCTTCCTCCCACAGGACGCATTAGCCAAGGCATTCGCTTGCCTGCCAGCATCTCGCTTCCCCGATCCTCCTGCCGCTTTTGAGTCGACTCAAAATCCTCCCTCCCTCCCCTCTCCCTCCCTTCCTCCCACAGGACGCGGTAGCCAAGGCATTCGCTTGCCTGCCAGCATCTCGCTTCCCCGATCCTCCTGCCGCTTTTGAGTCGACTCAAATCCTCCCTCCCTCCCCTCTCCCTCCCTTCCTCCCACAGGACGCATTAGCCAAGGCATTCGCTTGCCTGCCAGCATCTCGCTTCCCCGATCCTCCTGCCGCTTTTGAGTCGACTCAAATCCTCCCTCCCTCCCCTCTCCCTCCCTTCCTCCCACAGGACGCATTAGCCAAGGCATTCGCATGCCTGCCAGCATCTCGCTTCCCCGATCCTCCTGCCGCTTTTGAGTCGACTCAAATCCTCCCTCCCTCCCCTCTCCCTCCCTTCCTCCCACAGGACGCATTAGCCAAGGCATTCGCTTGCCTGCCAGCATCTCGCTTCCCCGATCCTCCTGCCGCTTTTGAGTCGACTCAAATCCTCCCTCCCTCCCCTCTCCCTCCCTTCCTCCCACAGGACGCGGTAGCCAAGGCATTCGCTTGCCTGCCAGCATCTCGCTTCCCCGATCCTCCTGCCGCTTTTGAGTCGACTCAAATCCTCCCTCCCTCCCCTCTCCCTCCCTTCCTCCCACAGGACGCGGTAGCCAAGGCATTCGCTTGCCTGCCAGCATCTCGCTTCCCCGATCCTCCTGCCGCTTTTGAGTCGACTCAAATCCTCCCTCCCTCCCCTCTCCCTCCCTTCCTCCCACAGGACGCATTAGCCAAGGCATTCGCTTGCCTGCCAGCATCTCGCTTCCCCGATCCTCCTGCCGCTTTTGAGTCGACTCAAATCCTCCCTCCCTCCCCTCTCCCTCCCTTCCTCCCACAGGACGCATTAGCCAAGGCATTCGCTTGCCTGCCAGCATCTCGCTTCCCCGATCCTCCTGCCGCTTTTGAGTCGACTCAAATCCTCCCTCCCTCCCCTCTCCCTCCCTTCCTCCCACAGGACGCATTAGCCAAGGCATTCGCTTGCCTGCCAGCATCTCGCTTCCCCGATCCTCCTGCCGCTTTTGAGTCGACTCAAATCCTCCCTCCCTCCCCTCTCCCTCCCTTCCTCCCACAGGACGCATTAGCCAAGGCATTCGCTTGCCTGCCAGCATCTCGCTTCCCCGATCCTCCTGCCGCTTTTGAGTCGACTCAAATCCTCCCTCCCTCCCCTCTCCCTCCCTTCCTCCCACAGGACGCATTAGCCAAGGCATTCGCATGCCTGCCAGCATCTCGCTTCCCCGATCCTCCTGCCGCTTTTGAGTCGACTCAAATCCTCCCTCCCTCCCCTCTCCCTCCCTTCCTCCCACAGGACGCATTAGCCAAGGCATTCGCTTGCCTGCCAGCATCTCGCTTCCCCGATCCTCCTGCCGCTTTTGAGTCGACTCAAATCCTCCCTCCCTCCCCTCTCCCTCCCTTCCTCCCACAGGACGCATTAGCCAAGGCATTCGCATGCCTGCCAGCATCTCGCTTCCCCGATCCTCCTGCCGCTTTTGAGTCGACTCAAATCCTCCCTCCCTCCCCTCTCCCTCCCTTCCTCCCACAGGACGCATTAGCCAAGGCATTCGCTTGCCTGCCAGCATCTCGCTTCCCCGATCCTCCTGCCGCTTTTGAGTCGACTCAAATCCTCCCTCCCTCCCCTCTCCCTCCCTTCCTCCCACAGGACGCATTAGCCAAGGCATTCGCTTGCCTGCCAGCATCTCGCTTCCCCGATCCTCCTGCCGCTTTTGAGTCGACTCAAATCCTCCCTCCCTCCCCTCTCCCTCCCTTCCTCCCACAGGACGCATTAGCCAAGGCATTCGCTTGCCTGCCAGCATCTCGCTTCCCCGATCCTCCTGCCGCTTTTGAGTCGACTCAAATCCTCCCTCCCTCCCCTCTCCCTCCCTTCCTCCCACAGGACGCATTAGCCAAGGCATTCGCATGCCTGCCAGCATCTCGCTTCCCCGATCCTCCTGCCGCTTTTGAGTCGACTCAAATCCTCCCTCCCTCCCCTCTCCCTCCCTTCCTCCCACAGGACGCATTAGCCAAGGCATTCGCTTGCCTGCCAGCATCTCGCTTCCCCGATCCTCCTGCCGCTTTTGAGTCGACTCAAATCCTCCCTCCCTCCCCTCTCCCTCCCTTCCTCCCACAGGACGCATTAGCCAAGGCATTCGCTTGCCTGCCAGCATCTCGCTTCCCCGATCCTCCTGCCGCTTTTGAGTCGACTCAAATCCTCCCTCCCTCCCCTCTCCCTCCCTTCCTCCCACAGGACGCATTAGCCAAGGCATTCGCTTGCCTGCCAGCATCTCGCTTCCCCGATCCTCCTGCCGCTTTTGAGTCGACTCAAATCCTCCCTCCCTCCCCTCTCCCTCCCTTCCTCCCACAGGACGCATTAGCCAAGGCATTCGCTTGCCTGCCAGCATCTCGCTTCCCCGATCCTCCTGCCGCTTTTGAGTCGACTCAAAACCTCCCTCCCTCCCCTCTCCCTCCCTTCCTCCCACAGGACGCGGTAGCCAAGGCATTCGCTTGCCTGCCAGCATCTCGCTTCCCCGATCCTCCTGCCGCTTTTGAGTCGACTCAAATCCTCCCTCCCTCCCCTCTCCCTCCCTTCCTCCCACAGGACGCATTAGCCAAGGCATTCGCTTGCCTGCCAGCATCTCGCTTCCCCGATCCTCCTGCCGCTTTTGAGTCGACTCAAATCCTCCCTCCCTCCCCTCTCCCTCCCTTCCTCCCACAGGACGCGGTAGCCAAGGCATTCGCTTGCCTGCCAGCATCTCGCTTCCCCGATCCTCCTGCCGCTTTTGAGTCGACTCAAATCCTCCCTCCCTCCCCTCTCCCTCCCTTCCTCCCACAGGACGCATTAGCCAAGGCATTCGCTTGCCTGCCAGCATCTCGCTTCCCCGATCCTCCTGCCGCTTTTGAGTCGACTCAAATCCTCCCTCCCTCCCCTCTCCCTCCCTTCCTCCCACAGGACGCATTAGCCAAGGCATTCGCTTGCCTGCCAGCATCTCGCTTCCCCGATCCTCCTGCCGCTTTTGAGTCGACTCAAATCCTCCCTCCCTCCCCTCTCCCTCCCTTCCTCCCACAGGACGCATTAGCCAAGGCATTCGCTTGCCTGCCAGCATCTCGCTTCCCCGATCCTCCTGCCGCTTTTGAGTCGACTCAAATCCTCCCTCCCTCCCCTCTCCCTCCCTTCCTCCCACAGGACGCATTAGCCAAGGCATTCGCTTGCCTGCCAGCATCTCGCTTCCCCGATCCTCCTGCCGCTTTTGAGTCGACTCAAATCCTCCCTCCCTCCCCTCTCCCTCCCTTCCTCCCACAGGACGCATTAGCCAAGGCATTCGCATGCCTGCCAGCATCTCGCTTCCCCGATCCTCCTGCCGCTTTTGAGTCGACTCAAATCCTCCCTCCCTCCCCTCTCCCTCCCTTCCTCCCACAGGACGCATTAGCCAAGGCATTCGCTTGCCTGCCAGCATCTCGCTTCCCCGATCCTCCTGCCGCTTTTGAGTCGACTCAAATCCTCCCTCCCTCCCCTCTCCCTCCCTTCCTCCCACAGGACGCATTAGCCAAGGCATTCGCTTGCCTGCCAGCATCTCGCTTCCCCGATCCTCCTGCCGCTTTTGAGTCGACTCAAATCCTCCCTCCCTCCCCTCTCCCTCCCTTCCTCCCACAGGACGCGGTAGCCAAGGCATTCGCTTGCCTGCCAGCATCTCGCTTCCCCGATCCTCCTGCCGCTTTTGAGTCGACTCAAATCCTCCCTCCCTCCCCTCTCCCTCCCTTCCTCCCACAGGACGCATTAGCCAAGGCATTCGCTTGCCTGCCAGCATCTCGCTTCCCCGATCCTCCTGCCGCTTTTGAGTCGACTCAAATCCTCCCTCCCTCCCCTCTCCCTCCCTTCCTCCCACAGGACGCATTAGCCAAGGCATTCGCTTGCCTGCCAGCATCTCGCTTCCCCGATCCTCCTGCCGCTTTTGAGTCGACTCAAAACCTCACTCCCTCCCCTCTCCCTCCCTTCCTCCCACAGGACGCGGTAGCCAAGGCATTCGCTTGCCTGCCAGCATCTCGCTTCCCCGATCTTCCTGCCGCTTTTGAGTCGACTCAAATCCTCCCTCCCTCCCCTCTCCCTCCCTTCCTCCCACAGGACGCATTAGCCAAGGCATTCGCTTGCCTGCCAGCATCTCGCTTCCCCGATCCTCCTGCCGCTTTTGAGTCGACTCAAATCCTCCCTCCCTCCCCTCTCCCTCCCTTCCTCCCACAGGACGCATTAGCCAAGGCATTCGCTTGCCTGCCAGCATCTCGCTTCCCCGATCCTCCTGCCGCTTTTGAGTCGACTCAAATCCTCCCTCCCTCCCCTCTCCCTCCCTTCCTCCCACAGGACGCATTAGCCAAGGCATTCGCATGCCTGCCAGCATCTCGCTTCCCCGATCCTCCTGCCGCTTTTGAGTCGACTCAAATCCTCCCTCCCTCCCCTCTCCCTCCCTTCCTCCCACAGGACGCATTAGCCAAGGCATTCGCTTGCCTGCCAGCATCTCGCTTCCCCGATCCTCCTGCCGCTTTTGAGTCGACTCAAATCCTCCCTCCCTCCCCTCTCCCTCCCTTCCTCCCACAGGACGCATTAGCCAAGGCATTCGCTTGCCTGCCAGCATCTCGCTTCCCCGATCCTCCTGCCGCTTTTGAGTCGACTCAAATCCTCCCTCCCTCCCCTCTCCCTCCCTTCCTCCCACAGGACGCATTAGCCAAGGCATTCGCTTGCCTGCCAGCATCTCGCTTCCCCGATCCTCCTGCCGCTTTTGAGTCGACTCAAATCCTCCCTCCCTCCCCTCTCCCTCCCTTCCTCCCACAGGACGCATTAGCCAAGGCATTCGCTTGCCTGCCAGCATCTCGCTTCCCCGATCCTCCTGCCGCTTTTGAGTCGACTCAAATCCTCCCTCCCTCCCCTCTCCCTCCCTTCCTCCCACAGGACGCATTAGCCAAGGCATTCGCTTGCCTGCCAGCATCTCGCTTCCCCGATCCTCCTGCCGCTTTTGAGTCGACTCAAATCCTCCCTCCCTCCCCTCTCCCTCCCTTCCTCCCACAGGACGCATTAGCCAAGGCATTCGCTTGCCTGCCAGCATCTCGCTTCCCCGATCCTCCTGCCGCTTTTGAGTCGACTCAAATCCTCCCTCCCTCCCCTCTCCCTCCCTTCCTCCCACAGGACGCATTAGCCAAGGCATTCGCTTGCCTGCCAGCATCTCGCTTCCCCGATCCTCCTGCCGCTTTTGAGTCGACTCAAAACCTCCCTCCCTCCCCTCTCCCTCCCTTCCTCCCACAGGACGCGGTAGCCAAGGCATTCGCTTGCCTGCCAGCATCTCGCTTCCCCGATCCTCCTGCCGCTTTTGAGTCGACTCAAATCCTCCCTCCCTCCCCTCTCCCTCCCTTCCTCCCACAGGACGCATTAGCCAAGGCATTCGCTTGCCTGCCAGCATCTCGCTTCCCCGATCCTCCTGCCGCTTTTGAGTCGACTCAAATCCTCCCTCCCTCCCCTCTCCCTCCCTTCCTCCCACAGGACGCGGTAGCCAAGGCATTCGCTTGCCTGCCAGCATCTCGCTTCCCCGATCCTCCTGCCGCTTTTGAGTCGACTCAAATCCTCCCTCCCTCCCCTCTCCCTCCCTTCCTCCCACAGGACGCATTAGCCAAGGCATTCGCTTGCCTGCCAGCATCTCGCTTCCCCGATCCTCCTGCCGCTTTTGAGTCGACTCAAATCCTCCCTCCCTCCCCTCTCCCTCCCTTCCTCCCACAGGACGCATTAGCCAAGGCATTCGCTTGCCTGCCAGCATCTCGCTTCCCCGATCCTCCTGCCGCTTTTGAGTCGACTCAAATCCTCCCTCCCTCCCCTCTCCCTCCCTTCCTCCCACAGGACGCATTAGCCAAGGCATTCGCTTGCCTGCCAGCATCTCGCTTCCCCGATCCTCCTGCCGCTTTTGAGTCGACTCAAATCCTCCCTCCCTCCCCTCTCCCTCCCTTCCTCCCACAGGACGCATTAGCCAAGGCATTCGCTTGCCTGCCAGCATCTCGCTTCCCCGATCCTCCTGCCGCTTTTGAGTCGACTCAAATCCTCCCTCCCTCCCCTCTCCCTCCCTTCCTCCCACAGGACGCATTAGCCAAGGCATTCGCATGCCTGCCAGCATCTCGCTTCCCCGATCCTCCTGCCGCTTTTGAGTCGACTCAAATCCTCCCTCCCTCCCCTCTCCCTCCCTTCCTCCCACAGGACGCATTAGCCAAGGCATTCGCTTGCCTGCCAGCATCTCGCTTCCCCGATCCTCCTGCCGCTTTTGAGTCGACTCAAATCCTCCCTCCCTCCCCTCTCCCTCCCTTCCTCCCACAGGACGCATTAGCCAAGGCATTCGCTTGCCTGCCAGCATCTCGCTTCCCCGATCCTCCTGCCGCTTTTGAGTCGACTCAAATCCTCCCTCCCTCCCCTCTCCCTCCCTTCCTCCCACAGGACGCGGTAGCCAAGGCATTCGCTTGCCTGCCAGCATCTCGCTTCCCCGATCCTCCTGCCGCTTTTGAGTCGACTCAAATCCTCCCTCCCTCCCCTCTCCCTCCCTTCCTCCCACAGGACGCATTAGCCAAGGCATTCGCTTGCCTGCCAGCATCTCGCTTCCCCGATCCTCCTGCCGCTTTTGAGTCGACTCAAATCCTCCCTCCCTCCCCTCTCCCTCCCTTCCTCCCACAGGACGCATTAGCCAAGGCATTCGCTTGCCTGCCAGCATCTCGCTTCCCCGATCCTCCTGCCGCTTTTGAGTCGACTCAAAACCTCACTCCCTCCCCTCTCCCTCCCTTCCTCCCACAGGACGCGGTAGCCAAGGCATTCGCTTGCCTGCCAGCATCTCGCTTCCCCGATCTTCCTGCCGCTTTTGAGTCGACTCAAATCCTCCCTCCCTCCCCTCTCCCTCCCTTCCTCCCACAGGACGCATTAGCCAAGGCATTCGCTTGCCTGCCAGCATCTCGCTTCCCCGATCCTCCTGCCGCTTTTGAGTCGACTCAAATCCTCCCTCCCTCCCCTCTCCCTCCCTTCCTCCCACAGGACGCATTAGCCAAGGCATTCGCTTGCCTGCCAGCATCTCGCTTCCCCGATCCTCCTGCCGCTTTTGAGTCGACTCAAATCCTCCCTCCCTCCCCTCTCCCTCCCTTCCTCCCACAGGACGCATTAGCCAAGGCATTCGCATGCCTGCCAGCATCTCGCTTCCCCGATCCTCCTGCCGCTTTTGAGTCGACTCAAATCCTCCCTCCCTCCCCTCTCCCTCCCTTCCTCCCACAGGACGCATTAGCCAAGGCATTCGCTTGCCTGCCAGCATCTCGCTTCCCCGATCCTCCTGCCGCTTTTGAGTCGACTCAAATCCTCCCTCCCTCCCCTCTCCCTCCCTTCCTCCCACAGGACGCATTAGCCAAGGCATTCGCTTGCCTGCCAGCATCTCGCTTCCCCGATCCTCCTGCCGCTTTTGAGTCGACTCAAATCCTCCCTCCCTCCCCTCTCCCTCCCTTCCTCCCACAGGACGCATTAGCCAAGGCATTCGCATGCCTGCCAGCATCTCGCTTCCCCGATCCTCCTGCCGCTTTTGAGTCGACTCAAATCCTCCCTCCCTCCCCTCTCCCTCCCTTCCTCCCACAGGACGCATTAGCCAAGGCATTCGCTTGCCTGCCAGCATCTCGCTTCCCCGATCCTCCTGCCGCTTTTGAGTCGACTCAAATCCTCCCTCCCTCCCCTCTCCCTCCCTTCCTCCCACAGGACGCACTAGCCAAGGCATTCGCATGCCTGCCAGCATCTCGCTTCCCCGATCCTCCTGCCGCTTTTGAGTCGACTCAAATCCTCCCTCCCTCCCCTCTCCCTCCCTTCCTCCCACAGGACGCTTTAGCCAAGGCATTCGCTTGCCTGCCAGCATCTCGCTTCCCCGATCCTCCTGCCGCTTTTGAGTCGACTCAAATCCTCCCTCCCTCCCCTCTCCCTCCCTTCCTCCCACAGGACGCATTAGCCAAGGCATTCGCTTGCCTGCCAGCATCTCGCTTCCCCGATCCTCCTGCCGCTTTTGAGTCGACTCAAATCCTCCCTCCCTCCCCTCTCCCTCCCTTCCTCCCACAGGACGCATTAGCCAAGGCATTCGCATGCCTGCCAGCATCTCGCTTCCCCGATCCTCCTGCCGCTTTTGAGTCGACTCAAATCCTCCCTCCCTCCCCTCTCCCTCCCTTCCTCCCACAGGACGCATTAGCCAAGGCATTCGCTTGCCTGCCAGCATCTCGCTTCCCCGATCCTCCTGCCGCTTTTGAGTCGACTCAAATCCTCCCTCCCTCCCCTCTCCCTCCCTTCCTCCCACAGGACGCGGTAGCCAAGGCATTCGCTTGCCTGCCAGCATCTCGCTTCCCCGATCCTCCTGCCGCTTTTGAGTCGACTCAAATCCTCCCTCCCTCCCCTCTCCCTCCCTTCCTCCCACAGGACGCGGTAGCCAAGGCATTCGCTTGCCTGCCAGCATCTCGCTTCCCCGATCCTCCTGCCGCTTTTGAGTCGACTCAAATCCTCCCTCCCTCCCCTCTCCCTCCCTTCCTCCCACAGGACGCATTAGCCAAGGCATTCGCTTGCCTGCCAGCATCTCGCTTCCCCGATCCTCCTGCCGCTTTTGAGTCGACTCAAATCCTCCCTCCCTCCCCTCTCCCTCCCTTCCTCCCACAGGACGCATTAGCCAAGGCATTCGCTTGCCTGCCAGCATCTCGCTTCCCCGATCCTCCTGCCGCTTTTGAGTCGACTCAAATCCTCCCTCCCTCCCCTCTCCCTCCCTTCCTCCCACAGGACGCATTAGCCAAGGCATTCGCTTGCCTGCCAGCATCTCGCTTCCCCGATCCTCCTGCCGCTTTTGAGTCGACTCAAAACCTCACTCCCTCCCCTCTCCCTCCCTTCCTCCCACAGGACGCGGTAGCCAAGGCATTCGCTTGCCTGCCAGCATCTCGCTTCCCCGATCCTCCTGCCGCTTTTGAGTCGACTCAAATCCTCCCTCCCTCCCCTCTCCCTCCCTTCCTCCCACAGGACGCATTAGCCAAGGCATTCGCTTGCCTGCCAGCATCTCGCTTCCCCGATCCTCCTGCCGCTTTTGAGTCGACTCAAATCCTCCCTCCCTCCCCTCTCCCTCCCTTCCTCCCACAGGACGCATTAGCCAAGGCATTCGCTTGCCTGCCAGCATCTCGCTTCCCCGATCCTCCTGCCGCTTTTGAGTCGACTCAAATCCTCCCTCCCTCCCCTCTCCCTCCCTTCCTCCCACAGGACGCATTAGCCAAGGCATTCGCATGCCTGCCAGCATCTCGCTTCCCCGATCCTCCTGCCGCTTTTGAGTCGACTCAAATCCTCCCTCCCTCCCCTCTCCCTCCCTTCCTCCCACAGGACGCATTAGCCAAGGCATTCGCTTGCCTGCCAGCATCTCGCTTCCCCGATCCTCCTGCCGCTTTTGAGTCGACTCAAATCCTCCCTCCCTCCCCTCTCCCTCCCTTCCTCCCACAGGACGCATTAGCCAAGGCATTCGCTTGCCTGCCAGCATCTCGCTTCCCCGATCCTCCTGCCGCTTTTGAGTCGACTCAAATCCTCCCTCCCTCCCCTCTCCCTCCCTTCCTCCCACAGGACGCATTAGCCAAGGCATTCGCATGCCTGCCAGCATCTCGCTTCCCCGATCCTCCTGCCGCTTTTGAGTCGACTCAAATCCTCCCTCCCTCCCCTCTCCCTCCCTTCCTCCCACAGGACGCATTAGCCAAGGCATTCGCTTGCCTGCCAGCATCTCGCTTCCCCGATCCTCCTGCCGCTTTTGAGTCGACTCAAATCCTCCCTCCCTCCCCTCTCCCTCCCTTCCTCCCACAGGACGCATTAGCCAAGGCATTCGCTTGCCTGCCAGCATCTCGCTTCCCCGATCCTCCTGCCGCTTTTGAGTCGACTCAAATCCTCCCTCCCTCCCCTCTCCCTCCCTTCCTCCCACAGGACGCGGTAGCCAAGGCATTCGCTTGCCTGCCAGCATCTCGCTTCCCCGATCCTCCTGCCGCTTTTGAGTCGACTCAAATCCTCCCTCCCTCCCCTCTCCCTCCCTTCCTCCCACAGGACGCATTAGCCAAGGCATTCGCTTGCCTGCCAGCATCTCGCTTCCCCGATCCTCCTGCCGCTTTTGAGTCGACTCAAATCCTCCCTCCCTCCCCTCTCCCTCCCTTCCTCCCACAGGACGCATTAGCCAAGGCATTCGCTTGCCTGCCAGCATCTCGCTTCCCCGATCCTCCTGCCGCTTTTGAGTCGACTCAAATCCTCCCTCCCTCCCCTCTCCCTCCCTTCCTCCCACAGGACGCATTAGCCAAGGCATTCGCTTGCCTGCCAGCATCTCGCTTCCCCGATCCTCCTGCCGCTTTTGAGTCGACTCAAATCCTCCCTCCCTCCCCTCTCCCTCCCTTCCTCCCACAGGACGCATTAGCCAAGGCATTCGCTTGCCTGCCAGCATCTCGCTTCCCCGATCCTCCTGCCGCTTTTGAGTCGACTCAAATCCTCCCTCCCTCCCCTCTCCCTCCCTTCCTCCCACAGGACGCATTAGCCAAGGCATTCGCTTGCCTGCCAGCATCTCGCTTCCCCGATCCTCCTGCCGCTTTTGAGTCGACTCAAATCCTCCCTCCCTCCCCTCTCCCTCCCTTCCTCCCACAGGACGCATTAGCCAAGGCATTCGCTTGCCTGCCAGCATCTCGCTTCCCCGATCCTCCTGCCGCTTTTGAGTCGACTCAAATCCTCCCTCCCTCCCCTCTCCCTCCCTTCCTCCCACAGGACGCATTAGCCAAGGCATTCGCTTGCCTGCCAGCATCTCGCTTCCCCGATCCTCCTGCCGCTTTTGAGTCGACTCAAATCCTCCCTCCCTCCCCTCTCCCTCCCTTCCTCCCACAGGACGCATTAGCCAAGGCATTCGCTTGCCTGCCAGCATCTCGCTTCCCCGATCCTCCTGCCGCTTTTGAGTCGACTCAAATCCTCCCTCCCTCCCCTCTCCCTCCCTTCCTCCCACAGGACGCATTAGCCAAGGCATTCGCTTGCCTGCCAGCATCTCGCTTCCCCGATCCTCCTGCCGCTTTTGAGTCGACTCAAATCCTCCCTCCCTCCCCTCTCCCTCCCTTCCTCCCACAGGACGCATTAGCCAAGGCATTCGCTTGCCTGCCAGCATCTCGCTTCCCCGATCCTCCTGCCGCTTTTGAGTCGACTCAAATCCTCCCTCCCTCCCCTCTCCCTCCCTTCCTCCCACAGGACGCATTAGCCAAGGCATTCGCTTGCCTGCCAGCATCTCGCTTCCCCGATCCTCCTGCCGCTTTTGAGTCGACACAAATCCTCCCTCCCTCCCCTCTCCCTCCCTTCCTCCCACAGGACGCATTAGCCAAGGCATTCGCTTGCCTGCCAGCATCTCGCTTCCCCGATCCTCCTGCCGCTTTTGAGTCGACTCAAATCCTCCCTCCCTCCCCTCTCCCTCCCTTCCTCCCACAGGACTCATTAGCCAAGGCATTCGCTTGCCTGCCAGCATCTCGCTTCCCCGATCCTCCTGCCGCTTTTGAGTCGACTCAAATCCTCCCTCCCTCCCCTCTCCCTCCCTTCCTCCCACAGGACTCATTAGCCAAGGCATTCGCTTGCCTGCCAGCATCTCGCTTCCCCGATCCTCCTGCCACTTTTGAGTCGACTCAAATCCTCCCTCTCTCCCCTCTCCCTCCCTTCCTCCCACAGGACGCATTAGCCAAGGCATTCGCTTGCCTGCCAGCATCTCGCTTCCCCGATCCTCCTGCCGCTTTTGAGTCGACTCAAAACCTCACTCCCTCCCCTCTCCCTCCCTTCCTCCCACAGGACGCATTAGCCAAGGCATTCGCTTGCCTGCCAGCATCTCGCTTCCCCGATCCTCCTGCCGCTTTTGAGTCGACTCAAAACCTCACTCCCTCCCCTCTCCCTCCCTTCCTCCCACAGGACGCATTAGCCAAGGCATTCGCTTGCCTGCCAGCATCTCGCTTCCCTGATCCTCCTGCCGCCATCCATCAAGCTGTGAAGGCAGCCATCCAATCACATCTTGACACGTGGCACATGGAGAGGACGGGGAAGGCATGTGGGGCAGGCGACCTGGTGCATCTGATGCACGTGGACATCAAGTGAGTTGATCAGTGCTGAGTCAGCATCATTGTGTCAGCGCATTTGAGTAAACGTCACTGTACACACCCCTCCCATTCCTCTAACCCCTTCCCTGCCAACCCACCCACTACGCGCACGCACACATTTGCACACACACACACACACACACACACACACACACACACATACACACACGCACACACACACACACGTGTGCCCACACACAAACACACTCAAACGCTCTCCTCCTCAAAAGCCCATCGACACAACAGACCCACATAAGTTCCCTTCTTCCTCGTCCCCCCACCTCCCTGCATTCCGCTCTCCCCTGGCCCTCCTCTCCCCGCCCGTCACATCCCCTCAGGTCCCGCTGTCTGCTCCCAACCTGCCGTGACCCCACCAATTCTTCCTCCCAGGGCTCCTGTCCCTGTGTGCACGTGGTGCTCGCACGACCTGCCTTCCCTGAGAGGCCTCCTCTCTCCCCTGCCCCACTTCACCCTGCCCGTGCCATTCCACCAGGTCCCGCTGTCTGCTCCCATCCAGCCGTGACCCCACCGATTCGGCCTGTCAGGGAGCCTGTGTGCACGTGGTACTTGCACGACCTGCCCTGAGAGGGCTGGCTCGCAGGGGCGTAGGGCGGGAGGGGAGGGGTGCTGGGCGAGGGGAGGAGGCAGCGGAGGAGGGAGGAGAGGAGGAGGAAAGATGGGGGGCGCTGTTTGATTTGGAGGCGTTGAGAGAGGTGATTGTGCCGAGTGTGCTCAGCACAATGGTTGCAGGTGAGCTGTGTGGCTACGTGTGAGACGACTTTTGAGTTAGACTTAAGATGGGGGAGGGAGGATGGGAACTGCTGTTTGATTTGGAGGCATTGAGGGGTGTGGTTGTGCCGAGTGTGCTCAACACAAAGGTTGCGATGAGTTGTTTTCTTGACAACACTCGAAACAGCCTTTGTGTTTTGAGTGAGCCTATCCAGCTCATCAGCTTGGTTGCCAACTGTGCGTTTTGTTTCTCTCGCCTGTGTCGGTATGTGCATGTGTTTGCAACTCTGGCTGGGCGCGTGTGGCATGTGATTGTCACGTGGGACTGAAACAAGCAGGCAGCACGGGCATCCAAGCAGCCCGCATACAATGGCAGGATGGGGATGAAAGCAACAGCAGCAACAGTAGTGATGGACATCTCGCCCTCTCCGTTTCTCTCTCCTCCTCGCGTGCTGTGTGGCCGGGCATCGCTGCTGCCTGTGCGGCTGCTGACTGCAGTGACGGCATCGACTGGACCAAGAGCCGCCCAGAGGGATTGCAGCAAATCGCGGATTCCCTTGGCATCGAAGCTGCTCGCTCCGTGCTGTTTCACGTGAGTAGCCACCTTTTTATTAGGCGCCTCAAGAGCCAGAGGGATTGCAGTAGGTGGCGGAGTTCCTTGGCATCGAAGCAGCTCGCTCCGAGCTGTTTCACGTGAGTAACCACCCCTCTCTCCGCCCCTCTTCAACCACTTTTCTCTCTCCCTAAAGAGGTTAATCCTGATGTAACACCGAGCACCACGTTGAGGTGAGGGTCCATCGCTCGGGGCTTGGGAAAGGGATTTGATATCGTCTCATTGGCAAAGGCAAAGAGGAAGCGCTTCAAGTCTGAAGTTGTCGCCTCAAAACTCAAAAGAGAAGATTGTTATTGCCTCATCCCTTTTGAACTTTTAGGCGGCGGCACCGGACATGAATCGACTTTTGTCTGTCCTCTATCTTTGAGGCGATGTCAGTCTTGCGTGCTTCCCCCCAATATGCCCTAGACGATGGACCCACATCTCATCGTGGTGCTCGAATGCTTTGCTACGTTACGTACTCTGATGCTCAATTACGCAAGCCTGACTCGTCGCACATCCCACCGTTTTTTTGAGTGATCGTCTGTTCACTTCCTTCATCAGAAACATTAATTTGCTTCCTCTGGTTTCATCTTTCCACACCTGCTTCCTCTTTCCAATCAACCCCACACAAACCCCTTCCCTCCCATCAGCGTCTGTGTGAGCTGATGAGGGAAGCCGGGGCAAAGGTGTCTCTGCGTCATCTTGCGCTGGTGGTGGACTGGATGACCGTCACAGGCGCCCTCCAGGGCGTGTCCTTTGCTGCCCTCGCCTCCCACCCCGCCTACTCGCCCTTCCTCCGCGCATGTGTCAAGGTGAGTCGGTGTGTCCAGGTGAGAAAGTGTGTGAGGGTGAATCGCCCTTTTCCAGACCTTATGTCAAGGTGAGTGGGTGGGCCTGCCTCAGATCAGAGTGGGTGCGCTGATGGGGAAAGCAGGGGCAAAGGTGCCTCTGCGACATCTCACGCTGGTGGTGGACTGGATGACCGTCACAGGCGCCCTCCAGGGGGTGTCATTCGCTGCCCTCGCCTCCCACCCCGCCTCCTCGCCCTTCCTCCGGGCCTGTGTAAAAGTGAGTCAACGTGTCAAGGTGAGTCAGTGCGTGAGGGTGGATTGCTCTTCCTCAGAGCGCGTGTGTAAGGGGTGGGCCTGCCTCAAGGTGGGTGCATTAATGAGGGAAGCAGGGGCGAAGGTGCCTCTGCGTCATCTCACGCTGGTGGTGGACTGGATGACCGTCACAGGGGCCCTCCAGGGCGTGTCCTTTGCTGCACTCGCTTCCCACCCCGCCTCCTCGCCCTTCCTCCGGGCGTGCGTCAAGGTGAGTTGTTCATTAAGTTTACAAGGAAAAAAAAAAAAGAAAAAAAAAAAACGAGGAACAACAACTAAATAAACCTGCCCTGCCTCAGGGTGTGTGTGAAAGTGAGTCACCCTTACTCACCCCCCTCTCCTCTTCCCTCTCCCCTCTCTTTTCACCCCTGATATTTCGTGCTTACGTCAGGACCCGGTCGGCACATTCATGTACGCAGCCATCCAGTGCATGTCTAACAGCATATCCATTTGGTGCCCTGTCAGACGCGCACTGGATGGTATGTTATCAGACGTAGACTGGATGGCTGCATACGTGAATGTGACGATTGGGTCCTGACGCAAACACAAAAGATCAGGGGTGAAAAGAGATGGAAGAGGAAATAGGCAGTAGGCATCTAAACAATTCTCTCTCCTCAATTCCACTCTTCCCCCAATACATTCAACACCTTGTCTGCACGATACTGAACTCCTCTGTTCTTCCCCCCATCCCCATCTCCCAAATCAGGACCCCGTGCGCACATTCACGTCAGCAGCCATCCAGCACGCGTCTGACAGCCTGGCGAGCGTTGTTGCCAGCGTGGCGCCGGCAAGCCCATGCCAGCTGGCACCGCCGCCCCGTGCTTCGATCTGATTCTGCACGACCCACTTCCCCCTCCTCCTCCTGGTCCCGTTCCTGCTGCTACAGCTGCTGCTGCTGCAGCTGCGGCTAAAGCTGGTGCTGCCGATGCTGCAGCTGCTGGTGCTAGTGGTTGGGGCGGTGGGGGCGCTAGTGGTTGGGGTGCTGGTGGGGATGCTGCTGCTGTTGCTGCTGATGGGGGATGGGGGGGAGGGGATGGGGGATGGGGGGGAGGAGGTGGAGATGGTGGTGGGTGGGGAGGAAGCGGAGGTGGAGGAGAGGGGGGATGGGGCACGGGAGGGGACGGAGGGGATGGTGGTGCATGGGGGGGGAGTGGAGAGAAAGAGGGGGGAGGATGGGGCACGGGAGGAGGGGGAGGGGATGGTGGTGGGTGGGGGAAGAGCGGAGAGAAAGAGGAGGGGGGTTGGGGCACGGGGGGAGGGGAAGGGGATGGTGGTGCTTGGGGGAAGAGCGGAGAGAAAAAGGGGGGAGGATGGGGCACGGGAGGAGGGGGAGAGAAAGTGGGGGGAGGATGGGGCACGGGAGGAGGGGGAGAGAAAGAGGGGGGAGGATGGGGCATGGGAGGAGGGGGAGAGAAAGAGGGGGGAGGATGGGGCATGGGAGGAGGGGGAGAGAAAGAGGGGGGAGGATGGGGCACGGGAGGAGGGGGGGGAGATGGTGGTGGGTGGGGAGGAAGTGGAGATAAAGAGGGGTAAGGATGGGGCACGGCGGGAGGGGGAGGGGATGAGAATGGGGGAGGAGGAGGTGGGTGGGGAGGAAGGGGAGGGGAGGAGGGTAAATGGGGAGATGGAGGGACGAAAGGGGGTGAGGAGGGAGGGGGCTGGGGGGGGCCAGATGGGGAGAAAGGGGGATGGGGGGGAGAGACGGGGAAGGAGGGAGGTGCATGGGGGGGAGAGAAGGAGGCGGAGGGGGGTGATTGGGGAAGAAAGGCGGGAGCGGAGGAATCAGGGAAGGGCGGATGGGGCGAGGCGAAGGGAAGTGGGGAGGGCAAGGAAGGTGGGGGATGGGACGCAGTGGGAGGGAGTGTGCGAGATCAAGACAGTGAGAGAGGAGGGGAGGGAGGAGGGGAGCAAGGAGGAGAGGGAGGATGGGAGGAAGGAGGGCGTGAGAGGTGGCAGGGTGGGCGCGGGAGGGGAAGGGGACGGGGCCGAGGGGGCAGATGGGGGGGAGAGGGAGATGGGGAAGGTGGCAAACCCTGGGGACGGGGAGAGGGGGGTAGAAGCGGAGGAAGAAGAGGGGGAGGTTATGGGGGAGGGGGGAACAGGAGGCACGGATGGGGGCAAGGAACGGGGCAGGGAGGGGCGGAAGAAAGACAAGAGGAAGGTGGGAGGAGTGGGAGGGAGAGGAGGAAGCGGTGCACGAGGCTGCGCTGGCAGAGCTGCTGTGCATGGGTGGTGGCGGGCAGGGGAGCAGGGGGAAGGGGCGGCGCCGGTTCAGGCTGGGACGGTGGGGAACGGTGGAGCCGCTTTGGGGTGGTGGGAGAGCAAGAGGGCGGGAGGGGGGTGAGCGGGGGGCTTCATGGGGTGATGCTACTACTGCTGGTGCTGGTGATGGTGCTGGTGGTGCTGGTGCTGGTGCTGGTGCTGGTGCTGGTGCTGGTGCTGGTGCTGGTGCTGGTGGTGCCGGTACTGGTGCTAGTGCTGGTGGTGATGGTGCTGGTGGGAGGGAGGAGAAAGGCGGATGGGGTAATGGCAACGACGGTGGAGGGTGGGGAAAAAAGGAGGAGGGAAAGGGAGAGGAGGCAGCAGGGGCTGCGGCAGGAGGAGGGTGGGGAGGTGCGGGGGAAGGAGAGGGAACGTGGGGCAAGGGGGAAGAAGCTGGGGGGAAAGAGGGCGCAGGAGGAGATGGTAAAGGGGGAGAGGGCGCAGGGGCAGGGAGGGGAAATGCGGGGGGGGGAGTTGGAGGGTGGGGGAGCGATGAGGGGAAAAAGGGAGGGTGGGGGGCTGGAGGAGAAGGGGAGAGTGCAGCGGGATGGGGTAAAGCAGGAGGAGGAGGAGGAGAAGCGGGTGAGGGGGGAGTTGGAGGGTGGGGCAATGATCAGGGGAAGAAGGGAGGGTGGGGAACAGGCGGAGAAGGGGAGACAGGATGGGGGACAGCAGGAGGAGGAGGAACGGGTCAGGGTGGAGGAGGATGGGGGAATGTTGGGGGGGAGAAGAATGAAGGTGGAGGAGGATGGGGGAATGCTGGGGAGGGGAAGAATGAGGGTGAAGGAGGATGGGGGAAAACGAGTGAGGGTGGGGGAGGATGGGGCGACACAGGAACGAAGCACCAGAGCTCTCAACCCGTTGCAACCCCTCCCTCTCACCAGCTCAAGGCCAGGCGCAAGACCAACACTTCCCACACGCCCAACCACCCCTTGTACTACCGGCCCCGCCGCCACATCCACCCGCTTCTCTGCACCGACCTGCCCCTGTCCCAGTTTCTTCTGGGGTCCCTGCTGGGAGGGCTTCTGGGTGCACGGAGAGAGGGAGGCGGAGAGGCGAGTGAAGGAAATGCGTCCGGAGATGCCTTGTTTCCTCCTCCTCCTCCTCCGCCGCCGCCGCCTTTCTCCGCTCCACCCTCGCACCTTCCTCCTCCTCCTCCCCTCCCGGCTCGTGAGTCAACTAGCCTCCCTCCTCCTCCCCCACCTCCTCCTCTCCAGCCTCCTCAGGGCTCCCTCACACCAACTTCTAATACCAGCGCCTCTCCTCCTCCTCCATCCCTTCCTCTTCCCCCTCCTCCTCCACATATGGCCTCCTCCCTGGCCTCATCCCTGTCACAGCACCCGACAACCATGCTGCCGGGCCTGCACCCCTCCTCTCTGCCCGTCTTCCTTGACCGATGCGGACAGAAAGCAGAGCAGAGGGCAGAGGGGGCAGAGGGGGCAGAATTGAGGGCAGAAGACAAGGCAGAAGACGGGGCAGAAGTGAGGGCAGAAGAGGGGGCAGAGCGGACAGAAGAGGGAGCAGAATTGAGGGCAGAATTGGGGAGGGCGAGAGCAGAGGGGGCGGCGCAAGAGGTGGCAGCAGAAGGGGTGAGCCTGAGACGAGTGCTTGCAGAGCAGCTGAAGCAGTGGCGGGGGCGGAAGGAGGAGGAGCCAGGCAAGGAGGAGGGGCGTGCTGATTCTGATACCCCAGCTTCTGCTTTTTCTGCTGATGCTGATGCTGATACTCCAGCTCCTGCTGCTGCTGCTGATGCTGAAACCCCTGTTGCTCGTGTTGCTGATAGTGCCGCCACTTCTGTACCTCCTGCTGGTCTCATTACATCTGATGCTAATGCGCATGCTGATACCGGGAAGACTAATGAGACAGGTTGGGGCCTGGTCCGCTGTGCCAACACCGGAGCAGCAGCAGCTGCAGCTGCAGCAAGAAGCAAAGAGGACAACGGGCAGCACGAAGCACAGCCAGAGCAGCAACAAGAGCCGCAGCAGCAGCACCACCAGCAGCGGCAGCAGCAGCAGCAAGGCAGGAGCAGCAGAGTACGGGTGTACATGGGGAATGAGGGGGATGGGAGGTACGACACGATGGACATGCTGCAGGCAGTGAGGCGGCGGGCGTGGGAGCTGCTGCACGCGAGGTACCAACCGGGGGAGGCGCTATCTGAGGAGGATTCAGAGTTTGTAGTGAGCAAACTACTCCAGCACCACCCCAGGGCGATGGAGAAGATGGCTGCCGGCGTTGCGGCTATCAAGGTGGGTGGAAGTGTGGGTGAATGTGGGTGAGCGTGTAGGTTGGAGTGCTGCTGCACCACTGTTTCTGAGCCAGCTGCTGCGGCACCACCCCACCCAGGGCGAAATAGAAGATGGCTGCTGGAGTTGCGGGGATCAAGGTGGGTGGGAGTGTGGGTGCATGCATTCAGGCACCAGTACGAAGATCATCTCCTTCTATTTCATTCTTCTCCAACACCCCCACCATAGTCCAGAGAGCACCCCCACCATAGTCCAGAGAGCACCCCCACCATAGTCCAGAGAGCACCCCCACCATAGTCCAGAGAGCACCCCAGCACCATCGTCCAGAGAGCACCCCAGCACCATAGTCCAGAGAGCACCCCAGCACCATAGTCCAGAGAGCACCCCCACCATAGTCCAGAGAGCACCCCAGCACCATAGTCCAGAGAGCACCCCAGCACCATTCTTCCTTGTGTCTTGTCTTGGCGCCTCATAAATGCCTTCCCCTGCCCCTCCCCCGTCTTGGCGCCTCATAAATGCCTTCCCCTGCCCCTCCCCCGATCCACACAGGTGGACCATCATCCAGACCACCCCAACACCACCTGTTTCTTTATCGTCCACCCTGTTGCCGACAGCATCACCCATCCTGCTGCCGACACCATCGTCCATCCTCCTCCCCCTCCTGACTCATCCAACGAGCCAGCAGACAACTCTTCTCAGCACTCTCCCAGATGTTCCCCACAGGTCGCTCCTGCCTCCCCTTCCCGACCGTCCCCCTCCGCACTACCTACCTACCTTCCCCCTGCTTCCCCTTCCACGCTCCCTGCCTCGCCTCCTCCCGAACCTTCCCAGCCGAACCTCTCTCCCACTGCGTCCCCTCCCTCTCCCTCCCTCCCTCCACCTCCTCCTCCTCCTCCTCCTGCTCCCACTCCTCCTGTTTTCCCTTCTCCTCCTCCTGCTCCTGCCGTTCCCTCCTCTCCTGCATGCTCGGATTTCTCTTACAACAAGTGTCTTCTCGGTTTGGCTGCTTCCATGGGTATTCCTCTCTCTGACCTGGGGTGGGGTCGCATGGAGGCGCAGCAGCAGCGTAGGGTTAGAGAGAGAGCCGCCCCCACACCCCGTGACACAACTCTTGACGCACCTCGTGACGCACCTCGTGACGCACCTCGTGACGCACCATACGATGCGCCTCGTGGCGCACCTGATGGCGCACCTCGTGACACGCCTCGTGACGGACCTGGTGACACATCTCATGGTGCACCTTTTGACACCCATTGGCACACGTGTCGACGCACCGGGTGATGGACCTGGTGACACCTTGTGATGTCAGAATCTAGCAGCAGGAATGATTGAACTATGAAAGAGTTGGGTACAAGTATGAAACCCTAAAAGGGGCTGTACCCCATATTGGCTACCCCACTACAGCCTACGCATATATAGCATGCATATACTTTGACACACCCCCATAAGCAAAGTGGGGGAGAGCAAGGGGTCACAAGACCAGTCAAGAGAAGCAAAGCAAGCTCATGGTGGATCACAACGTCACCACACACACTGAGCACAAGCAAAGGGCCACAAGACCAGTTCACATGCAGGGGTATATATGAAAAGACAACAGCACAGTGATCTCTACCTAGCAGAGCAAGCATGCAGGTATATATAGGTCACAGTACAAGCAAAGTCTACAGCAAGTGCGGAAACGTGGGCACAAGGCCTAGCAGAGTGCAGAAACGCTGATGATCACCAGACGGAAGCGCCTTGGTGAATATATCAGCAGTGTTGGCCCGAGTGGCCACGTGAGCAAGACGAAGCTGACCACGCTGCTGCAACTCTCGAGCCAGGAAGTAACGCAGAGCGATGTGCTTCGTTCTGTGCTCCAGTCTGTGCTCCTGACACAAGGCAATGGCGGCCTTGTTGTCGACGTACAGCACTGGAGGAGAACGAGGCCGCTCTCCCAAGTCGGTCAGCAGGTAGGTGAGCCAGCGTAATTCCTGTGCAGCCATGGCTGTGGCGTAGATCTCAGCCTCACAACTGGAGCTGAGAACTGAAGACGAGCGTGTAGAACGCCAAGAAACCGAACCAGAGCCAAGGCTGAAGGTGTAACCCTGTGACGACCGCTGCGTAGCCTGGTCGTCAACCCAAGAAGCGTCTGAGTGGCCAGTGAGGACAACGTCGCTCCGTCCTCCAAGCACGAGCCCCATGCCCGATGTACTGCACAAGTAGCGTAGTACCCTCTTAGCAGCATCCATGTGCACCTTTCGGTGCCGACCAGGAGCCACGTAGCGAGCCAGAAGGCCAAGAGGGTACGCAAGGTCAGGACGAGTGCAGGTCATCAGGTACATGAGGCAGCCCACTAGCTCTGGGTAAGGACCACTCGGCTCTACGGATTCGTCCGAAGGTGGAGCTGAGAGCGAGTGACCTGTAGCCAGAGGAGTGGCCTGTGCCGAGGACCAGGTGAAGCCGAAGCGCTGAAGGACCTGCTGCACCATGTGTGACTGAGTCAGTGTGATGGTGCGGCGTGCTCTGTCCCGAGTGATCCGCAAGCCAAGATAGCTTGTCAGCTCACCCAGGTCTGTGCACGTGTGTCTCTTCTGCAGCTCCGACTTCACCAGGGCGAGAGCCTCAGTGTCAGTAGTGGCAAAGACCAAGTCGTCGACGTACACGAGGATGTAGAACGGCGGCAGCGAAGTGTCGGTGCGCAGAAACAGCGACGGGTCAGCAGTCGACGGAGCAAACCCAAGAGCCGCAAGTGTCGTCCTCAGTGTGTCGTGCCACTCACGTGGCGCCTGGCGGAGACCGTAGACCGGCCGCCTGAGGCTCCACTGGGTACCAGGAGGGAACGACCCAGTGAAGCCAGGTGGGCGGCGCAGCCAGATCTCCTCGTGCAGGCTGCCCTGTAAGGCGGCTGTGCTGAAGTCAAGAGAGTGAAGCTCGTAGTCACGCTGAGCGGCAACGTGCAGCAGCACCCGAAGAGTGGTCATCTTTGGGGTGGGGGAGAAGGTCTGGAAGAAGTCTACTCCCTCTCGCTGACTGAAACCTCGTGCAACGTAACGCGCCTTGAAGGCAGGCGGAGAACCTGGCGGCCGCTTCACCCTGAAAATCCACATGCCACTGACGATGTTCGCCCCAGGTGGGGGAACCTCGTCGACGTAGGTGCCTGTGGACTTCCAGGATGCCATCTCTGCGTCCATGGCTGTCTGCCACTGAGAGGAGTACTCACCCGCGATCGCCTCAGCGTAAGAGCGCGGGGTCGGGATGTCTGGAGCATCCGGGTCTCCCTCAGGGGCAAGCAGCATGGACACGAGATGAGGCGCAGCAGCTGCAAGACACTCAAGGTCCTCCTGCCTGTCCTCAAGGACGTCCGTGCCAAGAGCACACTCACCCCCTACGGACGGAGGACAGACAGACTCAGACTCAGCAACAAGACTAGCGGCGTAGTCTAGACGACAGGCAGCAGCAAAGTCAACAAGCTCAGCAACTAAGGCAGACGTAGCAGCAGACTCAAACGACGGGTCAGTGACAACAGTGGCTAGCAGACGCGTGACAGTAGGGTGCTCAGCACGAAACCGGTCAGACTCGGGGTCCGCAACGACAGGCAGAGAAGACGCAGGAGGGGACGGCAGAGGAACACGCTGCGGAGGAGAGGAAAGACGACGGACTACGAGGTGGGTGTCGGGGACAGCCGGCAGACGCGGACGAGGAACACGACGACCAGAACGACCAGAACAGACAGGCGAGACAGGACGCGACGCATGCTCACGACGCTCAGTAAGACCCCCTAGCTGCTCAGTGTAAGGAGAAGGAGCAGGCAGCGGTGAGCCAGGCTGTAACGGAAGACTAGTAGACGAAGGGAGACTAAGAACCTGGCGAAGCACAGAATCAGGCGGTGGCTGAGACGACGGAGACGGTGGAGCGAAGAACAGGCGCGGCTGTGCAGTGACACCAGCACCAGCAGCTCCAGTACCCCCAGCAGCTCCAGCACCTCCAGCAGCTCCAGAACCTCCAGCGCCAGCACCCTCAGCAGCTCCAGAACCTCCAGCTCCAGCGCCACCAGCGCCAGTACCTCCAGCAGCTCCAGAACCTCCAGCACCAGCACCCTCAGCAGCTCCAGAACCTCCAGCTCCAGCGCCACCAGCGCCAGTACCTCCAGCAGCTCCAGAACCTCCAGCACCAGCACCCTCAGCAGCTCCAGAACCTCCAGCTCCAGCGCCACCAGCGCCAGCACCTCCAGCAGCTCCAGAACCCTCAGCGCCAGCTCCTCCAGGACCAGCTCCACCAACAGCAGCACCCCCAGAACCGGCACCTCCAGTCCCAGGGTCTCCAGCCTCAGTGCCTCCAGCAGCAGCACCCTCAGGCTCAGCACCTCCAGCCCCAGCAGCTCCAGTACCTCCAGTACGAGCACCTCCGGGACCAGCACCACTCCCAGCTCCAGTGACGTCAGCAGAAGTACCTCCAGCGGCAGAGCCCCGAGCTCCAGAAGCGCGACCCTGACGGCGACCGTACCAGTCGTGCAGCTGCTGCGAGGTGAGAGGCACACGCGGACGAAGGCGGCTACTCCAAGGAAACCGCACAACAGCAGACTCAGAACCCTCAGCGCCAGAACCCGCAGCAGCTCCAGAACCTCCAGCGCCAGCACCCTCAGCAGCTCCAGAACCTCCAGCTCCAGCGCCCTCAGCAGCTCCAGAACCTCCAGCAGAAACAACTCCAGTGGCAGAGTCACCAGCTCCAGCGCCTCCCGCAGCAGGGCCCCTAGCTCCAGCAGCGCGACCCTGACGGCCAGCGTACCACTCAAGCAGCTGCTGTGGGGAGAGAGGGAGGCGACAACGAGAGTGCAGCGGCGAGGCACCAGCGGAGCGACTAGGGAGTCGGTCGCTCCAGGGAGACTGCTCACCAGACGCCTCAGCGCCCCCAGGCTCAGCACCCCCAGACTCCTCACACCCAGGCTCAGCACCTCCAGTCTCCGCACCCCCAGGCTCCGCACCTCCAGGCTCCGCACCCCCAGGCTCAGCACCCCCAGGCTCAGCACCCCCAGGCTCAGCACCCCCAGGCTCCGCACCCCCAGGCTCAGCACCCCCAGAAGCAGCACCCCGAGCAGGACCACCCTCAGCAGGACCTGAGTCACCAGTGACCTCAACCGGCTCAGTCAAGGGAGGAGGGTCTACCTGAGACACACTTGAAGGAGCAGGACCGGGAGCGGGGAGGGGGTCTACCTGGGGAGCACCTGGAGCGAGGAAGAGCGGCGGGGGGGTGAGAGGGGCAGTGCGGTAGGGGAAGAGACGGTAGAAGGGAACCGATTCGTCGAACGTGACGTCCTGAGAGGGGAAGACACGGCGCGAGGTGGGGTGGTAAAACTGCCAACCAGGCGCGTCAGGGCAAGGAAGACACAGGGAACAGCGCGGGCGGAGAGCTTGTCCGCGGTGGTATCGCGGACAAAGGCACGAGCACCCCAGACCCGGAAACGCGACGCATCGCCAACCTTCCCCGTCCACAGCAGTGTGGGCGAGGTCTCCGGCAAGGAGACACGGGGCCAGAGGTTGAGCTGATGCGCGGCGTACCGGACCGCAAACGGCCACAGAAAATGGGGGGCAGCCGCATGGATCATGGAGGTACGAGCGACCTCCATGACTAAGCCAATGCGGCGCTCAGCAACCCCATTCTGCTGCGGAGAGGCCGGAAGCGTGAACGTCTGGCGGATGCCGTGCTCCGCACAGTAGGCTGCCAAGAGGTCTGAGGAGAACTCACCACCTCTGTCAGAGTGCAGACGCAGGACAGGAAAGTCCGACTGGAACCGCTCGCGGAGCTGGAGACGAACAGCGCGGATCCAGGGGGTCAAAACATCAGGTACCTCCCCCTTGCTGCGCAAGGGGAAAACCGTGGTGTAACGCGTGTAGTCGTCGACGACCAGCAGGAAGTACCGCTCGTGGCCCTGTCCACGGACGCGGGCTGGGCCCCACACGTCCAGGTGGAGAGTCTGCAGGGGAGCCTCTGTGGGAGGGAACGAGGAGGAGTGAGGAGCGGCGCGCTGCCGCCCCTCGACACAGGGAAGACAGGGAGGAGCAGGCGAGGGTGGTAGAGGAGGCAGAGTCTCTGGAAGTCCAGAGACAAGGAAACGGCGGTGCATGCTACGAAGGCGCTGCACCGAGGGGTGACCAAGGCGGTGGTGCCAAAGGAGGGTCTGGTGCGACAAAGCGCGACACGAACAGGGGGCCGCTAGCTGACCTGACGCAAACGCAGACGCAGACGCAGCTACCTGAGGGGACACAGTGGTCAGTGTGTACAGACTCGAGCCAGGCTCTCCAGGT